CAACCCGTGTCACTGCCTCACCACAGGAAAGAGAGGCGTGTTGTATCGACCCGTGTCACTGTGTCACCACAGGAAAGAGAGGCGTGTCGTATCGACCCGTGTCACTGCCTCACCACAGGAAAGAGAGGCGTGTTGTATCATCCCGTGTCACTGCCTCACCACAGGAAAGAGAGGCGTGTTGTATCGACCCGTGTCACTGCCTCACCACAGGAAAGAGAGGCGTGTTGTATCAACCCGTGTCACTGCCTCACCACAGGAAAGAGAGGCGTGTTGTATCGACCCGTGTCACTGCCTCACCACAGGAAAGAGAGGCGTGTCGTATCAACCTGTGTCACCACAGGAAAGAGAGGCGTGTCGTATCAACCCGTGTCACTGCCTCACCACAGGAAAGAGAGGCGTGTTGTATCGACCCGTGTCACTGCCTCACCACAGGAAAGAGAGGCGTGTTGTATCAACCCGTGTCACTGCCTCACCACAGGAAAAAGAGGCGTGTTGTATCAACCCGTGTCACTGCCTCACCACAGGAAAGAGAGGCGTGTTGTATCAACCCGTGTCACTGTCTCACCACAGGAAAGAGAGGCGTGTTGTATCAACCCGTGTCACCACAGGAAAGAGAGGCGTGTTGTATCGACCCGTGTCACCACAGGAAAGAGAGGCGTGTTGTATCGACCCGTGTCACTGCCTCACCACAGGAAAGAGAGGCGTGTTGTATCGACCCGTGTCACTGCCTCACCACAGGAAAGAGAGGCGTGTCGCATCGACCCGTGTCACTGCCTCACCACAGGAAAGAGAGGCGTGTTGTATCGACCCGTGTTACCACAGGAAAGAGAGGCGTGTTGTATCGACCCGTGTCACTGCCTCACCACAGGAAAGAGAGGCGTGTCGTATCGACCGGTGTCACTGCCTCACCACAGGAAAGAGAGGCGTGTTGTATCGACCCGTGTTACCACAGGAAAGAGAGGCGTGTTGTATCGACCCGTGTCACCACAGGAAAGAGAGGCGTGTTGTATTGACCCGTGTCACTGCCTCACCACAGGAAAGAGAGGCGTGTTGTATCAACCCGTGTCACTGCCTCACCACAGGAAAGAGAGACGTGTTGTATCAACCCGTGTCACTGCCTCACCACAGGAAAGAGAGGCGTGTTGTATCAACCCGTGTCACTGTGTCACCACAGGAAAGAGAGGCGTGTTGTATCGACCCGTGTCACTGTGTCACCACAGGAAAGAGAGGCGTGTTGTATCAACCCGTGTCACTGTGTCACCACAGGAAAGAGAGGCGTGTTGTATCAACCCGTGTCACTGTGTCACCACAGGAAAGAGAGGCGTGTTGTATCAACCCGTGTCACTGTGTCACCACAGGAAAGAGAGGCGTGTTGTATCAACCCGTGTCACTGTGTCACCACAGGAAAGAGAGGCGTGTTGTATCAACCCGTGTCACTGTGTCACCACAGGAAAGAGAGGCGTGTTGTATCAACCCGTGTCACTGTGTCACCACAGGAAAGAGAGGCGTGTTGTATCAACCCGTGTCACTGTCTCACCACAGGAAAGAGAGGCGTGTTGTATCAACCCGTGTCACTGCCTCACCACAGGAAAGAGAGGCGTGTTGTATCGACCCGTGTCACTGTCTCACCACAGGAATGAGAGGCGTGTTGTATCAACCCGTGTCACTGCCTCACCACAGGAAAGAGAGGCGTGTTGTATCAACCCGTGTCACCGCCTCACCACAGGAAAGAGAGGCGTGTTGTATCAACCCGTGTCACTGTGTCACCACAGGAAAGAGAGGCGTGTTGTATCGACCCGTGTCACTGCCTCACCACAGGAAAGAGAGGCGTGTTGTATCAACCCGTGTCACTGCCTCACCACAGGAAAGAGAGGCGTGTTGTATCAACCCGTGTCACTGCCTCACCACAGGAAAGAGAGGCGTGTTGTATCAACCCGTGTCACTGCCTCACCACAGGAAAGAGAGACGTGTTGTATCGACCCGTGTCACTGCCTCACCACAGGAAAGAGAGGCGTGTTGTATCAACCCGTGTCACTGCCTCACCACAGGAAAGAGAGGCGTGTTGTATCAACCCGTGTCACTGCCTCACCACAGGAAAGAGAGACGTGTTGTATCGACCCGTGTCACTGCCTCACCACAGGAAAGAGAGGCGTGTTGTATCAACCCGTGTCACTGCCTCACCACAGGAAAGAGAGGCGTGTTGTATCAACCCGTGTCACCGCCTCACCACAGGAAAGAGAGGCGTGTTGTATCGACCCGTGTCACTGCCTCACCACAGGAAAGAGAGGCGTGTTGTATCGACCCGTGTCACCACAGGAAAGAGAGGCGTGTTGTATCAACCCGTGTCACCACAGGAAAGAGAGGCGTGTTGTATCAACCCGTGTCACTGTCTCACCACAGGAAAGAGAGGCGTGTTGTATCGACCCGTGTCACTGTGTCACCACAGGAAAGAGAGGCGTGTCGTATCGACCCGTGTCACTGCCTCACCACAGGAAAGAGAGGCGTGTTGTATCAACCCGTGTCACTGTCTCACCACAGGAAAGAGAGGCGTGTTGTATCAACCCGTGTCACTGCCTCACCACAGGAAAGAGAGGCGTGTTGTATCGACCCGTGTCACTGTGTCACCACAGGAAAGAGAGGCGTGTCGTATCGACCCGTGTCACTGCCTCACCACAGGAAAGAGAGGCGTGTTGTATCATCCCGTGTCACTGCCTCACCACAGGAAAGAGAGGCGTGTTGTATCGACCCGTGTCACTGCCTCACCACAGGAAAGAGAGGCGTGTTGTATCAACCCGTGTCACTGCCTCACCACAGGAAAGAGAGGCGTGTTGTATCGACCCGTGTCACTGCCTCACCACAGGAAAGAGAGGCGTGTCGTATCAACCTGTGTCACCACAGGAAAGAGAGGCGTGTCGTATCAACCCGTGTCACTGCCTCACCACAGGAAAGAGAGGCGTGTTGTATCGACCCGTGTCACTGCCTCACCACAGGAAAGAGAGGCGTGTTGTATCAACCCGTGTCACTGCCTCACCACAGGAAAAAGAGGCGTGTTGTATCAACCCGTGTCACTGCCTCACCACAGGAAAGAGAGGCGTGTTGTATCAACCCGTGTCACTGTCTCACCACAGGAAAGAGAGGCGTGTTGTATCAACCCGTGTCACCACAGGAAAGAGAGGCGTGTTGTATCGACCCGTGTCACCACAGGAAAGAGAGGCGTGTTGTATCGACCCGTGTCACTGCCTCACCACAGGAAAGAGAGGCGTGTTGTATCGACCCGTGTCACTGCCTCACCACAGGAAAGAGAGGCGTGTCGCATCGACCCGTGTCACTGCCTCACCACAGGAAAGAGAGGCGTGTTGTATCGACCCGTGTTACCACAGGAAAGAGAGGCGTGTTGTATCGACCCGTGTCACTGCCTCACCACAGGAAAGAGAGGCGTGTCGTATCGACCGGTGTCACTGCCTCACCACAGGAAAGAGAGGCGTGTTGTATCGACCCGTGTTACCACAGGAAAGAGAGGCGTGTTGTATCGACCCGTGTCACCACAGGAAAGAGAGGCGTGTTGTATTGACCCGTGTCACTGCCTCACCACAGGAAAGAGAGGCGTGTTGTATCGACCCGTGTCACCACAGGAAAGAGAGGCGTGTTGTATCGACCCGTGTCACCACAGGTCTGTTGCTTGGATGTAGATTGTTTACATTATTTGATCAGTTTTAAGACAAAAAAAGTCATAATCATAATAATAATAAAAAAAAGTCTGAGCAGTGACGTTTTGAGCTTGTTTTCAGTATTTTGTTGTTGTTTAGATAAAATAAGTTTGTGATGCTGTATTCTAAGAAAACATTTCTCAAAACTGTTTAGTAAAGAAATAAATAATACTTGAAATGTTTGTTGTTAAACTAGAATCAAGTCGTTTGGGGCGAGTTTTATTTGAATTTAGTATTGTATTAAAGTCCTCAGAGAAAACTACTGTTGTGAACTGATCTGGTCTGGTCTGGTCCAGTATGGTATGGTCTGGTCCAGTATGGTCTGGTCTGGTATGGTCTGGTCTGGTCTGGTCTGGTCTGGTCTGGTATGGTCTGGTCTGGTCTGGTGTGGTCTGGTATGATCTGGTATAGTATGGTCTGGTCTGGTCTGGTCCAGTATGGTCTGGTCTGGTATGGTCTGGTCTGGTCTGGTCTGGTCTGGTCTGGTATGGTCTGGTCTGGTATGATCTGGTATAGTATGGTCTGGTCTGGTCTGGTCCAGTATGGTCTGGTCCAGTATGGTCTGGTCTGGTCTGGTCTGGTCTGGTCTGGTGTGGTGTGGTCTGGTATGATCTGGTATGGTATGGTCTGGTATGGTCTGGTATGGTCTGGTCTGGTGTGGTCTGGTCTGGTATGATCTGGTCTGGTATGGTCTGGTATGGTCTGGTATGGTCTGGTATGGTATGGTATGGTATGGTATGGTATGGTCTGGTATGGTATGGTATGGTATGGTATGGTATGGTCTGGTATGGTCTGGTATGGTATGGTATGGTATGGTATGGTATGGTATGGTATGATCTGGTCTGGTGTGGTCTGGTCTGGTATGGTCTGGTATGGTCTTGTCGGGTCTGGTATGGTATGGTCTGGTATGGACTGGTATGGTCTGGTATGGTCCGGTATGGTCTTGTCGGGTCTGGTATGGTATGGTCTGGTATGGTCCGGTATGGTCCGGTATGGTCTGGTATGATCTGGTCTGGTCTGGTCTGGTCTGGTCCAGTATGGTCCGGTCTGGTATGGTATGGTATGGTCTGGTCTGGTCTGGTGTGGTGTGGTCTGGTCTGGTCTGGTATGGTATGGTCTGGTCTGGTCTGGTATGGTCTGGTATGTAATGGTCTGGTCTGGTCTGGTCTGGTATGGTCTGGTCTGATATGGTCCGGTCCGGTCTGGTCTGGTATGGTCCGGTCTGGTCTGGTCTGGTATGGTCCGGTATGGTCTGGTACTGTCTGATATGGTCTGGTCTGGTTTGGCCCTCACCTGGACACCAGGAAGATGCAGAGTCCGGTGAGCAGGAAGGCCCCCAACAGCCCCCCCCACATGTCGGCAGAGAAGGGCCCCAGCAGACTGAGGGAGCTCTCATGGGACACCAGCTCCTTCCTCAGCAGGAACCCCAGACCAGTCTGCAGGAACGGGGCACTCATGTCCACGTGACGCTCCCTCACCGAGGTGAGGGTGAGGGGGGCTACGGCCAGGTCTGCCTCCTGAGGGAGAGAGAGAGAGGTGAGGGAGAGAGACAGAGAGGTGGAGGGTGAGGGGGGCTACGGCCAGGTCTGCCTCCTGAGGGAGAGAGAGAGGTGAGGGAGAGAGAGAGAGAGGTGGGGAGAGAGAGAGGTGAGGGAGAGAGAGAGAGAGGTGAGGGTGAGGGGGGCTACGGCCAGGTCTGCCTCCTGAGGGAGAGAGAGAGAGGTGAGGGAGGGAGAGAGAGAGGTGAGGGTGAGGGGGGCTACGGCCAGGTCTGCCTCCTGAGGGAGAGAGAGAGAGGTGAGGGAGAGAGAGAGAGAGGTGAGGGTGAGGGGGGCTACGGCCAGGTCTGCCTCCTGAGGGAGAGAGAGAGGTGAGGGAGGGAGAGAGAGAGGGAGGGTGAGGGGGGCTACGGCCAGGTCTGCCTCCTGAGGGAAAGAGAGAGGTGAGGGAGAGAGAGAGAGAGAGGTGAGGGAGAGAGAGAGAGAGGTGAGGGAGAGAGAGAGGTGAGGGAGAGAGAGAGAGAGGTGAGGGAGAGAGAGAGGTGAGGGATAGAGAGAGAGAGGTGAGGGAGAGAGAGAGAGGTGAGGGAGAGAGAGAGGTGAGGGAGAGAGAGAGAGGTGAGGGAGAGAGAGAGAGAGAGGTGAGAGAGAGAGAGAGAGATGAGGGAGAGAGAGAGAGGTGAGGGAGAGAGAGAGAGAGGTGAGGGTGAGGGGGGCTACGGCCAGGTCTGCCTCCTGAGGGAGAGAGAGAGAGGTGAGGGAGAGAGAGAGAGAGGTGAGGGTGAAGGTGAGGGGGGCTACGGCCAGGTCTGCCTCCTGAGGGAGAGAGAGAGAGGTGAGGGAGAGAGAGAGAGAGGTGAGGGTGAAGGTGAGGGGGGCTACGGCCAGGTCTGCCTCCTGAGGGAGAGAGAGAGAGGTGAGGGAGAGAGAGAGGTGAGGGAGAGAGAGAGAGAGGTGAGGGAGAGAGAGGTGAGGGAGAGAGAGAGAGGTGAGGGAGAGAGAGAGAGGTGAGGGAGAGAGAGCGAGGTGAGGGAGAGAGAGAGGTGAGGGAGAGAGAGAGGTAAGAGAGAGAGAGAGGTGAGGGAGAGAGAGAGAGAGGTGAGGGAGAGAGAGAGAGAGGGGTGAGGGAGAGAGAGAGAGGTGAGGGAGAGAGAGAGGTAAGAGAGAGAGAGAGGTGAGGGAGAGAGAGAGAGAGGTGAGGGAGAGAGAGAGGTGAGGGAGAGAGAGAGAGGTGAGGGAGAGGGACAGACATGAGGGAGAGAGAGGAGGGAGAGAGAGAGAGAGAGGTGAGGAGAGAGAGAGAGGGTGAGGGAGAGAGAGATAGAGGTGAGGGAGAGAGAGAGAGGTGAGGGAGAGAGAGATAGAGGTGAGGGAGAGAGAGAGAGGTGAGGGAGAGAGACAGACATGAGGGAGAGAGAGAGAGAGGTGAGGGAGAGAGAGAGAGGTGAGGGAGAGAGAGATAGAGGTGAGGGAGAGAGAGAGAGGTGAGGGAGAGAGACAGACATGAGGGAGAGAGACAGACATGAGGGAGAGAGAGACGGTCACGCCTATCTCCGCTGCTGAAGAGCCACTTTTGGGCCATCCTGTAAAGACCTTTTCCAGAGGAAAGAAGACTCAATTCAAAAGCATTGGGTAATTCTTATTCCTGGTTCACCCCCACAGGCCCGGAGTGGTATTGCAGCATGTCAGCGCACGTGTTCATGGACCTTTCAGAGCTGGGACCCGCCCCCACCGATCCTCACCCCTCAGATGTATGTAAGTGGTGCGTCCTCACCCCTCAGATTAATGTAAGTGCTGCGTCCTCACCCCTCAGATGTATGTAAGTGCTGCGTCCTCACCCCTCAGATTAATGTAAATGCTGCGTCCTCACCCCTCAGATTAATGTAAGTGCTGCGTCCTCCCCCTCAGATGTATGTAAGTGCTGCGTCCTCACCCCTCAGATGTATGTAAGTGCTGCGTCCTCCCCCCTCAGATGTATGTAAGTGCTGCGTCCTCACCCCTCAGATGTATGTAAGTGCTGCGTCCTCACCCCTCAGATTAATGTAAGTGCTGCGTCCTCACCTCTCAGATTAATGTAAGTGCTGCGTCCTCACCTCTCAGATTAATGTAAGTGCTGCGTCCTCACCCCTCAGATTAATGTAAGTGCTACGTCCTCACCCCTCAGATGTATGTAAGTGCTACGTCCTCACCCCTCAGATGTATGTAAGTGCTGCGTCCTCACCCCTCAGATGTATGTAAGTGCTGCGTCCTCACCCCTCAGATGTATGTAAGTGCTGCATCCTCCCCCCTCAGATGTATGTAAGTGCTGCGTCCTCACCCCTCAGATGTATGTAAGTGCTGCATCCCCACCCTTCAGATGTATGTAAGTGCTGCATCCTCACCCTTCAGATGTATGTAAGTGCTGCGTCCTCACCCCTCAGATTAATGTAAGTGCTGCGTCCTCACCCCTCAGATGTATGTAAGTGCTGCGTCCATACCCCTCAGATGAATGTAAGTGCTGCGTCCTCACCCCTCAGATGTATGTAAGTGCTGCGTCCTCACCCCTCAGATGTATGTAAGTGCTGCGTCCTCACCCCTCAGATGTATGTAAGTGCTGCATCCTCACCCCTCAGATGTATGTAAGTGCTGTGTCCTTCCCCCTCAGATGTATGTAAGTGCTGCGTCCTCACCCCTCAGATGTATGTAAGTGCTGCATCCTCACCCCTCAGATGTATGTAAGTGCTGCGTCCTTCCCCCTCAGATGTATGTAAGTGCTGCGTCCTCACCCCTCAGATGTATGTAAGTGCTGCATCCTCACCCCTCAGATGTATGTAAGTGCTGCGTCCTTCCCCCTCAGATGTATGTAAGTGCTGCGTCCTCACCCCTCGGATGATCTCCCCGATCATGCCGGTCCAGGTGCCGCTCTGGTCCATGAATCCGTAGCGACCGTCCTTGACCTCTTGGATCTTGTAGCTGAAGCCGACTCGTTTGGACAGTTCTGAGAGAAGGTCCACACAGAAACCCTCCAGCTCACTGCCCCGGCTCATGGCGTACGGCTCCTCCTGCGGAGAGGGAAGACCTGAGTCCAGACCCGAGTCCAGTCCGAGAGGAGGAGAGGAGGAGAGGATGAGAGGATGAGAGGATGAAAGGATGAGAGGATGAGAGGAGGGATGAGAGGAGGGATGAGAGGATGAGAGGATGAGGGGATGAGAGGAGGGGAGGATGAGAGGATGAGAGGATGAAAGGATGAGAGGATGAGAAGAGGGGAGGATGAGAGGATGAAAGGATGAAAGGATGAGAGGATGAGAGGAGGGATGAGAGGAGGGATGAGAGGATGAAAGGATGAGAGGATGAGGGGATGAGAGGAGGGGAGGATGAGAGGATGAGAGGATGAAAGGATGAGAGGATGAGAAGAGGGGAGGATGAGAGGATGAAAGGATGAAAGGATGAGAGGATGAGAGGATGAAAGGATGAGAGGATGAGAGGATGAAAGGATGAGAGGATGAAAGGATGAGAGGATGAAAGGATGAGAGGATGAGAGGAGGCGAGGATGAGAGGATGAGAGGATGAAAGGATGAGAGGATGAAAGGATGAGAGAATGAGAGGATGAAAGGATGAGAGGATGAGAGGATGAGAGGATGAGAGGATGAAAGGATGAAAGGAGGAGAGGATGAGAGGATGAGAGGATGAAAGGATGAGAGGATGAAAGGATGAGAGGATGAGAGGATGAAAGAATGAGAGGATGAGAGGATGAGAGGATAAAAGGATGAGAGGATGAAATGATGAGAGGATGAGAGGATGAGAGGAGGAGAGGAGAGGATGAAAGGATGAGAGGATGAGATGATGAAAGGATGAGAGGATGAAAGGATGAGAGGATGAAAGGATGAGAGGATGAAAGGATGAAAGGATGAGAGGATGAAAGGATGAGAGGATGAGAGGATGAGAGGATGAGAGGATGAAAGGATGAGAGGATGAGAGGATGAGAGGATGAAAGGATGAGAGGATGAAAGGATGAGAGGATGAAAAGATGAGAGGATGAAAGGATGAGAGGATGAGAGGATGAAAGGATGAGAAGATGAAAGGATGAGAGGATGAAAGGATGAGAGGATGAAAGGATGAAAGGATGAGAGGATGAAAGGATGAGAGGATGAGAGGAGGAGAGGAGGGAGAGGATGAAAGGATGAGAGGATGAGAGGAGGAGAGGATGAAAGGATGAGAGGATGAAAGGATGAGAGGATGAAAGGATGAGAGGATGAAAGGATGAGAGGATGAAAGGATGAGAGGATAACAGGATGAGAGGATGAAAGGATGAGAGGATTAAAGGATGAGAGGATGAGAGGATGAGGATGAAAGGATGAGAGGATGAGAGGAGGGGAGGATGAGAGGATGAGAGGATGAAAGGATGAGAGGATGAGAGGATGAGAGGAGGAGAGGATGAGAGGATGAGAGGATGAGAGGAGGGGAGGATGGGAGGATGAGAGGATGAGAGGATGAGAGGATGAGAGGAGGGATGAGAGGATGAGAGGATGAAAGGATGAGAGGATAAGAGGATGAGAGGATTAAAGGATGAGAGGATGAAAGGATGAGAGGATGAAAGGATGAGAGGATGAGAGGATGAGAGGAGGGGAGGATGAGAGGATGAGAGGATGAAAGGATGAGAGGAGGGGAGGATGAGAGGAGGAGAGGATGAAAGGATGAGAGGATGAGAGGAGGGGAGGATGAGAGGATGAAAGGATGAGAGGATGAAAGGATGAGAGGAGGGGAGGATGAGAGGATGAGAGGATGAAAGGATGAGAGGATGAAAGGATGAGAGGATGAGAGGATGAGAGGATGAAAGGATGAGAGGAGGAGAGGAGGGGAGGATGAGAGGAGGAGAGGAGGGGAGGATGAAAGGATGAGAGGATGAAAGGATGAGAGGAGGAGAGGATGAGAGTAGGAGAGGATGAGAGGATGAAAGGATGAGAGGATGAAAGGATGAGAGGATGAAAGGATGAGAGGATGAAAGGATGAGAGGATGAAAGGATGAAAGGATGAGAGGATGAAAGGATGAGAGGATGAAAGGATGAGAGGATGAGAGGATGAAAGGATGAGAGGATGAGAGGATGAGAGGATGAAAGGATGAAAGGATGAGAGGATGAGAGGATGAAAGGATGAGAGGATGAGAGGAGAGGATGAGAGGATGAAAGGATGAGAGGATGAAAGGATGAGAGGATGAAAGGATGAGAGGATGAAAGGATGAGAGGATGAGAGGATGAAAGGATGAGAGGATGAGAGGATGAAAGGATGAAAGCATGAGAGGATGAGAGGATGAAAGGATGAGAGGATGAAAGGATGAGAGGATGAGAGGAGGGGAGGATGAGAGGATGAAAGGATGAGAGGATGAAAGGATGAGAGGATGAAAGGATGAGAGGATGAAAGGATGAGAGGAGAGGAGGAGAGGATGAGAGGAGGAGAGGATGAAAGGATGAGAGGATGAAAGGATGAGAGGATGAGATGAGAGGATGAGAGGATGAGAGGATGAGAGGAGGAGTGAGCGACACCTGGAGAAACCCTGAGGGAGGACGACTCTCTACATTCTCCTTCAGATAAAGAGCTTCTGTGCAGAAACCTAATAAAACGTTTCTCAAACCGAGAAGGACATGAAATAGAAAGAATGTGAAGCAGCTTTATGCCTCTACACTCTGGAACAGTCTTCCTAAAAATGTGCGACAACTGAGGGATTGTGCCTTTACTGCTTTAATGTAGTGTGAGTCGCCCTGTGTATAAACTGTGCTATACCATTAAAGTTTCCTGGGTGAGTCTGTAAACATGTGGTTAGTTTAGGGGGGGCAGAGTGGAGACAGCGGGTCACAGTCAGAAACAGCAGAATCTACCTTTATGGTGGTGACGGACAGCGTGGCCACGTCTGAAAGACAAGAACAGAGCGGTGTTTAAAGCAGCAGTGATAAAGCAAGGGACTGTAATGAGGCGTGACAGTCAGGGGCCTCAGCCTTTGTCCTCTGCCTCGGGCCTCAGCCTTGGGCCTCAGCCTCGGGCCTCAGCCTTTGTCCTCTGCCTCGGGCCTCAGCCTTTGTCCTCAGCCTTTGTCCTCTGCCTCGGGCCTCAGCCTTGGGCCTCAGCCTCGGGCCTCAGCCTTGGGTCTCAGCCTAGAGCGGAGAAGCCAGACCCAGACAAAGACACACTTGTTGCAGCTTGTTTTTGGGCTTTTCTTGGGCCCCATGTGGCGATCAAAGGGGCCCCTCTGGAGAGTGTAAGGACCAGAGCTGAGACAGAGACCACAGTCCTCAATATCAATAATGACACAGTGTCTTCACTCTCCAACTGTGCTCCACCTCCAAGAGCATTCACAGAAGAAGACATGTAGAGAGAAAAGATGAAAGGGACTTTTCTAACCTTTGGTCAGGACCAGTTTAAGTCTCCTGGTGTTTGGACTCATGGTGAAACCATCAGGACCAGTTTAGAGTCTCCTGGTGTTTGGATTCATGGTCAAACTGTCAGGACCAGTTTAGAGTCTCCTGGTGTTTGGACCCATGGTCAAACTGTAAGGACCAGTTTAAAGTCTCCTGGTGTTTGGACTCATGGTGAAACCATCAGGACCAGTTTAGAGTCTCCTGGTGTTTGGATTCATGGTCAAACTGTCAGGACCAGTTTAGAGTCTCCTGGTGTTTGGACCCATGGTCAAACTGTAAGGACCAGTTTAAAGTCTCCTGGTGTTTGGACTCATGGTCAAACTGTCAGGACCAGTTTAGAGTCTCCTGGTGTTTGGACTCATGGTGAAACCATCAGGACCAGTTTAGAGTCTCCTGGTGTTTGGACTCATGGTCAAACTGTAAGGACCAGTTTAAAGTCTCCTGGTGTTTGGACTCATGGTGAAACCATCAGGACCAGTTTAGAGTCTCCTGGTGTTTGGACTCATGGTCAAACTGTCAGGACCAGTTTAGCGTCTCCTGGTGTTTGGACTCATGGTCAAACTGTCAGGACCAGTTTAGAGTCTCCTGGTGTTTGGACTCATGGTCAAACTGTCAGGACCAGTTTAGCGTCTCCTGGTGTTTGGACTCATGGTCAAACTGTCAGGACCAGTTTAGAGTCTCCTGGTGTTTGGACTCATGGTCAAACTGTCAGGACCAGTTTAGAGTCTCCTGGTGTTTGGACTCATGGTGAAACTGTCAGGACCAGGTTCATGGTTCAGTCCAAGTCTGAGAGTTGGAATCTACTTTGGTCCAGAGTCTGAAGGTGTGGGCTGGTCTTCGTACCAACGAGTCAACAAAGGAGGGTCATTATGTGCAGTGGCATTCCAAGGGGCCCCCGGGGCCCGAGGCAACAGAGTCCTTGGGGGCCCCAATACCGACAACATAACCACATTTTGTAATCCTACAAACTCTAATCTTTCATTTGGCCCTTGGTGTTTGTAAAGTCTAAAACACTGAGGGCCAAATGAAAGATTCTGCTCTTAGCTTTAATCTGCAAAAAACAGCTTGTTTTTACCTTTTACCGTTTTTAAACAATCTGTCATAGAATATAATCTAGTTTAATCTCTGGACCTCTGGACCTCTGAACCACTGGACCTCTGAACCACTGGACCTCTGAACCACTGGACCTCTGAACCACTGGACCTCTGGACCACTGGACCTCTGAACCACTGGACCTCTGAACCACTGGACCACTGGACCACTGGACCTCTGAACCACTGGACCACTGGACCTCTGGACCTCTGAACCACTGGACCTCTGAACCACTGGACCTCTGAACCACTGGACCTCTGGACCACTGGACCTCTGAACCACTGGACCTCTGAACCACTGGACCTCTGAACCTCTGAACCACTGGACCTCTGAACCACTGGACCTCTGAACCACTGGACCTCTGGACCTCTGAACCTCTGAACCACTGGACCTCTGAACCACTGGACCTCTGAACCACTGGACCTCTGGACCTCTGGACCACTGGACCACTGGACCACTGGACCTCTGGACCACTGGACCTCTGAACCACTGGACCTCTGAACCACTGGACCACTGGACCTCTGAACCTCTGAACCACTGGACCTCTGGACCTCTGAACCACTGGACCTCTGAACCACTGGACCACTGGACCTCTGAACCACTGGACCTCTGAACCACTGGACCACTGGACCTCTGAACCTCTGAACCACTGGACCTCTGGACCTCTGAACCACTGGACCTCTGAACCACTGGACCTCTGGACCTCTGAACCACTGGACCTCTGAACCACTGGACCTCTGGACCTCTGGACCTCTGGACCACTGGACCTCTGAACCACTGGACCTCTGAACCACTGGACCTCTGAACCACTGGACCTCTGGACCACTGAACCACTGGACCACTGGACCTCTGAACCACTGGACCTCTGGACCTCTGAACCTTTGAACCTCTGGACCTCTGAACCACTGGACCTCTGGACCTCTGGACCACTGGACCTCTGAACCACTGGACCTCTGAACCACTGGACCTCTGAACCACTGAACCACTGGACCACTGGACCTCTGAACCACTGGACCTCTGAACCACTGGACCTCTGGACCTCTGAACCACTGGACCTCTGAACCACTGGACCTCTGGACCTCTGGACCTCTGGACCTTTGAACCTCTGGACCTCTGAACCACTGGACCTCTGGACCTCTGAACCACTGGACCTCTGAACCACTGGACCTCTGGACCTCTGGACCTCTGGACCACTGGACCTCTGAACCACTGGACCTCTGAACCTCTGGACCTCTGGACCTCTGGACCTCTGGACCTCTGGACCTCTGAACCACTGGACCTCTGAACCACTGGACCTCTGGACCACTGGACCACTGGACCTCTGGACCACTGGACCACTGGACCTCTGGACCTCTGGACCACTGGACCTCTGAACCACTGGACCTCTGGACCTCTGGACCTCTGGACCTCTGGACCTCTGAACCACTGGACCTCTGAACCACTGGACCTCTGAACCACTGGACCTCTGGACCTCTGGACCTCTGAACCACTGGACCTCTGAACCACTGGACCTCTGGACCTCTGGACCTCTGAACCACTGGACCTCTGGACCACTGGACCTCTGAACCACTGGACCTCTGGACCACTGGACCTCTGGACCACTGGACCACTGGACCTCTGGACCACTGGACCTCTGGACCTCTGGACCTCTGGACCACTGGACCTCTGAACCACTGGACCTCTGAACCACTGGACCTCTGGACCTCTGAACCACTGGACCACTGGACCTCTGAACCACTGGACCTCTGAACCACTGGACCTCTGGACCTCTGGACCTCTGAACCACTGGACCTCTGAACCACTGGACCTCTGGACCTCTGGACCACTGGACCTCTGGACCACTGGACCTCTGGACCTCTGGACCACTGGACCTCTGAACCACTGGATCTCTGAACCACTGGACCTCTGGACCTCTGAACCACTGGACCACTGGACCTCTGAACCACTGGACCTCTGAACCACTGGACCTCTGGACCTCTGGACCTCTGAACCACTGGACCTCTGAACCACTGGACCTCTGAACCACTGGACCTCTGGACCTCTGGACCACTGGACCTCTGAACCACTGGACCTCTGGACCTCTGAACCACTGGACCTCTGAACCACTGGACCACTGGACCTCTGAACCACTGGACCTCTGAACCACTGGACCTCTGAACCACTGGACCTCTGGACCACTGGACCTCTGAACCACTGGACCTCTGAACCACTGGACCTCTGGACCACTGGACCTCTGAACCTCTGAACCACTGGACCTCTGAACCACTGGACCTCTGAACCACTGGACCTCTGGACCACTGGACCTCTGAACCACTGGACCTCTGAACCACTGGACCTCTGGACCACTGGACCTCTGAACCACTGGACCTCTGGACCACTGGACCTCTGAACCTCTGAACCACTGGACCTCTGGACCACTGGACCACTGGACCTCTGAACCACTGGACCTCTGAACCACTGGACCTCTGGACCACTGGACCTCTGAACCACTGGACCTCTGGACCACTGGACCACTGGACCTCTGAACCACTGGACCTCTGAACCACTGGACCTCTGAACCTCTGAACCACTGGACCTCTGAACCACTGGACCTCTGAACCACTGGACCTCTGGACCTCTGGACCACTGGACCACTGGACCACTGGACCACTGGACCACTGGACCTCTGAACCACTGGACCTCTGAACCTCTGAACCACTGGACCTCTGAACCACTGGACCTCTGGACCACTGAACCACTGGACCTCTGAACCTCTGAACCACTGGACCTCTGGACCTCTGAACCACTGGACCTCTGAACCACTGGACCTCTGGACCTCTGAACCACTGGACCTCTGAACCACTGGACCTCTGGACCTCTGGACCTCTGGACCACTGGACCTCTGAACCACTGGACCTCTGAACCACTGGACCTCTGGACCACTGAACCACTGGACCACTGGACCTCTGAACCACTGGACCTCTGGACCTCTGGACCTTTGAACCTCTGGACCTCTGAACCACTGGACCTCTGGACCTCTGGACCACTGGACCTCTGAACCACTGGACCTCTGAACCACTGGACCTCTGAACCACTGAACCACTGGACCACTGGACCTCTGAACCACTGGACCTCTGAACCACTGGACCTCTGGACCTCTGAACCACTGGACCTCTGAACCACTGGACCTCTGGACCTCTGGACCTCTGGACCTTTGAACCTCTGGACCTCTGAACCACTGGACCTCTGGACCTCTGAACCACTGGACCTCTGAACCACTGGACCTCTGGACCTCTGGACCTCTGGACCACTGGACCTCTGAACCACTGGACCTCTGAACCTCTGGACCTCTGGACCTCTGGACCTCTGGACCTCTGGACCTCTGAACCACTGGACCTCTGAACCACTGGACCTCTGAACCACTGGACCTCTGAACCTCTGGACCTCTGAACCTCTGGACCTCTGGACCACTGGACCTCTGAACCACTGGACCTCTGAACCACTGGACCTCTGAACCTCTGGACCTCTGGACCACTGGACCTCTGGACCACTGGACCTCTGAACCACTGGACCTCTGAACCACTGGACCTCTGAACCACTGGACCACTGGACCTCTGAACCACTGGACCTCTGAACCACTGGACCTCTGAACCACTGGACCTCTGAACCACTGGACCTCTGAACTACTGGAACTCTGAACTACTGGACCTCTGAGCCACTGGACCTCTGGACCTCTGAACCACTGGACCTCTGAACCACTGGACCGGCACATACAGGAGCGAGCACATCACTCCGGTGTTAAAATCACTCCACTGGCTTCTGTGGAGCAAGTATAAAGTTTAAAATCCTTCTTTTAACATAAATGGCTCCTTCTTATCTTCAAGACATGTTAGTGTCATATCAGCCAAACCCAGCACTGCGCTCGCAACACGCCTGACATCCCTGTCCTCCTTCTACAGTCTGAGTCCTGCATCACATGGCCTTGGTCCTCCTTCTACAGTCTGAGTCCTGCGTCACATGGCCTTGGACCTCCTTCTACAGTCTGAGTCCTGCGTCACATGGCCTTGGTCCTCCTTCTACAGTCTGAGTCCTGCGTCACATGGCCTTGGTCCTCCTTCTACAGTCTGAGTCCTGCGTCACATGGCCTTGGTCCTCCTTCTACAGTCTGAGTCCTGCGTCACATGGCCTTGGACCTCCTTCTACAGTCTGAGTCCTGGATCTACAGCCCGTCTGTCCGTGACTTGTTTGAGACTGTTAATGAACTGTGGATATTTCTGTTTTGAGAGTTTCTCTTGTTGTTGTGTTATACAAATAAACTTGAGTAATGTGTAAATGTTTCCAGAGGGAGACAGACTGAGCACATGGACATCACAAAGGCCTGTTCCTCTTTCGCTGAGTAACCAAGGCCTGGACCTCATCAGACCTCATCTGTTTTCAGGACACGTCTGCAGTCCAACAGCGCTCCTCTGGTCGGTCCCACAGCCCCAGACCCCGGACCCCTGACTCCCACTGGAGGGGCCTTTGTCTGCAGCTGGGACCAGTCGTGTTCCCAGGGCTGCTTCAGACGCACTCACACCGAGGCCATGACAGTCCATGTCCGAGCCCGGCAGGACCTGGCTGGACCCGGCTGGACCCGGCAGGACCCGGCAGGACCCTGGCCCCTCTGTGGTGAGAACGGCCCCGAGGCTGTGTACCAGGGTCTGGGCTGGGGCCCCGCCAACATGAGCCAGAGGAGAGACAAGAGGCTGGCAGCTCTGCAGGACTCTGGATCAGTGTGAGACCGTCTACAGACCACAGACCGTTCACAGACCTTCTCAGAGACCACAGACTGTCTCAGAGACCACAGACTGTCTCAGAGACCACAGACTGTCTCAGAGACCACAGACTGTCTCAGAGACCACAGACTGTCTCAGAGACCACAGACTGTCTCAGAGACCACAGACTGTCTCAGAGACCACAGACTGTCTCAGAGACCACAGACCGTCTCAGAGACCACAGACTGTCTCAGAGACCACAGACTGTCTCAGAGACCACAGACTGTCTCAGAGACCACAGACTGTCTCAGAGACCACAGACTGTCTCAGAGACCACAGACTGTCTCAGACACCACAGACTGTCTCAGAGACCACAGACTGTCTCAGACACCACAGACTGTCTCAGAGACCACAGACCGTTCACAGACTGTCTCAGAGACCACAGACTGTCTCAGAGACCACAGACTGTCTCAGAGACCACAGACTGTCTCAGAGACCACAGACTGTCTCAGAGACCACAGACTGTCTCAGAGACCACAGACTGTCTCAGAGACCACAGACTGTCTCAGAGACCACAGACTGTCTCAGACACCACAGACTGTCTCAGAGACCACAGACTGTCTCAGAGACCACAGACTGTCTCAGACACCACAGACTGTCTCAGAGACCACAGACTGTCTCAGAGACCACAGACCGTCTCAGAGACCACAGACTGTCTCAGAGACCACAGACTGTCTCAGAGACCACAGACTGTCTCAGAGACCACAGACTGTCTCAGAGACCACAGACTGTCTCAGAGACCACAGACTGTCTCAGAGACCACAGACTGTTCACAGACTTGTATGAGATAAAATCCGTGCTGTAGCTAGTTCTGTTCTGAGTGGTTTTGGATCAGTCCGTCTCAGCCCAAAGAGTCAGAAGGTGACTCCCAGGGCTCTTTCTTACAGGTAGGTGATGACGTAGCTTTACTGCCCCCTTCTCCAGAGACCATGTGGGAGAGGGGGCGTGGCCTGTCTCTGAGTGACCTGTCAATCAGGCCACTGTAAATGATCATGTGTCCCTCCTGTGTTCTCGCTGGTGCCGCTTCATGTATAACCATAAAACAACTATCGTCACATCTCAAATCTGCCATTTATGGGGAAAGTCTTTGAAAAAGTTGTCTACCTACAGCTTACTAGATTTCTTATAATTAACAACTCATTTGATATGTTTCAGTCCGGCTTTAGACCCCACCACAGCACTGAGACTGCTCTTGTCAAGGTTACAAACGATATCCGGCTGAACACTGACGCAGGCAAAGTCTCAATCTTAATCTTGTTAGATCTAAGTGCTGCCTTTGACACTGTCGACCATGAGATCCTCTTACAGAGACTAGAGGACTGGGTTGGAGTCGCTGGCACCGCCCTAAGTTGGTTTAGGTCTTACCTTGAAGACAGGAAGTACTTTGTGGAGATTGGAAACTGTGTCTCAGATCATATGGCCCTGACCTGTGGAGTACCACAGGGGTCGATCCTGGGACCTCTTCTGTTCAATCTTTACATGTTGCCGTTAGGTCAGTTAATACGCAGAAACAAAGTTTCCTATCATAACTATGCAGACGACACTCAGATCTATGTCTCACTGACTGCAGGAGAACATGGACCAGTGGACTCACTCCTTCACTGTATCCAACAGATCAGTGAGTGGATGCAAAACAACTTCCTTCAGCTAAACGCAGACAAAACTGAAATGATTGTCTTTGGTCCCCAGAAACAAAGAGAGAGCGTCATCTGTCACCTACAGTCTCTCTCCCTAAAACCTTCAAACAAGGTCAGAAATCTAGGGGTAATACTGGACTCAGACTTAAATTTTAATAGCCACATCAAATCAGTAACATCAGCAGCTTTTTACCATCTAAAAAACATTGCCAGGATCAAAAACATAGTGTCTAAAGCAGACTTGGAGATTCTTATCCATGCATTTGTCTCCAGTAGGTTAGACTACTGCAATGGCTGCTCACAGGTCTGTCCAAACAGGCTGTAAAACAGCTGCAGTACATTCAAAATGCAGCAGCTCGAGTCCTGACAAGAACCAGGAAGTACGACCATATTAGTCCTGACTAGAACCAGGAAGTACGACCACATTAGTCCTGACTAGAACCAGGAAGTACGACCACATTAGTCCTGACTAGAACCAGGAAGTACGACCACATTAGTCCTGACTAGAACCAGGAAGTACGACCATATTAGTCCTGACTAGAACCAGGAAGTACGACCATATTAGTCCTGACTAGAACCAGGAAGTACGACCACATTAGTCCTGACAAGAACCAGGAAGTACGACCACATTAGTCCTGACTAGAACCAGGAAGTACGACCACATTAGTCCTGACTAGAACCAGGAAGTACGACCACATTAGTCCTGACTAGAACCAGGAAGTACGACCACATTAGTCCTGACTAGAACCAGGAAGTACGACCACATTAGTCCTGACTAGAACCAGGAAGTACGACCACATTAGTCCTGACTAGAACCAGGAAGTACGACTACATTAGTCCTGACTAGAACCAGGAAGTACGACCACATTAGTCCTGACTAGAACCAGGAAGTACGACCATATTAGTCCTGACTAGAACCAGGAAGTACGACTACATTAGTCCTGACTAGAACCAGGAAGTACGACTACATTAGTCCTGACTAGAACCAGGAAGTACGACCACATTAGTCCAGTTCTCAGGTCTCTGCACTGGCTTCCTGTGGCTCTGAGGAGCACAGGGACTGGACTCCTGCTGGGACTCTGAGGAGCACAGGGACTGGCCTCCTGCTGGGACTCTGAGGAGCACAGGGACTGGACTCCTGCTGGGACTCTGAGGAGCACAGGGACTGGACTCCTGCTGGGACTGTGAGGAGCACAGGGACTGGACTCCTGCTGGGACTCTGAGGAGCACAGGGACTGGACTCCTGCTGGGACTGTGAGGAGCACAGGGACTGGACTCCTGCTGGGACTCTGAGGAGCACAGGGACTGGACTCCTGCTGGGACTCTGAGGAGCACAGGGACTGGACTCCTGCTGGGACTCTGAGGAGCACAGGGACTGGACTCCTGTTAGTGCCCAGAGTCAGAACTAAACATGGGGAGGCTGCTTTTCAGATTCATGCTGCTAAAATCTGGAACAGTCTTCCTGAAGATGTGAGACAGGCCTCCTCTCTGACAATGTTTAAAACCAGGTTAAAGACGGTGCTGTTTAGCTGTGCTACAACTGAGGGATTTTATATTTGTATCTTTAATGTTCTGTGATTATTTATGATTTTAATGCTTTCTTGTTCAGCACTTTGAGTTGCCTTGTGTATGAACTGTGCTATATAAATAAACTTGCTTTTCCAAAGTGATTTCTGCTCGTAGTGTAAAAAAAAAGTATTTATTTGAATATCTCACGAAAAAGTAAAATGAACTGAACTTGAACGAGTTCAGAAAAGCTGAACTGTGAACACTGAGGAATCTGCTAATTATTGAGTCAAAGAGACTTTTCTAATTAGCTTGCACCATTCTGTGCACATTTTGCATCAATGGATGGACTTTGAGAAAAGTGTTGTAACGGTCGCTCTGCTTTTGTTGAGAATCGAGATAAAACAGACTTCAATATTTCAGTTGAACGGTCGACAGCCCACAGCCAATCAGAGCTCGACATGAAGCTTGTGTCTTAGAGTCACAGAGCAAGGCTTTAAGTCCATCTGTCAATCACACTCAGCTGCACCGCCCTCTGCTGGCAGCACTCCAGCACCGCAGCTTTAAGAAAACAGCAGTCTAGGCTCCGGGGGATTTCATCTCATAATCTCTATGTTTTCATGGAAATATAATAATATAGTCATGTGACACTGTTGTTTATCGATAATAGTCCCAACCCAGAGAGCCAGAGAGCTAGGACCTATACAGTCTGATGTCACACCTGATTGGCCAGTTAAGAGGGGAGGGGGGGGGGGGGGGGGGTGCGATAAATGTAATCTCACAATCTGGTCTTTCTACAGAGTCAGTTCTAATAAAAGTCTGTTCTGTTCCAGTCACCACAGAGTACGCCTGAGGACCCTGCCCCTGGTCCTCAGGCGTACTCTGTTCCAGTCCCCACAGAGTACGCCTGAGGACCCTGCCCCTGGTCCTCAGGCGGGCCTCGGCCTCTTTCTCAGACGGCTGTGTGTGTGTCTCCAGAGGCTTCAGACGGATGCAGATGTTGCAATCCTCTCCGTCTGGTTATGTAAGGGCCAGAGCATGTTTGTCATGGTTTCATCCATTTCCTGCGCTGTTAGTTCATTATCGTTACATCCAAAACCACAACAGGAATGGTCTCCGAGTCTGTCACAGAATCATTATTAAAAACAATAAAACCAGCAGAAGTCATTGGTCCTTAAAGACCCATGTGTTTGAGCAGATCCCAGTCCAAAAACACGTCCTAAAACATGAAATGTTTCTGAGTCCCTTGTGTGTGTGTGTGTGTGTGTGTGTGTGTCCGTGTGTGTGTGTGTGTGTGTGTCCGGAGCCTCACACTCACACTCACATGTAAACAGCTGTGTCTGCTCCAGAACATACAGGATTCACACTTCTCATGATGCTCCTCATCCCACTGCTCTGTAACGATGCAACACTGAACTTTCCCCACAGGGCTCAGCTGATGGAGGATCCTGAACATGGATCTTAGACAAACTTTACTGTGGACATGGGTTTGATTCTCTGATCTGCGTTGGTGAATCCACAGTTTGTAAAGTCCTCAGAAACAAACTACTGCTGTTATTATAAAAATAAAAATAAAAGTCTCTTTACCTCCGGCAGCAGCCGACGCCCACAGACAGGCCAGCAGGAGTCCCACACAGCGCCTCATGCTGGTCCCTGTGCTCCGAGGTTCTGGACAGTGCTGATCCCTGTGGTCAGTGGTGCTGGTCCCTGTGCTCCGAGGTTCTGGACAGTGCTGGTCCCTGTGCTCCAAGGTTCTGGACAGTGATGATCCCTGTGGTCCAAGGTTCTGTGCAGTAGTGATCCCTGTGAGCAGTGGTTCTGGGCTGTTGTGGTCCCTGTGGTCCGCTCTGGTCCCTGTGCTCGTGGTTCTGGGCAGTAGTGGTCCCTGTGAGCAGAGGTGCAGCTGCAGCAGAGGCGAGGGCCTGAGTGAGGGGCCCTGTGAGGACGGGGCCTTTATAAGGGGCCGCTCTGTGTGGGGGCGGAGGGATACACACATGCTGCTGCTACACACATGCTACACACATGCTGCTGCTACACACATGTTACACACATGCTGCTGCTACACACATGCTACACACATGCTACACACATGCTGCTGCTACACACATACTACTGCTACACACATGTTACACACATCAGAATCATTTTTATTGCCACGTAAGTAACAGGAGGTCACAGACTTGGAAATTGCTTTGGCTCAGTGCAACAGTCAAAAAGAGATAATAAAAAATAAATAATAAAAAACACTTCTAAAGAATAAATGTAAATTTAAAATAGAGTTACAGTTACTATTTACAATATCCAAGTGCACATGGTGCACACAATGTAAGGTGACAGCAGTACAGTGAAGTAAAGTGACGTATGATGGGCAGTAAAGTGACTTTATAAAGGGCGGGGGGACAGGTTAAGAAGTGTTCAAGAGTCCAACAGCAGAGGGGAAGAAACTGTTCTTGTGGCGGGAGGTTCTAGTCCTGATGGACCGCAGCCTCCTGCCTGAGGGGAGTGGTTGGAATAGTCCATGTGCAGGTGAGAGGGGAGTGGTTGGAATAGTCCATGTGCAGGTGAGAGGGGAGTGGTTGGAATAGTCCATGTGCAGGTGAGAGGGGAGTGGTTGGAATAGTCCATGTGCAGGTGAGAGGGGAGTGGTTGGAATAGTCCATGTGCAGGTGAGAGGGGAGTGGTTGGAATAGTCCATGTGCAGGTGAGAGGGGAGTGGTTGGAATAGTCCATGTGCAGGTGAGAGGGGAGTGGTTGGAATAGTCCATGTGCAGGTGAGAGGGGAGTGGTTGGAATAGTCCATGTGCAGGTGAGAGGGGAGTGGTTGGAATAGTCCATGTGCAGGTGAGAGGGGAGTGGTTGGAATAGTCCATGTGCAGGTGAGAGGGGAGTGGTTGGAATAGTCCATGTGCAGGTGAGAGGGGAGTGGTTGGAATAGTCCATGTGCAGGTGAGAGGGGAGTGGTTGGAATAGTCCATGTGCAGGTGAGAGGGGAGTGGTTGGAATAGTCCATGTGCAGGTGAGAGGGGAGTGGTTGGAATAGTCCATGTGCAGGTGAGAGGGGAGTGGATGGAATAGTCCATGTGCAGGGAGTAAGTTTACAGACTCTAACATCTCTAAGTTTAACGACTCTAACATCTCTAAGTTTACAGACTAACATCTCTAAGTTTACAGACTCTAACATCTCTAAGTTTACAGACTCTAACATCTCTAAGTTTACAGACTCTAACATCTCTAAGTTTACAGACTCTAACATCTCTAAGTTTAGAGACGCTAACATCTCTAAGTTTACAGACTCTAAGTTTACAGACTCTAAAATCTCTAAGTTTACAGACTCTAAAATCTCTAAGTTTACAGACTCTAACATCTCTAAGTTTACAGACTCTAACATCTCTAAGTTTAACGACTCTAACATCTCTAAGTTTACAGACTCTAACATCTCTAAGTTTACAGACTCTAACATCTCTAAGTTTAGAGACGCTAACATCTCTAAGTTTACAGACTCTAAGTTTACAGACTCTAAAATCTCTAAGTTTACAGACTCTAACATCTCTAAGTTTACAGACTCTAAAATCTCTAAGTTTACAGACTCTAACATCTCTAAGTTTACAGACTCTAACATCTCTAAATTTACAGACTCTAACATCTCTAAGTTTAACGACTCTAACATCTCTAAGTTTACAGACTCTAACATCTCTAAGTTTACAGACTCTAACATCTCTAAGTTTACAGACTCTAACATCTCTAAGTTTAGAGACGCTAACATCTCTAAGTTTACAGACTCTAAGTTTACAGACTCTAAAATCTCTAAGTTTACATACTCTAACATCTCTAAGTTTACAGACTCTAAAATCTCTAAGTTTACAGACTCTAACATCTCTAAGTTTACAGACTCTAACATCTCTAAATTTACAGACTCTAAGTTTACAGACTCTAACATCTCTAAGTTTACAGACTCTAACATCTCTAAGTTTACAGACTCTAACATCTCTAAATTTACAGACTCTAAGTTTACAGACGCTAACATCTCTAAGTTTACAGACTCTAACATCTCTAAGTTTACAGACTCTAACATCTCTAAATTTACAGACTCTAACATCTCTAAATTTACAGACTCTAACATCTCTAAGTTTACAGACTCTAACATCTCTAAGTTTACAGACTCTAACATCTCTAAGTTTACAGACTCTAACATCTCTAAGTTTACAGACTCTAACATCTCTAAGTTCACGGACTCTAACATCTCTAAGTTTACAGACTCTAACATCTCTAAGTTTACAGACTCTAACATCTCTAAATTTACAGACTCTAACATCTCTAAATTTACAGACTCTAAGTTTACAGACTCTAACATATCTAAGTTTACAGACTCTAACATCTCTAAGTTTACAGACTCTAACATCTCTAAGTTTACAGACTCTAACATCTCTAAGTTTACAGACTCTAACATCTCTAGGTTTACAGACTCTACATTTACAGACTCTAACATCTCTAAGTTTACAGACTCTAACATTTCTAAGTTTACAGACTCTAACATCTCTAAGTTTACAGACTCTACATTTACAGACTCTAACATCTCTAAGTTTACAGACTCTAAGTTTACAGACTCTAACATATCTAAGTTTACAGACTCTAACATCTCTAAGTTTACAGACTCTAACATCTCTAAGTTTACAGACTCTAACATCTCTAAATTTACAGACTCTAACATCTCTAAGTTTACAGACTCTAACATCTCTAAGTTTACAGACTCTACATTTACAGACTCTAACATCTCTAAGTTTACAGACTCTAAGTTTACAGACTCTAACATATCTAAGTTTACAGACTCTAACATCTCTAAGTTTACAGACTCTAACATCTCTAAGTTTACAGACTCTAACATCTCTAAGTTTACAGACTCTAACATCTCTACGTTTACAGACTCTAACATCTCTAAGTTTACATACTCTAAGTTGACAGACTCTAACATCTCTAAGTTTACAGACTCTAAAATCTCAAAGTTTACAGACTCTAAGTTTACAGACTCTAACATCTCTAAGTTTACAGACTCTAAGTTTACAGACTCTAAAATCTCTAAATTTACAGACTCTAACATCTCTAAGTTTACAGACTCTAACATCTCTAAGTTTACAGACTCTAACATCTCTAAGTTTACAGACTCTAACATCTCTAAGTTGTTTACAGAATCTACATTTACAGACTCTAACATCTCTAAGTTTACAGACTCTAACATCTCTAAGTTTGCAGACTCTAACATCTCTAAGTTTACAGACTCTAAGTTGACAGACTCTAACATCTCTAAGTTTACAGACTCTAAAATCTCTAAGTTTACAGACTCTAAGTTTACAGACTCTAACATCTCTAAGTTTACAGACTCTAAGTTTACATACTCTAAAATCTCTAAGTTTACAGACTCTAACATCTCTAAGTTTACAGACTCTAACATCTCTAAGTTTACAGACTCTAACATCTCTAAGTTTACAGACTCTAAGTTTACAGACTCTAAAATCTTTAAGTTTACAGACTCTAACATCTCTAAGTTTACAGACTCTAACATCTCTAAGTTTACAGACTCTAAAATCTCTAAGTTTACAGACTCTAACATCTCTAAGTTTACAGACTCTAAGTTTACAGACTCTAAAATCTCTAAGTTTACAGACTCTAACATCTCTAAGTTTACAGACTCTAACATCTCTAAGTTTACAGACTCTAACATCTCTAAGTTTACAGACTCTAAGTTTACAGACTCTAAAATCTCTAAGTTTACAGACTCTAACATCTCTAAGTTTACAGACTCTAACATCTCTAAGTTTACAGACTCTAACATCTCTAAGTTTACAGACTCTAACATCTCTAAGTTTACAGACTCTAACATCTCTAAGTTTACAGACTCTAACATCTCTAAGTTTACAGACTCTAAGGTCCTGTCTCAACACCTCTTTCACTCTGAAGCTCAGATTGTCTCACCTTTTCTGTTCCAAGAGTTTTTAAAGAAGTTGGTCGTGGATCATTTCAGTAAAGACTCCCTCAGACTGGAATAAACTCACATCCACACGGTCCACTCTGTCTTTGGTTTATTTAAGTTTGAATTATTTAAGTTTCTTGAAACTCCGTGTTTATGTCACTAATGTTCTGTGTTCTGTGTCATTATTGTTAATAATTTTACTTTATAAATGTTTAATTGTAGCAGAGGGGAGGAGTGGGCTGCGAATGAGCATTTGTTTCATTTATTATTATTATTATTATTATTATTCTTTTTTGTGTTTGTTTAATTAACTCTTCTCATATTTAAGTCGCTGTAAATTGTTATTGTGTATGTGTGTTTGTTTATATGTTTGTATTCATGTTTAGGACCCCCTCAAAAATGAGATGATTCGTCTCAAGGGGTTTTCCTTAATAAACTTAAACTTAAACTTTAACTTAAATGTGCTTTATTGATGCCTCAAAGGCTTTTGATTATGTAAATCATGAAAAACTGTTCTCTAAGATGTACATGAGAGATGTTCCAAAATGCCTAGTAAGAATTTTGGCTTTCTGGTACTCCCAACAGTCAATGTTTGTTAAATGGGGAAATTGTTTATCAGCACCGTTCTGTGTGTCTAATGGAGTGAGACAGGGCAGCATTTTGTCTCCCTTTTTATTCAATCTGTATATGGACGATCTGTCAAGACTTTTAAATGACTGTGGGACTGGCTGTCGGGTCGGCAACAGTGTAATTAACCACATAATGTATGCTGACGACCTTGCAATTTTTAGTCCGTATAGTGCTGGGCTACAAGAGCTGTAGAACTGTTTTCTTGATGTTATATTTGATGTATTGTTTTTATGTTGTGTATCTTGGGGATGTTCCCTGTTTTTGTAGCACTCTGAGGTTTCCCTGAAATGTAAAGTGCATTATAAATAAAATGTGTTATTATTATTATTAGCTGCTGCAGGTGTGCTCCCAGTATGGAACAGACTTTGACATCAAGTACAACGCAAAGAAAAGCACTGTCATGATAGTACGGAGCAGGGGGGACTCCAAGCTGTCGTTCCCTGTTTTCATTCTGTCGGGCAACAGAATGAGTGTGTCCGATGAATGTAAATACCTGGGGCATTACATGTCTGCTGACTTATCAGACGACAGGGACATCTACAGGCAATGTCGCATGCTCTATGGCCAGGCCAACATGCTGATCCGCAGGTTTGGCATGTGCTCCCCACCTGTCAAGATAAGACTCTTTCGGGCATATTGCACTCCCATGTACACAGCCCACCTGTGGAGGTGCTATAAAAAGAGCAGTCTGCAAAAACTATCTGTGGCATACAATGATGCCATGCGGATGCTGCTGAGGGTCCCACGATGGAGCAGTGCAGTGCCATGTTTGTAAATGCAGGTGTGCCCACTTGTCCTGCTGTACTGCGCAATCTCATGTCCAAGTGCATGTACAGGTGCATGTACAGGTGCATGTGCAGGTGCATGTACAGGTGCATGTACAGGTGCATGTACAGGTGCATGTGCAGGTGCATGTACAGGTGCATGTACAGGTGCATGTACAGGTGCATGTACAGGTGCATGTGCAGGTGCATGTACAGGTGCATGTGCAGGTGCATGTACAGGTGCATGTACAGGTGCATGTACAGGTGCATGTGCAGGTGCATGTACAGGTGCATGTACAGGTGCATGTGCAGGTGCATGTACAGGTGCATGTACAGGTGCATGTGCAGGTGCATGTACAGGTGCATGTGCAAGTGCATGTACAAGTGCATGTCCAAGTGCATGTCCAAGTGCATGTACAGGTGCATGTACAGGTGCATGTACAGGTGCATGTACAGGTGCATGTACAGGTGCATGTGCAGGTGCATGTGCAGGTGCATGTGCAGGCTGTCCCACTCTGTCCACAGCATCATCGCTGTATTGACCAACCCAGGTCTGAGTTCAGTGCGTTATTTCTCCAGTATATGGACTCACTGGCTTCAGAGCCTATACAGGAAATGACTTATCCTTTAACTTGTACTTGTTTTTATGTGTCTTTTTGTTTTTCTTGTTGTTATATGTCTTCTAATATGGACCTTTTACTCTTGTGTCCGAAATAAAGTATTGAATTGAATTGAATTGAATTGAATTAAACTTAAGCTTCTGTAACAGATGCTGTTTTCAACAGTTACATCACAGTCTGATAACTGCAACTACAGACCATCTGCCTCAGACCCCAGACCCCAGACCTAGACCCAGAGCCCTGGACACGTGCACTGTACAGGACACGTGCACTGTAGAGGACACGTGCGCTGTAGAGGACACGTGCGCTGTAGAGGACACGTGCGCTGTAGAGGACACGTGCGCTGTACAGGACACGTGCACTTTAGAGGACACGTGCACTGTAGAGGACACGTGCGCTGTACAGGACACGTGCACTTTAGAGGACACGTGCGCTGTAGAGGACACGTGCACTGTAGAGGACACGTGCACTGTAGAGGACACGTGCACTGTACAGGACACGTGCACTGTAGAGGAAACGTGCACTGTAGAGGACACGTGCACTGTAGAGGACACGTGCACTGTAGAGGACACGTGCACTGTACAGGACACGTGCACTGTAGACAGAGGACATGTGCACTGTAGAGGACACGTGCACTGTACAGGACACGTGCACTGTAGAGGACACGTGCACTGTACAGGACACGTGCACTGTACAGGACACGTGCACTGTAGAGGACACGTGCACTGTAGAGGACACGTGCACTGTAGAGGACAGGTGCACTATACAGGACACGTGCACTGTAGAGGACACGTGCACTGTAGAGGACACGTGCACTGTAGGGGACACGTGCACTGTACAGGACACGTGCACTGTACAGGACACGTGCACTGTTTATTTTGTTTATTTATTTATTTAGATCCCCATTAGCTACTGAAATAAAACAGTAGCTATTCTTCCTGGGGTCTTAAAAATTTCTTAACAGATATTACATCAAAGCTGTGCAACAATGAAGACAAACACAGAAGTGCACACGAACACATATACACTGTACAGGACACGTGCACTGTACAGGACACGTGCACTGTACAGGACACGTGCACTGTAGAGGACACGTGCGCTGTAGAGGACACGTGCACTGTACAGGACACGTGCACTGTACAGGACACGTGCACTGTAGAGGACACGTGCACTGTACAGGACACGTGCACTGTACAGGACACGTGCACTGTACAGGACACGTGCACTGTAGAGGACACGTGCGCTGTAGAGGACACGTGCACTGTACAGGACACGTGCACTGTACAGGACACGTGCACTGTACAGGACACGTGCACTGTAGAGGACACGTGCGCTGTAGAGGACACGTGCGCTGTAGAGGACACGTGCACTGTAGAGGACAGGTGCACTGTACAGGACACGTGCACTGTACAGGACACGTGCACTGTACAGGACACGTGCACTGTACAGGACACGTGCACTGTAGAGGACACGTGCGCTGTAGAGGACACGTGCGCTGTAGAGGACACGTGCACTGTAGAGGAAACGTGCACTGTACAGGACACGTGCACTGTAGAGGACACGTGCGCTGTACAGGACACATGCACTGTACAGGACACGTGCACTGTACAGGACACGTGCACTGTAGAGGACACGTGCGCTGTAGAGGACACGTGCGCTGTAGAGGACACGTGCGCTGTAGAGGACACGTGCGCTGTAGAGGACACGTGCGCTGTACAGGACACGTGCACTTTAGAGGACACGTGCACTGTACAGGACACGTGCACTGTAGAGGACACGTGCACTGTAGAGGACACGTGCACTGTACAGGACACATGCACTGTACAGGACACGTGCACTGTAGAGGACACGTGCACTGTACAGGACACGTGCACTGTACAGGACACGTGCACTGTACAGGACACGTGCACTGTAGAGGACACGTGCGCTGTAGAGGACACGTGCGCTGTAGAGGACACGTGCACTGTACAGGACACGTGCACTGTAGAGGACACGTGCACTGTAGAGGACACGTGCGCTGTACAGGACACATGCACTGTACAGGACACGTGCACTGTAGAGGACACGTGCGCTGTAGAGGACACGTGCGCTGTAGAGGACACGTGCGCTGTAGAGGACACGTGCGCTGTACAGGACACGTGCACTTTAGAGGACACGTGCACTGTACAGGACACGTGCACTGTAGAGGACACGTGCACTGTAGAGGACACGTGCACTGTACAGGACACGTGCACTGTAGAGGACACGTGCGCTGTAGAGGACACGTGCACTGTACAGGACACGTGCACTGTACAGGACACGTGCGCTGTAGAGGACACGTGCGCTGTAGAGGACACGTGCGCTGTAGAGGACACGTGCACTGTAGAGGACACGTGCACTGTACAGGACACGTGCACTGTACAGGACACGTGCACTGTACAGGACACGTGCACTGTAGAGGACACGTGCGCTGTAGAGGACACGTGCGCTGTAGAGGACACGTGCACTGTAGAGGAAACGGCACTGTACAGGACACGTGCACTGTAGAGGACACGTGCGCTGTACAGGACACATGCACTGTACAGGACACGTGCACTGTACAGGACACGTGCACTGTAGAGGACACGTGCGCTGTAGAGGACACGTGCGCTGTAGAGGACACGTGCGCTGTAGAGGACACGTGCGCTGTACAGGACACGTGCACTTTAGAGGACACGTGCACTGTACAGGACACGTGCACTGTAGAGGACACGTGCACTGTAGAGGACACGTGCACTGTACAGGACACGTGCACTGTACAGGACACGTGCACTGTAGAGGACACGTGCACTGTACAGGACACGTGCACTGTACAGGACACGTGCACTGTACAGGACACGTGCACTGTAGAGGACACGTGCGCTGTAGAGGACACGTGCGCTGTAGAGGACACGTGCACTGTACAGGACACGTGCACTGTAGAGGACACGTGCACTGTAGAGGACACGTGCGCTGTACAGGACACATGCACTGTACAGGACACGTGCACTGTAGAGGACACGTGCGCTGTAGAGGACACGTGCGCTGTAGAGGACACGTGCGCTGTAGAGGACACGTGCGCTGTACAGGACACGTGCACTTTAGAGGACACGTGCACTGTACAGGACACGTGCACTGTAGAGGACACGTGCACTGTAGAGGACACGTGCACTGTACAGGACACGTGCACTGTAGAGGACACGTGCACTGTACAGGACACGTGCACTGTACAGGACACGTGCACTGTACAGGACACGTGCACTGTAGAGGACACGTGCGCTGTAGAGGACACATGCACTGTAGAGGACACGTGCGCTGTAGAGGACACGTGCGCTGTAGAGGACACGTGCACTGTACAGGACACGTGCACTGTAGAGGACACGTGCACTGTAGAGGACACGTGCGCTGTACAGGACACGTGCACTGTAGAGGACACGTGCGCTGTAGAGGACACGTGCGCTGTAGAGGACACGTGCGCTGTAGAGGACACGTGCGCTCTAGAGGACACGTGCACTGTACAGGACACGTGCACTGTAGAAGAAACGTGCACTGTAGAGGACACGTGCACTGTACAGGACACGTGCACTGTACAGGACACGTGCACTGTACAGGACACATGCACTTTAGAGGACACGTGCACTGTACAGGACACGTGCACTGTAGAGGACACGTGCACTGTAGAGGACACGTGCACTGTACAGGACACGTGCACTGTACAGGACACGTGCACTGTAGAGGACACGTGCACTGTACAGGACACGTGCACTGTAGAGGACACGTGCACTGTACAGGACACGTGCACTGAAGAGGACACGTGCACTGTACAGGACACGTGCACTGTAGAGGACACGTGCACTGTAGAGGACACGTGCACTGTACAGGACACGTGCACTGTAGAGGACACGTGCACTGTACAGGACACGTGCACTGTAGAGGACACGTGCACTGTACAGGACACGTGCACTGTACAGGACACGTGCACTGTACAGGACACGTGCACTGTACAGGACACGTGCACTGTACAGGACACGTGCACTGTAGAGGACACGTGCACTGTACAGGACACGTGCACTGTAGAGGACACGTGCACTGTAGAGGACACGTGCACTGTAGAGGACAAGTGCACTGTAGAGGACACGTGCACTGTAGAGGACACGTGCACTGTACAGGATACGTGCACTATAGAGGACACGTGCGCTGTAGAGGACACGTGCGCTGTAGAGGACACGTGCACTGTAGAGGACATGTGCACTGTACAGGACACGTGCACTGTAGAGGACACGTGCGCTGTAGAGGACACGTGCGCTGTAGAGGACACGTGCACTGTAGAGGACACGTGCACTGTAGAGGACACGTGCACTGTACAGGACACGTGCACTGTACAGGACACGTGCACTGTAGAGGACACGTGCACTGTAGAGGACACGTGCACTGTACTGATGATCCTGATGATGATGATCCTGATGATGATGAACCTGATGAAGATGAACCTGATGATGATGATCCTGATGATGATGATCCTGATGATGATGAACCTGATGATGATGAACCTGATGATGATGATCCTGATGATGATGATCCTGATGATGATGATCCTGATGATGATGAACCTGATGAAGATGAACCTGATGATGATGATCCTGATGATGATGATCCTGATGATGATGAACCTGATGATGATGATCCTGATGATGATGAACCTGATGATGATGAACCTGATGATGATGAACCTGATGATGATGAACCTGATGATGATGAACCTGATGATTAGAGCTGTCTGAATCATTGGAGTTATAATAAAGTTAAAGGTGCACTTTATTGATCACCGTAGAGCACTTCATCTGCATTTGACCCTGATGCCCTGAGGCTTAGGTCAGGAACAGTGGTTACCGTAGTAACAGCGCCCGGAAACATCTGCAGATGTTGATGCTCTTAGTCAGGACCAGAGCTGGAGGATTTAACCTGGTGTCAGGACTTAACCTGGTGTGAGGATTTAACCTGGTGTGAGGACTTAACCTGGTGTGAGGACTTAACCTGGTGTGAGGATTTAACCTGGTGTGAGGACTTAACCTGGTGTGAGGACTTAACCTGGTGTGAGGACTCAACCTGGTGTGAGGATTTAACCTGGTGTGAGGACTCAACCTGGTGTGAGGACTTAACCTGGTGTGAGGACTTAACCTGGTGTGAGGATTTAACCTGGTGTGAGGACTCAACCTGGTGTGAGGACTTAACCTGGTGTGAGGACTCAACCTGGTGTGAGGATTTAACCTGGTGTGAGGACTCAACCTGGTGTGAGGACTTAACCTGGTGTGAGGACTTAACCTGGTGTGAGGACTTAACCTGGTGTGAGGACTTAACCTGGTGTGAGGACTTAACCTGGTGTGAGGATTTAACCTGGTGTGAGGACTTAACCTGGTGTGAGGACTTAACCTGGTGTGAGGACTTAACCTGGTGTGAGGACTTAACCTGGTGTGAGGACTTAACCTGGTGTGAGGATTTAACCTGGTGTGAGGATTTAACCTGGTGTGAGGACTTAACCTGGTGTGAGGACTTAACCTGGTGTGAGGACTTAACCTGGTGTGAGGACTTAACCTGGTGTCCGAGCCAAATGAGCAATGAAATAAAAATAAACAATATAACCTTAAACTGCTCAGGGTCCATTGGACTTCAGAGTGTGTGTCTGTGGCCCTCTCAGAGTGTGTGTCTGTGGCCCTCTCAGAGTGTGTGTCTGTGGCCCTCTCAGAGTGTGTGTCTGTGGCCCTCTCAGAGTGTGTGTCTGTGGCCCTCTCAGAGTGTGTGTCTGTGGTCCTCTCAGAGTGTGTGTCTGTGGCCCTCTCAGAGTGTGTGTCTGTGGCCCTCTCAGAGTGTGTGACACCTGAGTTGTCGTGTTTACATGTGTGTGGAACAATGCAGTGGCAGTGATCCGGTTTCCTGGCTCTCCATCTCAGCCCTGAGGGCCGCCTTTGTCCTGAAGCAGCTGCATTCACGGAGCATTCACGGAGCATTCACGGAGCATTCACGGAGCATTCACGGAGCATTCACGGAGCATTCTCTCAGGCCTGGAGTGGTCGACAGGGCCCAGCGTGAAAGGCCAAACTGGGCCAAATGTTCCAGAAAAGAGCTGTTTAAAGGATCGCTGCTGTTTCTCAGAATCCTAATGCTCTGCTGCTTTGTGTTTGTGTACTGGCTGTGGGTAACCCTCCCACTGCTCCCACTGCTCCCACTGCTCCCACTGCACAAAGGCTGGAGCCACAGGGAACACAGCACATCATCAAACATGTCAGAATGTGTCGGACTTCATCTGCCAAACCAGGCGCACCAGCAGCTTCTACCGTCTGAAAAACATGCTCCAAATACAAAAACAGAGTCTAAAGCAGTGTCAGACTGAAGTCCTCTCACATGGTCCTGGTCTCAGGTCAGGACATATGAACTGGGGAGCACAGGGACTGGACTCCTGCTGGGACTCTGAGGAGCACAGGGACTGCCTCCTGCTGGGACACTGAGGAGCACAGGGACTGGCCTCCTGCTGGGACACTGAGGAGCACAGGTACTGGCCTCCTGCTGGGACTATGAGGAGCACAGGGACTGGCCTCCTGCTGGGACTCTGAGGAGCACAGGGACTGGCCTCCTGCTGGGACTATGAGGAGCACAGGGACTGGCCTTTGTCTTTTGCTCTACTGTCTGCCTTACTGGATCTGTCATTTTGTGAATGATCTCATTAGGGACGTATCCTCCAAATAAATAAATAAAGATTGAACTGAATTCTCCAGAGATCAAAAAGAGAGCTGTGTCTACGTGAGCCGTAGTCCTGTTTCCCTGGTTCATGGGAACAAGAACTGTCAGAGCAGCAGAGAATGAGAGTGTGAAGAAGAAGAGATGTGACTGAGACGGTGTTTGATGCAGCGACACAAACCAAAGCACAACATGTTAAAGTTCAGATTTATTGGTCATATTTACAGTTTGGGTTCTACAGAGCAGGAGCAGACAAACATGCGTCTGCGCCCGCTTCATCTCGCTCTAAAAACACCTTTGATAATATGAAATCTTATAAAAACAGTGTCCTGGGTCCACATGCAGCAGACGGACTCCAGCAGAGGAACTGCCGAGGGACGGAGCACACAACCTTCTTATAAAACGACATTAAAAGTGAACAGACTCTGCTCTTGTCCTATTGCTCCTGTGGCTCATGTAAAGGGCCTGTACCTAAAACAACATTTACATTACTCCTTAGTCGCTCCTCTCTCTAAACAGCTGCTTCTGTCGCTGGTTTTCTTGTGTTTCTGTCTCGGTCACATTTTTAGATCCGTTTTTTTCCATCCAAAAAGTGAGAGAGACCCCCCCTCACTCAGCCCAACCCCTCAAATAGTGACTCTCAGGGCTCGCTCCAAATATGTTTTAAAAACCCAAATGTTTTAGCCTGGTTTCTTCACAAACTTTGACAAGACTCTGGTAAAATAAACATGTATGATGAAACGGTAATGTTAGGTATCCCAGCTTTAAGTGAGGTAAGATCAATAGGGGACGACCTTTGCTTGAAAATAGTCGTTAATTATTCAGAATTTGGAAAGATTTGGCCCATTCTAGACAATGTCATTACACAAGAACGTCCAGAACTGAAAACTAAGATGGACTAAAACAAAAAGCTACAGTAAACCCTCATCCTGGTCCTCTTCTGGGCTCTTCTAGGCTCTTCTGGGCTCTTCTGGGTTCTTCTGGGCTCTTCTGGGCTCTTCTGGGTTCTTCTGGGTTCTTCTGGGTTTTCCTTTTGCAGCAGGTTTTGTGGCTGTGTGGATTAGGTACAGACCCCAAAACCATCTTTCACACTCAGTCCAGTCTCACAGGTCTCCACTGGGTCTGAGTCCGTCTGGGTCTGAGTCCGTCTGGGTCTGAGTCCGTCTGGGTCTGAGTCCGTCTGGGTCTGAGTCGTCTGGGTCTGAGTCCGTCTGGGTCTGAGTCCGTCTGGGTCTGAGTCCGTCTGGGTCTGAGTCCGCTGGGTCTGAGTCCGTCTGGGTCTGAGTCCGTCTGGGTCTGAGTCCTCTGGGTCTGAGTCCGTCTGGGTCTGAGTCCGTCTGGGTCTGAGTCCATCTGGGTCTGAGTACGTCTGGGTCTGAGTCCGTCTGGGTCTGAGTCCGCTGGGTCTGAGTCCGTCTGGGTCTGAGTCCAGAAAACCCAGAACCATGAATGTGTGTAAGGAATCCCTCTGAAGCTTTAAGACTGTCCAGACGTGGTCTTACGAGAGGAGTCTTATCTCGGATAGTCATGGATGGATTGATTCAACAAAGAAGAAGTGCTCACTGCAGCAAATGTAGATACATTAATAAACGATATGGAGAAGAATCCAGTCTGGACTTTCAGAGAACTAAGAACAATATTGAAAACTAGATTCTGAGCAAAAGATTCAGCCATAAAAATAAGTGCTTTTATTCCTCGACAAATCCTCGTTTGTGTCGAGTCGACTTCACAACAACCAAAAGACATTTGTGACGGAGACTTTGCGCTGGTTCAGACGTTTACACGACAAGATGGATCTGGACTTTGGCAGAGGTCTCCAGAGGGTTTAGGAACTCAGAGCTGAGGGACTCTGAAGGGTCTGAAAGGTCCAGGCTCTGAAAGGTCCAGGCTCTGAAAGGTCCAGGCTCTGAAAGGTCCGGGCTCTGAAAGGTCCGGGCTCTGAAGGGTATGGGCTCTGAAAGGTCCGGGCTCTGAAGGGTCTGGGCTCTGAAGGGTCCGGGCTCTGAAGGGTCCGGGCTCTGAAAGGTCCAGGCTCTGAAGGGTCCAGGCTCTGAAGGGTCCAGGCTCTGAAGGGTCCAGGCTCTGAAGGGTCCAGGCTCTGAAGGGTCCAGGCTCTGAAGGGTCCAGGCTCTGAAGGGTCCAGGCTCTGAAGGGTCCGGGCTCTGAAGGGTCCAGGCTCTGAAGGGTCCAGGCTCTGAAGGGTCCGGGCTCTGAAGGGTCCAGGCTCTGAAGGGTCCAGGCTCTGAAGGGTCCGGGCTCTGAAGGGTCCAGGCTCTGAAGGGTCCAGGCTCTGAAGGGTCCAGGCTCTGAAGGGTCCAGGCTCTGAAGGGTCCAGGCTCTGAAGGGTCCAGGCTCTGAAGGGTCTGGGCTCTGAGTGGTCTGAGTTGGGGCCTGGATGTGATGAAGTTACTCTCTGTTGAAGTTTGAAGGTATTTTCATAACAATTGTCAATGTTTTAATAAAATACTATTTACCAAAAGATTTGTTTCTTTAGTTTGATTATTCTAATCCACTGGAATATTGCATCTAAACTGATCCAAGTCATCTGAAGTACTTAAAGTAGTATTTATCTTAATTTGAATGTATTTTGACTCTTAAAAAGGAGTATTATTTGCCATGGAGCAGGCGTGGCTCACGTGTGGCTTCATGTTGGTTCTTACATCAGTCTGATTCAGGAAGTCATCGGCCACAGAGCCTGAGCGAAGACCAACCAGGCTTGTTCCGTTGGGTCAGAATACACTTGCATCAAGACGAACGCTGCTTTTCACGAATTGTTCATTGAGAGAGTAGTGTAGGATCAGATATTCAGTTTGGCAGTTTGGCCCACGCAGCAGGCCCCCTCCGGGTTCCCGCGCTCTTCTATGGGGGCCCCAAACGTGCCCCCCCATCGCAGCGGGAGCCCATGGAGCCTCTGGAGGTCAAGAAGCCGCTGCCTCTCCTGGGCCTTCTTCGCTCTGTTGGCGATGTAGCGGACGCGACTCTGACTCCGGGAAGACGTACGGCGAACCAGTCCTTCGTCCACGTTCTCCTCCCTCTCTTCTGCCTCTCTTTCCACCCTACTCTCTCGTTCCTCCCTGTCCACATCCTCCTCCTGCTCCACGTCTGTGAGTCTTCGTATCCGAGCAGCCAGCGTATCCACCGGAGCCTGGCGTTCTCTGGTCGGACGGGTCACGAAGCTTCTGCTGATGCCGCGGTACCTGCTCTGGAAGCGCGGGGAGATGTCGTCCGACGTCAGGTCTCCCAGACTCTTGGACACGGAGTCTGCGGAGGACGCCAGCGAGGGACCGGCGGACGACTGCAGCAGCGCCTCCATGAAGAGACGGCTCCACGTGTGGCGCCGCGGAGACGACCTGCAGTCCGGTGGATGGAGGCTGGGGGTGGACGCGAGGGAGGTGAGACTCTGGTCGAGGTCAGGGCTAGATTTGGTGCAACTGGACGTGAGGGAGACAAGGTTCTGGTCGAGGTGGGACTTTGGAAGTGCAGATGAGCTGCACACATAGCTTTGGCCGAGGTTGGGGTTGGATTTGGTGCAACTGGACGTGAGAGAGACAAGGTTCTGGTCGAGGCTGGATTTGGTCACATGTGCAGAAGACTTAGTACGTGGGTAAAGGTTCTTGTCCAGATCGGGACTAGACTTGGCAAGGTAGACAGAGTTGTGGTCGAGGCTCGACTTTCCAATGTGTGCAGAGCCGGATCTAAACCTCTGGTCAAAGTCCGACCTGGCAGGAGAGCTGGAGATGAGCGGGGGTCGAGCGGGCCACGGGAGACTGTGGCGGGACAGGCTGCTCATGGACATGTCGATGACCGTGTCGCTGGAGGACAGGCTGGAGGAGGACGACACGCTGTCCCGGTTGGGCGGCTCCAAATGGCTCCACAGACGGTCACAGGTGGTGGCGTCGGTGCAAAGCTGCGGAACCACAGACTGGACCTGGCCTTCGCTCTTGGTCCTCCGCACGGCGGGCCTCAAAGGGACGTGTTGCTGGGGCCTCCTCTGTCGTGGAGCCGTTTGTTCCGCCGGTGGGGGTTCGGTGTGGGCCGGTGGCGGGGGCTGGACGAGGGGACTTGTGACGGTCGGGCATCGGTCGGCCTCCAGGATGTCCGGTTCTTGGGGTAGAGAGGGTTGAGCCGTTCTCCGGACAGTGCAGTCATCTGAAAGAAAACAGAAGCGAATGCATCAGTTTTATATTGTGCTTTTTTGGACTCTCAAATAAATGTCATTATTCTTTCACTCCAAGCACAGCGGCAATCTACTACTGAAGCCACAGCTGCCCTGGGGCACACTGACAGAGGCCCCTCCCACCACCACCAACCATTCACACACGAATCAGACTCATTCTAATGTGGGGGAAGTGTCTTGCCTAAGGACACAACCACAGTTTGGCACTTTACAGCCGCCCCACTGTGGCATCTAACCCTAACCCATCACAGCGCTACTCAGGCCCTGCCCAGCTTAGCTTCAAAGATCTCACGTCCTCCCGTCACCAGGAACAGAAGAAGAGCGCAGCACTTGAAGAGGGGGTGGGGCTAAGGGCGGTTTAGGGGCAGGGTGTATATGTTATAGCTCCCTCCCCGATGGTCCGGGCTGATGGTCCGGGCTGATGGTCTTTACCTGGCTCTGGATCATCCTCTCAGTTCTGCACTAGGAGCGAAGCGTGAAACGGGAAAGAGAAGAAGAAGAAAGGATTTAAGCAGAAACAAGACTTAGGTCAGAGGTATACATGAGAGGTATACATGAGAGGTATACATGAGAGGTATACATGAGAGGTATACATGAGAGGTATACATGAGAGGTATACATATACATGAGAGGTACAGTACCAGTGTGCAGTAGATACCAGTGTGCAGCAGATACCAGTGTGCAGTAGATACCAGTGTGCAGTAGATACCAGTGTGCAGCAGATACCAGTGTGCAGCAGATACCAGTGTGCAGTAGATACCAATACCAGTGTGCAGTAGATACCAGTGTGCAGTAGATACCAGTGTGCAGCAGATACCAGTGTGCAGTAGATACCAGAGTGCAGTAGATACCAATACCAGTGTGCAGCAGATACCAGTGTGCAGTAGATACCAGTGTGCAGTAGATACCAGTGTGCAGCAGATACCAGTGTGCAGTAGATACCAGAGTGCAGTAGATACCAATACCAGTGTGCAGCAGATACCAGTGTGCAGTAGATACCAGTGTGCAGTAGATACCAGTGTGCAGCAGATACCAGTGTGCAGTAGATACCAGAGTGCAGTAGATACCAATACCAGTGTGCAGTAGATACCAGTGTGCAGTAGATACCAGTTTGCAGTAGATACCAGTGTGCAGTAGATACCAGTGTGCAGTAGATACCAGTGTGCAGCAGATACCAGTGTGCAGTAGATACCAGTGTGCAGTAGAGGGTTGTGAGGTAGCTCACAGAGACAGAGCAGACTCTGCTGAGTGTAAACAGTTAAAAACTCACCACTGTTCTCATCTATTCAGCATGAGGGGAATGTTAAAGAACTCATTTAGTCCAAAGAAGAAGTCCACCAGGGTCTACAGGAAGTGCCTGGGTCTACAGGAAGTGCCTGGGTCTACAGGAAGTGCCTGAGTCTACAGGAAGTGCCTGGGTCTACAGGAAGTGCCTGGGTCTACAGGAAGTGCCTGAGTCTACAGGAAGTGCCTGGGTCTACAGGATCTGCTTGGGTCTACAGGATCTGCTTGGGTCTACAGGATCTGCTTGGGTCTACAGGATCTGCTTGGGTCTACAGGATCTGCTTGGGTCTACAGGATCTGCTTGGGTCTACAGGATCTGCTTGGGTCTACAGGATCTGCTTGGGTCTACAGGATCTGCTTGGCTCTGACCATTGATGATGGAGGGGAAGGTACTCTGACTGGACTCTACTGTAGGTGGTTTACCTCCAGCTCTTACCCGTAAAGAACAAGGGGGATTTGTGGCGTAACTCCTGCAGCTTCAGTGTGAACAGAGCGTTCATCTCGCGCTGCAGCGTCCCCACAGCTCTCCTCTGGGTGGGGGGGACGTGGGGGGTGTCCAGACTGCTCAGACTGCCCAAGCTATCACAGCTGCTGCTGTCAGTGAGGAGCAGGTCTCCCACACAGGGCTCTGAGAACTGAGAGCTGAAGTGTGCAGGAATCATGGGCCAGCGGAGGTCTGGCCTCCCCACTGTGAGGCCCGGGGCTGGACCCACACTGTTGGGGAAACACCTGCGCGGCACGCTGCAGGACCAGGTGATCCTCTGTGCGCCACTGGTCTGAGGCCGCAGGTGCTGAGGGCCCAGAGTTTGTCTGTCTTTAGGAGTACGGCCTTGGAGAGGGCCGTGGAGAGGGCCGTGGGCAGCGAGAGGAGAGCTCTGGAGCTGCTGTGTCCCTGCACTGGCCTCCTCTGTGGCCCCTGCCCTGCGCTTGGCCTGTGGACTCTCTGGACTCTCTGGACTCTCTGGACTCTCTGGACTCTCTGGACTCTCTGGACCCTCTTTGGGGCCGATGACACATGTGATGCAGTTGGAGGACATGCCCACTCGGCCTGAGCTGTTCAGAGCCACACGAGCAAACACCCCTGGCTTCATGTCCAGTGGGCGGCGCTTCAGAGGCTCGCTCTGAGCCGTGTGCAGCGAGCCCTTACCTTTGCTCTGGTCTGGGTGCAGAGCACCGTTGGTGCCAGGATGGTCCCAGGGGTCCTTGGCTTGAGGGGCGGAGTCTCTGTTGTGCTGCTGTGGAAGTGTAGGCTGAGGGGCAGACTCCCGGTCATCACTGGCCCCCTCGGAGCTGTAGTCCTTGTTGTCTAGGGCCAGCTCGGAGAAGCCCTTCTTGGTCTTGGGCTGGCCTTTGGTGGGGGCACTGGCGGTGCGGCGCAGCAGGTGGGCGCCGAACGGGTGTTTACGACTCTGCTGCGCAGCAGCAGTGCTGTCCAGGGAAGACTGCTTTGGGTTTCTGTGGAACAGGCCTTTGATGCCGGAGGCTGCTTTGGCCTAAACACAAACAACACAATCAGAAACTCAGAGGAAGCATACAACAGTACTAAGAGCATGCTGTGTGGCTCTGGTACCACTCATTCTCCTGCTGTAAGACGTCAGCATCACTGTCTTTGAATAAGCTTAGATTCAAAGTTCTCATTCAGAAAGTGTTCTCTCAGACAGCTGGAGTGTGCTGCAGGGTGAGAATGCAAACAGCCGAGCAGATGGACATAAAACACAAGCACAGAGTGGAAGGAGATCTGTCATCACACACTCAGTGTGGTGCACCACACAAGTGTCACAACTTGGTCACAACCACAGACTTCTGTCAGTGAATTATATTGACCTGAACTGTGGTCATACTTTAGATGAATAGATTGCTCCCATTGGTCCTTGGGCAAGACACTTCACCACCTCGCCCTCAGTGTCTGTACACAGGTGTGTGAATGTGGGTTTGTTGGTGGAAGGAACAAACAAACCATATTCTGTAAATGTAGCTATTTACTGTTTACGTGAATTACACGATAAAATAAACATTCTCTTTGTGACCGCCTGAGTTTCGCCTGAACTCTGACCTTTGTGCTGTAAACAGTGCACCTCCATCTTTTAAATGCAGAATTCAGACTTTCTTTTATTGTATTTCTTTAGAATTTGGAATCTTCAAGTGTCTAATGATACGGTGTCAGACCAGAGGGGTCAGACCAGAGGGGTCAGACCAGAGGGGTCAGACCAGAGGGGTCAGACCAGAGGGGTCAGACCAGTGGGGTCAGACCAGTGGGGTCAGACCAGTGGCTCATGCACAGTGGTGTCTACAGGAGGAGATGTCAGAAGGATTTACACATGTGTAGTTCATTTATGACACTTGTGAAACTAAAGCTGCGTTTCTGGAGTTCCCACTTTAGAACAAAAGCAATGTTTAATTTGTGGATCTGCTTCAGTTCTCAGAGAAAGCCCAGTTTGTGTTCCTCAGACTGTGATACACATGTGTTCCTCAGACTGTGATACACATGTGTTCCTCAGACTGTGATACACATGTGTTCCTCAGACTGTGATACACATGTGTTCCTCAGACTGTGATACACATGTGTTCCTCAGACTGTGATACACATGTGTTCCTCAGACTGTGATACACATGTGTTCCTCAGACTGTGATACACATGTGTTCATCAGACTGTGATACACATGTGTTCCTCAGACTGTGATACACATGTGTTCATCAGACTGTGATACACATGTGTTCCTCAGACTGTGATACACATGTGGCAACACTTCTGACTCTCCACATGTTGGGTCTCACTACACCTGAGTTTGGGAGGCAGCTGCTGGACTGCTGTGAAGGAGGAGAAGGAGAAGGAGGAGGAGGAGAAGGAGGAGGAGAAAGAAGAGAAGGAGGAGAAGGAGGAGAAGGAGGAGGAGGAGGAGGAGAAGGAGGAGAAGGAGGAGAAGGAGGAGGAGGAGAAGGAGGAGAAGGAGAAAGAAGAGAAGGAGGAGGAGAAGGAGGAGAAGGAGGAGAAGGAGGAGGAGAAAGAAGAGAAGGAGGAGGAGAAAGAAGAGAAGAAGGAGGAGAAGGAGGAGAAGGAGGAGGAGAAGGAGGAGGAGGAGAAGGAGGAGAGAGGGATGAAGGAGGACACAAGCACACCGCTGCATTGGAAGGACAGGCAGAAGACACACACACACACACACACACACAGGACAGGCAGAAGACACACACACACACAGGACAGGCAGAAGACACACACACACACACACACAGAACAGGCAGAAGACACACACACACACACAGGACAGGCAGAAGACACACACACACACACACAGGACAGGCAGAAGACACACACACACACACACAGGACAGGCAGAAGACACACACACACAGGACAGGCAGAAGACACACACACACACACATAAACACATGCACAGGACAGGCAGAAGACACACACACACACACACACAGGAAGAAGACACGCACACACACACACACACAGGACAGGCAGAAGACACACACACACACATAAACACACACACAGGACAGGCAGAAGACATACACACACACACACACAGGACAGGCAGAAGACAAACACACACACAGGACAGAGTCAAACACACACATTGCAGTACACAGCGTCAGCCACATGAGGGCGCACACACACTACAGTGAAATCTGTCCACTGGAAATGTTTGTACAAGAGAGCATCGCTATGACAACCCACAGTAACACCCACCCATGGTGTGATGTCACATTCATAAAGGGTTAGGGTTAATGATACTTCATGAACTGTTTTTTTCTATCATGAGATTTCCTGATACGATTGCAAAGGTCCAATGTATAATTTATTTGTATATAGCTGTGTTTGAAAGTTAACACACGCAGCCAGAGGTTTCATAGTTTTGGTTATATTTATCATATATTATTATTATTATTAATATTATTATTATTAATATTATCATTATCATCTTTATTATTATTATTATTAATATTATTATCAATATTATTATTATTATTATTATTATCATCTTTATTTTTATTATTATTATCATTATTATTAATCTTTATTATTATTATTATCTTTATTATTATTAATTTTTATTATTATTATTATCATCATTATTATTAATCTTTATTATTATTATCTTTATTATTATTATCTTTATTATTATCATTATTATTATTATTATTATTATCTTAATTTGTCAGACTCGAAGTCCATAAAATACAAACACAACAAACAAACAATTATAAAAGACAGTTGTACCAGAGCTTCCACAGAACTAACACTGGGTTCACCAGAGCCTGCACTAAAGAGTTCTCACTGACATTCAGAGACTACACTAAAGAGTTCTCACTGACATTCAGAGCCTGCACTAAAGAGTTCTCACTGACATTCAGAGCCTACACTAAAGAGTTCTCACTGACATTCAGAGACTACACTAAAGAGTTCTCACTGACATTCAGAGACTACACTAAAGAGTTCTCACTGAAATTCAGAGACTACACTAAAGAGTTCTCACTGACATTCAGAGACTACACTAAAGAGTTCTCACTGACATTGAGAGACTACACTAAAGAGTTCTCACTGACATTCAGAGCCTACACTAAAGAGTTCTCACTGACATTCAGAGCATGCACTAAAGAGTTCTCACTGACATTCAGAGCCTGCACTAAAGAGTTCTCACTGACATTCAGAGCCTGCACTAAAGAGTTCTCACTGACATTCAGAGCCTGCACTAAAGAGTTCTCACTGACATTCAGAGACTACACTAAAGAGTTCTCACTGACATTCAGAGCCTGCACTAAAGAGTTCTCACTGACATTCAGAGCCTGCACTAAAGAGTTCTCACTGACATTCAGAGACTACACTAAAGAGTTCTCACTGACATTCAGAGACTACACTAAAGAGTTCTCACTGAAATTCAGAGACTACACTAAAGAGTTCTCACTGACATTCAGAGACTACACTAAAGAGTTCTCACTGACATTCAGAGCCTACACTAAAGAGTTCTCACTGACATTCAGAGACTACACTAAAGAGTTCTCACTGACATTCAGAGCCTGCACTAAAGAGTTCTCACTGACATTCAGAGACTACACTAAAGAGTTCTCACTGACATTCAGAGCCTGCACTAAAGAGTTCTCACTGACATTCAGAGCCTGCACTAAAGAGTTCTCACTGACATTCAGAGACTACACTAAAGAGTTCTCACTGAAATTCAGAGACTACACTAAAGAGTTCTCACTGACATTCAGAGACTACACTAAAGAGTTCTCACTGACATTCAGAGCCTGCACTAAAGAGTTCTCACTGACATTCAGAGCCTGCACTAAAGAGTTCTCACTGACATTCAGAGACTACACTAAAGAGTTCTCACTGAAATTCAGAGACTACACTAAAGAGTTCTCACTGACATTCAGAGACTACACTAAAGAGTTCTCACTGACATTCAGAGCCTACACTAAAGAGTTCTCACTGACATTCAGAGACTACACTAAAGAGTTCTCACTGAAATTCAGAGACTACACTAAAGAGTTCTCACTGACATTCAGAGACTACACTAAAGAGTTCTCACTGACATTCAGAGCCTACACTAAAGAGTTCTCACTGACATTCAGAGACTACACTAAAGAGTTCTCACTGACATTCAGAGCCTGCACTAAAGAGTTCTCACTGATATTCAGAGACTACACAAAAGAGTTCTCACTGACATTCAGGGCCTACACTAAAGAGTTCTCACTGACATTCAGAGACTACACTAAAGAGTTCTCACTGACATTCAGAGCCTGCACTAAAGAGTTCTCACTGACATTCAGAGCCTGCACTAAAGAGTTCTCACTGACATTCAGAGCCTGCACTAAAGAGTTCTCACTGACATTCAGAGACTACACTAAAGAGTTCTCACTGACATTCAGAGACTACACTAAAGAGTTCTCACTGACATTCAGAGCCTGCACTAAAGAGTTCTCACTGACATTCAGAGCCTACACTAAAGAGTTCTCACTGACATTCAGAGCCTACACTAAAGAGTTCTCACTGACATTCAGAGCCTGCACTAAAGAGTTCTCACTGACATTCAGAGACTACACTAAAGAGTTCTCACTGACATTCAGAGCCTGCACTAAAGAGTTCTCACTGACATTCAGAGCCTGCACTAAAGAGTTCTCACTGACATTCAGAGCCTGCACTAAAGAGTTCTCACTGACATTCAGAGACTTCACTAAAGAGTTCTCACTGACATTCAGAGCCTGCACTAAAGAGTTCTCACTGACATTCAGAGACTACACTAAAGAGTACTCACTGACATTCAGAGCCTGCACTAAAGAGTTCTCACTGACATTCAGAGCCTGCACTAAAGAGTTCTCACTGACATTCAGAGCCTGCACTAAAGAGTTCTCACTGACATTCAGAGACTTCACTAAAGAGTTCTCACTGACATTCAGAGCCTGCACTAAAGAGTTCTCACTGACATTCAGAGACTACACTAAAGAGTACTCACTGACATTCAGAGCCTGCACTAAAGAGTTCTCACTGACATTCAGAGCCTGCACTAAAGAGTTCTCACTGACATTCAGAGACTGCACTAAAGAGTTCTCACTGACATTCAGAGCCTGCACTAAAGAGTTATCACTGACATTCAGAGCCTGCACTAAAGAGTTCTCACTGACATTCAGAGCCTGCACTAAAGAGTTCTCACTGACATTCAGAGACTACACTAAAGAGTTCTCACTAACATTCAGAGACTACACTAAAGAGTTCTCACTGACATTCAGAGACTACACTAAAGAGTTCTCACTGACATTCAGAGACTACACTAAAGAGTTCTCACTGACATTCAGAGCCTGCACTAAAGAGTTCTCACTGACATTCAGAGACTACACTAAAGAGTTCTCACTGACATTCAGAGACTACACTAAAGAGTTCTCACTGACATTCAGAGCCTGCACTAAAGAGTTCTCACTGACATTCAGAGACTACACCAAAGAGTTCTCACTGACATTCAGAGCATGCACTAAAGAGTTCTCACTGACATTCAGAGCCTGCACTAAAGAGTTCTCACTGACATTCAGAGCCTGCACTAAAGAGTTCTCACTGACATTCAGAGCCTGCACTAAAGAGTTCTCACTGACATTCAGAGCCTGCACTAAAGAGTTCTCACTGACATTCAGAGACTACACTAAAGAGTTCTCACTGACATTCAGAGCCTACACTAAAGAGTTCTCACTGACATTCAGAGCATGCACTAAAGAGTTCTCACTGACATTCAGAGCCTGCACTAAAGAGTTCTCACTGACATTCAGAGCCTGCACTAAAGAGTTCTCACTGACATTCAGAGACTACACTAAAGAGTTCTCACTGACATTCAGAGACTACACTAAAGAGTTCTCACTGACATTCAGAGACTACACTAAAGAGTTCTCACTGACATTCAGAGCCTGCACTAAAGAGTTCTCACTGACATTCAGAGACTACACTAAAGAGTTCTCACTGACATTCAGAGCCTGCACTAAAGAGTTCTCACTGACATTCAGAGCCTGCACTAAAGAGTTCTCACTGACATTCAGAGACTACACTAAAGAGTTCTCACTGAAATTCAGAGACTACACTAAAGAGTTCTCACTGACATTCAGAGACTACACTAAAGAGTTCTCACTGACATTCAGAGCCTGCACTAAAGAGTTCTCACTGACATTCAGAGCCTGCACTAAAGAGTTCTCACTGACATTCAGAGACTACACTAAAGAGTTCTCACTGAAATTCAGAGACTACACTAAAGAGTTCTCACTGACATTCAGAGACTACACTAAAGAGTTCTCACTGACATTCAGAGCCTACACTAAAGAGTTCTCACTGACATTCAGAGACTACACTAAAGAGTTCTCACTGACATTCAGAGCCTGCACTAAAGAGTTCTCACTGATATTCAGAGACTACACAAAAGAGTTCTCACTGACATTCAGGGCCTACACTAAAGAGTTCTCACTGACATTCAGAGACTACACTAAAGAGTTCTCACTGACATTCAGAGCCTGCACTAAAGAGTTCTCACTGACATTCAGAGCCTGCACTAAAGAGTTCTCACTGACATTCAGAGCCTGCACTAAAGAGTTCTCACTGACATTCAGAGACTACACTAAAGAGTTCTCACTGACATTCAGAGCCTGCACTAAAGAGTTCTCACTGACATTCAGAGACTTCACTAAAGAGTTCTCACTGACATTCAGAGCCTGCACTAAAGAGTTCTCACTGACATTCAGAGACTACACTAAAGAGTTCTCACTGACATTCAGAGCCTGCACTAAAGAGTTCTCACTGACATTCAGAGACTACACTAAAGAGTTCTCACTGACATTCAGAGCCTGCACTAAAGAGTTCTCACTGACATTCAGAGCCTGCACTAAAGAGTTCTCACTGACATTCAGAGACTACACTAAAGAGTTCTCACTGACATTCAGAGCCTGCACTAAAGAGTTCTCACTGACATTCAGAGACTTCACTAAAGAGTTCTCACTGACATTCAGAGCCTGCACTAAAGAGTTCTCACTGACATTCAGAGACTACACTAAAGAGTTCTCACTGACATTCAGAGCCTGCACTAAAGAGTTCTCACTGACATTCAGAGACTACACTAAAGAGTTCTCACTAACATTCAGAGACTACACTAAAGAGTTCTCACTGACATTCAGAGACTACACTAAAGAGTTCTCACTGACATTCAGAGACTACACTAAAGAGTTCTCACTGACATTCAGAGCCTGCACTAAAGAGTTCTCACTGACATTCAGAGACTACACTAAAGAGTTCTCACTGACATTCAGAGACTACACTAAAGAGTTCTCACTGACATTCAGAGCATGCACTAAAGAGTTCTCACTGACATTCAGAGCCTGCACTAAAGAGTTCTCACTGACATTCAGAGCCTGCACTAAAGAGTTCTCACTGACATTCAGAGCCTGCACTAAAGAGTTCTCACTGACATTCAGAGCCTGCACTAAAGAGTTCTCACTGACATTCAGAGACTACACTAAAGAGTTCTCACTGACATTCAGAGCCTACACTAAAGAGTTCTCACTGACATTCAGAGCATGCACTAAAGAGTTCTCACTGACATTCAGAGCCTGCACTAAAGAGTTCTCACTGACATTCAGAGCCTGCACTAAAGAGTTCTCACTGACATTCAGAGACTACACTAAAGAGTTCTCACTGACATTCAGAGACTACACTAAAGAGTTCTCACTGAAATTCAGAGACTACACTAAAGAGTTCTCACTGACATTCAGAGACTACACTAAAGAGTTCTCACTGACATTCAGAGCCTACACTAAAGAGTTCTCACTGACATTCAGAGACTACACTAAAGAGTTCTCACTGACATTCAGAGCCTGCACTAAAGAGTTCTCACTGACATTCAGAGACTACACTAAAGAGTTCTCACTGACATTCAGAGACTGCACTAAAGAGTTCTCACTGACATTCAGAGACTACACTAAAGAGTTCTCACTGACATTCAGAGCCTGCACTAAAGAGTTCTCACTGACATTCAGAGCCTGCACTAAAGAGTTCTCACTGACATTCAGAGCCTGCACTAAAGAGTTCTCACTGACATCCAGAGACTACACTAAAGAGTTCTCACTGACATTCAGAGACTACACTAAAGAGTTCTCACTGACATTCAGAGACTACACTAAAGAGTTCTCACTGACATCCAGAGACTACACTAAAGAGTTCTCACTGACATTCAGAGACTACACTAAAGAGTTCTCACTGACATTCAGAGACTACACCAAAGAGTTCTCACTGACATTCAGAGCCTGCACTAAAGAGTTCTCACTGACATTCAGAGCCTACACTAAAGTTCTCACTGACATTCAGAGCCTGCACTAAAAAGAGAGTTCTAAAGAGTTCTCACTGGCATTCAGAGCCTGCACTAAAGAGTTCTCACTGACATTCAGAGCTGCACTAAAGAGTTCTCACTGACATTCAGAGCCTGCACTAAAGAGTTCTCACTGACATTCAGAGACTTCACTAAAGAGTTCTCACTGACATTCAGAGACTACACTAAAGAGTTCTCACTGACATTCAGAGCCTGCACTAAAGAAGTTCTCACTGACATTCAGAGCCTGCACTAAAGAGTTCTCACTGGCATTCAGAGACTAGCCCTAAAGAGTTCTCACTGACATTCAGAGCCTGCACTAAAGAGTTCTCACTGACATTCAGAGCCTGCACTAAAGAGTTCTCACTGACATTCAGAGCCTGCACTAAAGAGTTCTCACTGACATTCAGAGACTTCACTAAAGAGTTCTCACTGACATTCAGAGACTACACTAAAGAGTTCTCACTGACATTCAGAGACTACACTAAAGAGTTCTCACTGACATTCAGAGCATGCACTAAAGAGTTCTCACTGACATTCAGAGCCTGCACTAAAGAGTTCAGAGCCTCACTGACATTCAGAGCCTGCACTAAAGAGTTCTCACTGACATTCAGAGCCTGCACTAAAGAGTTCTCACTGACATTCAGAGACCTGCACTAAAGAGTTCTCACTGACATTCAGAGACTACACTAAAGCAGTTCTCACTGACATTCAGAGCCTGCACTAAAGAGTTCTCACTGACATTCAGAGACTACACTAAAGAGTTCTCACTGACATTCAGAGAGCCTACACTAAAGAGTTCTCACTACATTCAGAGACTGCACTAAAGAGTTCTCACTGACATTCAGAGACTACACTAAAGAGTTCTCACTGACATTCAGAGCCTGCACTAAAGAGTTCTCACTAACATTCAGAGCCTACACTAAAGAGTTCTCACTGACATTCAGAGCATGCACTAAAGAGTTCTCACTGACATTCAGAGCCTGCACTAAAGAGTTCTCACTGACATTCAGAGCCTGCACTAAAGAGTTCTCACTGACATTCAGAGACTACACTAAAGAGTTCTCACTGACATTCAGAGCCTGCACTAAAGAGTTCTCACTGACATTCAGAGACTACACTAAAGAGTTCTCACTGACATTCAGAGACTACACTAAAGAGTTCTCACTGACATTCAGAGCCTGCACTAAAGAGTTCTCACTGACATTCAGAGCCTACACTAAAAAAAAAAATAGAGTTACTACTGGACCTGGGCTTTTTCAGCAGAATCCTGAAAGCATTATAGGCGACTTTGAGCTTCTGTAGTGCAGCCTTCTTATATCTGCACCACAGGGGGGCGCTATACAGAGGTACATTATATACAGTATAATCTTATATCTGCACCACAGGGGGGCGCTATACAGAGGTACTTTATATACAGTATAATCTTATATCTGCACCACAGGGGGGCGCTATACAGAGGTACTTTATATACAGTATAATCTTATATCTGCACCACAGGGGGGGCGCTATACAGAGGTACTTTATATACAGTATAATCTTATATCTGCACCACAGGGGGGCGCTATACAGAGGTACATTATATACAGTATAATCTTTTATCTGCACCACAGGGGGGCGCTATACAGAGGTACATTATATACAGTATAATCTTTTATCTGCACCAAAGGGGGGCGCTATACAGAGGTACATTATATACAGTATAATCTTATATCTGCACCACAGGGGGGCGCTATACAGAGGTACATTATATACAGTATAATCTGCACCATAGGGGGGCGCTATACAGAAGTGAACAGTACATTTTAAACAGTTTAATTTTCATATCAACTGTGCACATGTGAAATGTTCGCACTCAGGTGTTTCCTCGAGCGTACAGTTTTCGACACTGGTGATTAATGTCATCATCAGAGTCGGTCAGTTATGATGTGACCCAAGTATTTAATCTGACTGCAAACAGCTAACTTTGACCAGACAAATGAAAGTCTGGAAAACAAAGGTGTTTGTCTTCTTTGGTGCGGCCGATCAGTACATTATATCGAATATCAAACTTCACCCCACAGTCAGAGCATTCATTCATAAATCGGTTCACAGTGTGTTACCGATCATGCAGCCCGTTCTATATCAACAAACACATGTTTTCTATTGAGCAGTTACGTTCATGCAAGGTGGCCCAGGAATTTACAGAAACTAGAGGCTCTCTGCCTTGAGGAATGAGACTATTTTTTACTTTTAAATGCGCTGGAAACAGCAGCAAGTTCCAAGTGCTACTTTACACAGGAGGCCATACAGCATGAAACAGCATGTAACAGCATGAAACAGCATGTAACAGCATGAAACAGCATGTAACAGCATGAAACAGCATGAAACAGCATGTAACAGCATGTATGTAACAGCATGTATGTAACAGCATGTATGTAACAGCATGTAACAGCATGTAACAGCATGTAACAGCATGAAACAGCATGTAACAGCATGTAACAGCATGAAACAGCATGTAACAGCATGTAACAGCATGTAACAGCATGTAACAGCATGTATGTAACAGCATGTATGTAACAGCATGTATGTAACAGCATGTAACAGCATGTAACAGCATGAAACAGCATGTAACAGCATGTATGTAACAGCAATGTATGTAACAGCATGTATGTAACAGCATGTAACAGCATGTAACAGCATGAAACAGCATGTAACAGCATGATGTACAGCATGTAACAGCATGTAACAGCATGAAACAGCATGTAACAGCATGTATGTAACAGCATGTAACAGCATGTAACAGCATGAAACAGCATGTAACTGCATGTATGTAACAGCATGTAGTAACAGCATGTAGTCACAGCATGTATGTAACAGCATGTATGTAACAGCATGTATGTAACAGCTTGTAACAGCATGTAACAGCATGAAACAGCATGTAACAGCACGTATGTAACAGCATGTAACAGCATGTAACAGCATGAAACAGCATGTAACAGCATGTATGTAACAGCATGTAACAGCATGTAACAGCATGAAACAGCATGTAACAGCATGTATGTAACAGCATGTAACAGCATGCAACAGCATGTAACAGCATGTAACAGCATGTATGTAACAGCATGTATGTAACAGCATGTATGTAACAGCATGTATGTAACAGCATGTAACAGCATGCAACAGCATGTAACAGCATGTAACAGCATGTATGTAACAGCATGTATGTAACAGCATGTAACAGCATGAAACAGCATGTAACAGCATGTAACAGCATGAAACAGCATGTAACAGCATGTATGTAACAGCATGTATGTAACAGCATGTATGTAACAGCATGTAACAGCATGTATGTAACAGCATGTATGTAACAGCATGTATGAAACAGCAATGTAACAGCATGAAACAGCATGAAACAGCATGAACAGCATGAAACAGCATGTAATGTAACAGCATGTAACAGCATGTAACAGCAATGTAACAGCATGTAACAGCATGTCACAGCATGTAACAGCATTGTAACAGCATGCAACAGCATGTAACAGCATGTAACAGCATGTATGTAACAGCATGTATGTAACAGCATGTATGTAACAGCATGTATGTAACAGCATGTAACAGCATGAAACAGCATGAAACAGCATGTAACAGCATGAAACAGCATGAAACAGCATGAAACAGCATGTAACAGCATGAAACAGCATGTATGTAACAGCATGTATGTAACAGCATGTAACAGCATGTATGTAACAGCATGTATGTAACAGCATGTATGTAACAGCATGTATGTAACAGCATGTATGAAACAGCATGTAACAGCATGAAACAGCATGAAACAGCATGAAACAGCATGTAACAGCATGAAACAGCATGAAACAGCATGTAACAGCATGAAACAGCATGAAACAGCATGAAACAGCATGTATGTAACAGCATGTATGAAACAGCATGAAACAGCATGTAACAGCATGAAACAGCATGTAACAGCATGAAACGGCATGTAACAGCATGTAACAGCATGTAACAGCATGAAACAGCATGTAACAGCATGAAACAGCATGAAACAGCATGAAACAGCATGTAACAGCATGTAACAGCATGTAACAGCATGAAACAGCATGAAACAGCAAGAAACAGCATGCAACAGCATGTAACAGCATGAAACAGTCATGTAACAGCATGAAACAGCATGAAACAGCATGAAACAGCATGAAACAGCATGAAACAGCATGTAACAGCATGAAACACATGAAACGCATGAAACAGCATGTAACAGCATGAAACAGCAGAAACAGCATGTAACAGCATAAACAGCATATGAAACAGCATGTAACAGCATGAAACAGCATGTAACAGCATTGAAACAGCATGTAACAGCATGTAACAGCATGAAACAAGCATGTAACAGCATGAAAACAGCATGTAACAGCATGAAACAGCATGCAACAGCATGTAACAGCATGTAACAGCATGAAACAGCATGAAAACAGCATGAAACAGCATGAACAGCATGTAACAGCAATGAAACAGCATGAAACAGCATGAAACATCATGTAACAGCATGAAACAGCATGAAACAGCATGAAAACAACAGCATGAAACAGCATGTAACAGCATGAAACAGCAATGAAACAGCATGTAACAGCATGAAAACAGCATGTATGTAACAGCATGAAACAGCATGAAACAGCATGTAACAGCATGTTAACAGCATGTAACAGCATGTAACAGCATGAAACAGCATGTAACAGCATGAAACAGCATGTAACAGCATGAAACAGCATGAAACACGCATGAAACAGCATGTAACAGCATGAAACAGCATGAAACAGCATGTAAACAGCATGAAACGCATGTATGTAACAGCATGAAACAGCATGAAACAGCATGCAACAGCATGTAACAGCATGAAACAGCAATGAAACAGCATGTAACAGCATGAAACAGCATGTAACAGCATGAAACAGCATGAAACAGCATGAAACAGCATGTAACAGCATGAAACAGCATGAAACAGATGTAACAGCATGAAACAGCATGTATGTAACAGCATGAAACAGCATGAAACAGCAATGAAACAGCATGTAACAGCATGTAACAGCATGTAACAGCAATGTAACAGCATGAAACAGCATGTAACAGCATGAAACAGCATGTAACAGCATGTATCGCATGAAACAGCATGAAACAGCATGAAACAGCATGTAACAGCATGAAACAGCATGAAACAGCATGAAACAGCATGTAACAGCATGAAACAGCATGTAACAGCATGTAACAGCATGTAACAGCATGTAACAGCATGAAACAGCATGTAACAGCATGAAACAGCATGAAACAGCATGTAACAGCATGTAACAGCATGTAACAGCATGAAACAGCATGAAACAGCATGAAACAGCATGCAACAGCATGTAACAGCATGAAACAGCATGTAACAGCATGAAACAGCATGAAACAGCATGAAACAGCATGAAACAGCATGAAACAGCATGTAACAGCATGAAACAGCATGAAACAGCATGAAACAGCATGTAACAGCATGAAACAGCATGAAACAGCATGTAACAGCATGAAACAGCATGAAACAGCATGTAACAGCATGAAACAGCATGTAACAGCATGAAACAGCATGTAACAGCATGTAACAGCATGAAACAGCATGTAACAGCATGAAACAGCATGTAACAGCATGAAACAGCATGCAACAGCATGTAACAGCATGTAACAGCATGAAACAGCATGAACAGCATGTAACAGCTGAAACACGCATGTAAACAGCATGAAACAGCATGAAACAGCATGAAACAGCATGTAACAGCATGAAACAGCATGAAACAGCATGAAACAGCATGTAACAGCATGAAACAGCATGAAACAGCATGAAACAGCATGAAACAGCATGTAACAGCATGAAACAGCATGAAACAGCATGTAACAGCATGAAACAGCATGTATGTAACAGCATGAAACAGCATGAAACAGCATGTAACAGCATGTAACAGCATGTAACAGCATGTAACAGCATGAAACAGCATGTAACAGCATGAAACAGCATGTAACAGCATGAAACAGCATGAAACAGCATGAAACAGCATGTAACAGCATGAAACAGCATGAAACAGCATGTAACAGCATGAAACAGCATGTATGTAACAGCATGAAACAGCATGAAACAGCATGAAACAGCATGTAACAGCATGAAACAGCATGAAACAGCATGTAACAGCATGAAACAGCATGTAACAGCATGAAACAGCATGAAACAGCATGAAACAGCATGTAACAGCATGAAACAGCATGAAACAGCATGTAACAGCATGAAACAGCATGAAACAGCATGAAACAGCATGTAACAGCATGTAACAGCATGAAACAGCATGTAACAGCATGTAACAGCATGTAACAGCATGTAACAGCATGAAACAGCATGTAACAGCATGAAACAGCATGTAACAGCATGTAACAGCATGAAACAGCATGAAACAGCATGAAACAGCATGTAACAGCATGAAACAGCATGAAACAGCATGAAACAGCATGAAACAGCATGTAACAGCATGAAACAGCATGTAACAGCATGAAACAGCATGTATGTAACAGCATGAAACAGCATGAAACAGCATGTATGTAACAGCATGTAACAGCATGTAACAGCATGAAACAGCATGAAACAGCATGAAACAGCATGTAACAGCATGAAACAGCATGTATGTAACAGCATGAAACAGCATGAAACAGCATGAAACAGCATGAAACAGCATGTAACAGCATGTGCAGTATATTTACACGCGTGTTATACGTATGACGAGAGGCTGCACCTAATTAGGATGGATTTTTATTTTGTGCGCTCAAAATAAAAACCGACCGTCACCGCAGCTCTGGGACACCTACCTTACCACTGATGTCCTGCACCGCCACGTGGACAAAGATGGACGCCTCCTCCATGCCTTCTAAGTACACGTGCCTGAAGCCTGCAGCGAGACAGCACCATGTTACACACCTCATCAGCAGGAGACCAAGGAGATGGACCACCTCCTCATCAGCAGGAGACCAAGGAGATGGACCACCTCCTCATCAGCAGGAGACCAAGGAGATGGACCACCTCCTCATCAGCAGGAGACCAAGGAGATGGACCACCTCCTCATCAGCAGGAGACCAAGGAGATGGACCACCTCCTCATCAGCAGGAAACCAAGGAGATGGACCACCTCCTCATCAGCAGGAGACCAAGGAGATGGTGGTCGATTTCCAAACATTGAGAGAATGGATTCTTACAAGTACAGCTACCGTCATCAGTTAGCATCAGCTAGCATCAGATACCATCAGTTACCATGGTTACCTGGTAGCATGCTGTTGAAGGCAATGGTGCGCTGGCCGATGAAGTCCTGTCCGATCGGGTCGTGGTCCCATACCAGGAAGCGTACCAGGGCCAGCTCCGGCACGTGCACCACAAACACCAGAGTCTCCTCCCACATGGGATTAAAGCCTGTGGACACACACAACACACACATAAACACACACAGTAACACACACAGTAACACACACAAAGACACACAAGTGCACGGACAACAGCAGGAATCAGTGCAACAAAAGATAACTGAATCTTCCAAATGAGAGGTCGGTGAACTTGTAGCTTATCTTGACTGAAACATACAGAGGCCATTCAAACACACATGAACATCCATGTCATGTAGACCACGCCCCCTACTGGCCACGCCTCCATCTACAGAAGATTTCTAGAAAACTGGACCATACTTTTGACCCCAAGCACACAACACAGACATGTAAACCTGAAGGTCGTGGGTTCGATCCCACACGAGACCTTCTCCACCGACTCCCACTGATGTCTGCTGTTGTTGTGTCCTTGGACAAGACACTTGACCCCACTTTGCCTGAAACCCCCACTGAAAGACCAAGGCTGTGCTCTCAGATAGACCAGCCTCCTGTGGACTCAGCACCTGCAGGAGTGAGTGACCTACTCCCCGTTATCGTCACATGACCTACTCTCAGTTATCGTCACATGACCTACTCTCAGTTATCGTCACATGACCTACTCTCAGTTATCGTCACATGACCTACTCTCAGTTAGCGTCACATGACCTACTCTCAGTTAGCGTCACATGACCTACTCTCAGTTAGCGTCACATGACCTACTCTCAGTTATCGTCACATGACCTACTCTCAGTTATCGTCACATGACCTACTCTCAGTTATCGTCACATGACCTACTCTCAGTTAGCGTCACATGACCTACTCTCAGTTAGCGTCACATGACCTACTCTCAGTTATCGTCACATGACCTACTCTCAGTTATCGTCACATGACCTACTCTCAGTTATCGTCACATGACCTACTCACGTTATCGTCACATGACCTACTCACGTTATCGTCACATGACCTACTCACGTTAGCGTCACATGACCTACTCACGTTAGCGTCACATGACCTACTCACGTTATCGTCACATGACCTACTCTCAGTTATCGTCACATGACCTACTCTCAGTTATCGTCACATGACCTACTCTCAGTTATCGTCACATGACCTACTCACCGTTATCGTCACATGACCTACTCACCGTTATCGTCACATGACCTACTCACCATTATCGTCACATGACCTACTCACCGTTATCGTCCACAACTCTGGTCTGTTCTTTGCAGCAATCGACGGGAACGCCGATAATCTCCACCTCCACGAAGGGATCGATGATCTGAGAGTCAGTGAAACAGGACTGAGTCAGTGAAACAGGACTGAGTCAGTGAAACAGGACTGAGTCAGTGAAACAGGACTGAGTCAGTGAAACGGGTCTGAGTCAGTGAAACGGGACTGAGTCAGTGAAACAAGACTGAGTCAGTGAAACAAGACTGAGTCAGTGAAACGGGACTGAGTCAGTGAAACGGGACTGAGTCAGTGAAACAGGACTGAGTCAGTGAAACAAGACTGAGTCAGTGAAACAGGACTGAGTCAGTGAAACAGGACTGAGTCAGTGAAACAAGACTGAGTCAGTGAAACGGGACTGAGTCAGTGAAACAGGACTGAGTCAGTGAAACAGGACTGAGTCAGTGAAACGGGTCTGAGTCAGTGAAACGGGACTGAGTCAGTGAAACAGGACTGAGTCAGTGAAACGGGACTGAGTCAGTGAAACAGGACTGAGTCAGTGAAACGGGTCTGAGTCAGTGAAACGGGACTGAGTCAGTGAAACAAGACTGAGTCAGTGAAACGGGACTGAGTCAGTGAAACAGGACTGAGTCAGTGAAACAGGACTGAGTCAGTGAAACGGGACTGAGTCAGTGAAACAGGACTGAGTCAGTGAAACGGGACTGAGTCAGTGAAACGGGACTGAGTCAGTGAAACAGGACTGAGTCAGTGAAACGGGACTGAGTCAGTGAAACGGGACTGAGTCAGTGAAACAGGACTGAGTCAGTGAAACAGGACTGAGTCAGTGAAACAGGACTGAGTCAGTGAAACGGGTCTGAGTCAGTGAAACGGGACTGAGTCAGTGAAACAAGACTGAGTCAGTGAAACAGGACTGAGTCAGTGAAACAGGACTGAGTCAGTGAAACGGGACTGAGTCAGTGAAACAGGACTGAGTCAGTGAAACGGGACTGAGTCAGTGAAACAAGACTGAGTCAGTGAAACAGGACTGAGTCAGTGAAACGGGACTGAGTCAGTGAAACAGGACTGAGTCAGTGAAACAGGACTGAGTCAGTGAAACGGGACTGAGTCAGTGAAACAAGACTGAGTCAGTGAAACAGGACTGAGTCAGTGAAACGGGACTGAGTCAGTGAAACAGGACTGAGTCAGTGAAACAGGACTGAGTCAGTGAAACAGGACTGAGTCAGTGAAACAGGACTGAGTCAGTGAAACGGGTCTGAGTCAGTGAAACAAGACTGAGTCAGTGAAACAAGACTGAGTCAGTGAAACGGGACTGAGTCAGTGAAACGGGTCTGAGTCAGTGAAACGGGACTGAGTCAGTGAAACGGGACTGAGTCAGTGAAACAAGACTGAGTCAGTGAAACAAGACTGAGTCAGTGAAACAGGACTGAGTCAGTGAAACAGGACTGAGTCAGTGAAACAGGACTGAGTCAGTGAAACGGGACTGAGTCAGTGAAACGGGTCTGAGTCAGTGAAACGGGACTGAGTCAGTGAAACGGGACTGAGTCAGTGAAACAGGACTGAGTCAGTGAAACGGGACTGAGTCAGTGAAACAAGACTGAGTCAGTGAAACAGGACTGAGTCAGTGAAACGGGACTGAGTCAGTGAAACAGGACTGAGTCAGTGAAACAGGACTGAGTCAGTGAAACGGGACTGAGTCAGTGAAACAAGACTGAGTCAGTGAAACAAGACTGAGTCAGTGAAACAGGACTGAGTCAGTGAAACAGGACTGAGTCAGTGAAACAGGACTGAGTCAGTGAAACGGGACTGAGTCAGTGAAACGGGACTGAGTCAGTGAAACAAGACTGAGTCAGTGAAACGGGACTGAGTCAGTGAAACAAGACTGAGTCAGTGAAACGGGACTGAGTCAGTGAAACAGGACTGAGTCAGTGAAACAGGACTGAGTCAGTGAAACGGGACTGAGTCAGTGAAACAGGACTGAGTCTGAGTGAAACAGGACTGAGTCAGTGAAACAGGACTGAGTCAGTGAAACGGGACTGAGTCAGTGAAACAGGACTGAGTCAGTGAAACAGGACTGAGTCAGTGAAACGGACTGAGGAGACTGAGTCAGTGAAACAGGACTGAGTCAGTGAAACAGGACTGAGTCAGTGAAACAGGACTGAGTCAGTGAAACAGGACTGAGTCAGTGAAACAGGACTGAGTCAGTGAAACAGGACTGAGTCAGTGAAACGGGTCTGAGTCAGTGAAACAAGACTGAGTCAGTGAAACAAGACTGAGTCAGTGAAACAGGACTGAGTCAGTGAAACAGGACTGAGTCAGTGAAACAGGACTGAGTCAGTGAAACGGGACTGAGTCAGTGAAACAAGACTGAGTCAGTGAAACAGGACTGAGTCAGTGAAACAGGACTGAGTCAGTGAAACGGGACTGAGTCAGTGAAACGGGACTGAGTCAGTGAAACAGGACTGAGTCAGTGAAACAGGACTGAGTCAGTGAAACGGGTCTGAGTCAGTGAAACGGGACTGAGTCAGTGAAACAAGACTGAGTCAGTGAAACGGGACTGAGTCAGTGAAACAGGACTGAGTCAGTGAAACAGGACTGAGTCAGTGAAACGGGACTGAGTCAGTGAAACAGGACTGAGTCAGTGAAACAGGACTGAGTCAGTGAAACGGGACTGAGTCAGTGAAACAAGACTGAGTCAGTGAAACAGGACTGAGACAGTGAAACAGGACTGAGTCAGTGAAACGGGACTGAGTCAGTGAAACAGGACTGAGTCAGTGAAACAGGACTGAGTCAGTGAAACAGGACTGAGTCAGTGAAACAGGACTGAGTCAGTGAAACGGGTCTGAGTCAGTGAAACAAGACTGAGTCAGTGAAACAAGACTGAGTCAGTGAAACAGGACTGAGTCAGTGAAACAGGACTGAGTCAGTGAAACAGGACTGAGTCAGTGAAACGGGACTGAGTCAGTGAAACGGGTCTGAGTCAGTGAAACGGGACTGAGTCAGTGAAACGGGACTGAGTCAGTGAAACGGGACTGAGTCAGTGAAACGGGACTGAGTCAGTGAAACAGGACTGAGTCAGTGAAACGGGACTGAGTCAGTGAAACGGGACTGAGTCAGTGAAACGGGACTGAGTCAGTGAAACGGGACTGAGTCAGTGAAACGGGACTGAGTCAGTGAAACAGGACTGAGTCAGTGAAACGGGTCTGAGTCAGTGAAACAGGACTGAGTCAGTGAAACAGGACTGAGTCAGTGAAACGGGTCTGAGTCAGTGAAACAGGACTGAGTCAGTGAAACGGGTCTGAGTCAGTGAAACAGGACTGAGTCAGTGAAACAGGACTGAGTCAGTGAAACGGGTCTGAGTCAGTGAAACGGGTCTGAGTCAGTGAAACTGGTCTGAGTCAGTGAAACAGGACTGAGTCAGTGAAACAAGACTGAGTCAGTGAAACAGGACTGAGTCAGTGAAACGGGTCTGAGTCAGTGAAACTGGTCTGAGTCAGTGAAACAGGACTGAGTCAGTGAAACAGGACTGAGTCAGTGAAACAGGACTGAGTCAGTGAAACAGGACTGAGTCAGTGAAACGGGTCTGAGTCAGTGAAACAGGTCCGAGTCAGTGAAACGGGTCTGAGTCAGTGAAACGGGTCTGAGTCAGTGAAACAGGTCCGAGTCAGTGAAACAGGACTGAGTCAGTGAAACGGGTCTGAGTCAGTGAAAGGACTCACCTCTCCTCTGTCCCCCATCATGGAGTCCTTGGGCTTGGGCAGCTGCTGTCCACTGATCACCTTCAGCACCAGCTGCTTCTTCATCTGTCCAGGCCGAGGGTCGTCCAGGTTCGGGTTAAAGGCCCCTGAGAAAACAGGGTTAAATGCCCCTGAGAGAACAGGGTTAAAGGCCCCTGAGAAAACAGGGTTAAATGCCCCTGAGAGAACAGGGTTAAAGGCCCCTGAGAAAACAGGGTTAAAGGCTCCTGAGAGAACAGGGTTAAAGGCCCTTGAGAGAACAGGGTTAAAGGCCCTTGAGAGAACAGGGTTAAAGGCCCCTGAGAGAACAGGGTTAAAGGCCCCTGAGAGAACAGGGTTAAAGGCCCCTGAGAAAACAGGGTTAAAGGCCCCTGAGAAAACAGGGTTAAAGGCCCCTGAGAAAACAGGGTTAAAGGCCCCTGAGAAAACAGGGTTAAAGGCCCCTGAGAAAACAGGGTTAAAGGCCCCTGAGAGAACAGGGTTAAAGGCCCCTGAGAGAACAGGGTCCAACAGGAGGCCTCAGAGAAGTGTACAAACCTACAGGTGTATAGTCCAGCCAAAGGGCACAAGAACCTCACAGAGGTCCTTCAGAACAAAGAAGTCCTTTCACATTAGTCCTGGTCTCAGGTCTCTGTCCTGAAGTCCTCTCACATTAGTCCTGGTCTCAGGTCTCTGTCCTGAAGTCCTCTCACATTAGTCCTGGTCTCAGGTCTCTGTCCTGAAGTCCTCTCACATTAGTCCTGGTCTCAGGTCTCTGTCCTGGTCTCAGGTCTCTGTCCTGGTCTCAGGTCTCTGTCCTGGTCCTGGTCTCTGTCCTGGTCTCAGGTCTCTGTCCTGGTCTCAGGTCTCTGTCCTGGTCCTGGTCTCTGTCCTGGTCCTGGTCTCTGTCCTGGTCTCAGGTCTCTGTCCTGGTCTCAGGTCTCTGTCCTGGTCTCAGGTCTCTGTCCTGGTCTCAGGTCTCTGTCCTGGTCTCAGGTCTCTGTCCTGGTCTCAGGTCTCTGTCCTGGTCTCAGGTCTCTGTCCTGGTCTCAGGTCTCTGTCCTGGTCCTGGTCTCTGTCCTGGCCCTGGTCTCTGTCCTGGTCTCTGTCCTGGTCTCAGGTCTCTGTCCTGGTCCTGGTCTCTGTCCTGGTCCTGGTCTCTGTCCTGGTCTCAGGTCTCTGTCCTGGTCTCAGGTCTCTGTCCTGGTCTCAGGTCTCTGTCCTGGTCTCAGGTCTCTGTCCTGGTCCTGATCTCTGTCCTGGTCCTGGTCTCTGTCCTGGTCTCAGGTCTCTGTCCTGGTCTCAGGTCTCTGTCCTGGTCTCAGGTCTCTGTCCTGGTCTCAGGTCTCTGTCCTGGTCTCTGTCCTGGTCCTGGTCTCTGTCCTGGTCCTGGTCTCTGTCCTGGTCCTGGTCTCTGTCCTGGTCTCAGGTCTCTGTCCTGGTCCTGGTCTCGGTCCTGGTCCTGGTCTCTGTCCTGGTCTCAGGTCTCTGTCCTGGTCTCAGGTCTCTGTCCTGGTCTCAGGTCTCTGTCCTGGTCTCAGGTCTCTGTCCTGGTCCTGGTCTCTGTCCTGGTCTCAGGTCTCTGTCCTGGTCCTGGTCTCTGTCCTGGTCCTGGTCTCTGTCCTGGTCTCAGGTCTCTGTCCTGGTCCTGGTCTCTGTCCTGGTCCTGGTCTCTGTCCTGGTCCTGGTCTCTGTCCTGGTCTCAGGTCTCTGTCCTGGTCCTGGTCTCTGTCCTGGTCCTGGTCTCTGTCCTGGTCTCAGGTCTCTGTCCTGGTCCTGGTCTCTGTCCTGGTCCTGGTCTCTGTCCTGGTCTCAGGTCTCTGTCCTGGTCTCAGGTCTCTGTCCTGGTCCTGGTCTCTGTCCTGGTCCTGGTCTCTGTCCTGGTCTCAGTCGTACCTTGGCTCATACAGGGCGGTTTGAGGACGTAGCCACAGTTGCCGTTGCTGTAGAACTTTGCTCTGTTGAGCTGAAGAACGCGTCCCTCTGATTGGTAGTTCAGGGCAACTGCAAAAAAACACATCCCAAGGTACAGAGTTCAGTCTCACAGGTACAGAGTTCAGTCTCACAGGTACAGAGTTCAGTCTCACAGGTACAGAGTTCAGTCTCACAGGTACAGAGTTCAGTCTCACAGGTACAGAGTTCAGTCTCACAGGTACAGAGTTCAGTCTCACAGGTACAGAGTTCAGTCTCACAGGTACAGAGTTCAGTCTCACAGTACAGAGTTCAGTACAGAGTTCAGTCTCACAGGTACAGAGTTCAGTCTCACAGGTACAGAGTTCAGTCTCACAGGTACAGAGTTCAGTCTCACAGGTACAGAGTTCAGTCTCACAGGTACAGAGTTCAGTCTCACAGGTACAGAGTTCAGTCTCACAGTACAGAGTTCAGTCTCACAGGTACAGAGTTCAGTCTCACAGGTACAGGTACAGAGTTCAGTCTCACAGGTACAGAGTTCAGTTCAGTCTCACAGGTACAGAGTTCAGTCTCACAGTCAAGTCAGTCACAGGTACAGAGTTCAGTCTCACAGGTACAGAGTTCAGTCTCACAGGTACAGAGTTCAGTCTCACAGGTACAGAGTTCAGTCTCACAGGTACAGAGTTCAGTCTCACAGGTACAGTCAGTCTCACAGAGTTCAGTCTCACAGGTACAGAGTTCAGTCTCACAGGTACAGAGTTCAGTCTCACAGGTACAGAGTTCAGTCTCACAGGTACAGAGTTCAGTCACACAGGTACAGAGTTCAGTCACACAGGTACAGAGTTCAGTCACAAAGGTACAGAGTTCAGTCACACAGGTACAGAGTTTAGTAACAAAGGTACAGAGTTCAGTCACAAAGGTACAGAGTTTAGTAACAAAGGTACAGAGTTCAGTCACAAAGGTACAGAGTTTAGTAACAAAGGTACAGAGTTCAGTCACACAGGTACAGAGTTGTGGCTGCAGGACTTTATTCCAAACCAAAGCCAGACCTTTTTCCTGGAGTCCGGTCTGAACCTGAAGACCCGAGACTTGGAATGAAGGCCCGAGACGTGGAGTGAAGACCCGATACTTGGAGTGAAGACCCGAGACTTGGAGTGAAGACTCGAGACTTGGAGTGAAGTCCCCAGGACTTGGAGTGAGTGCCCGAGACTTGGAATGAAGACCCGAGACTTGGAGTGAAGACTCGAGACTTGGAGTGAAGTCCCCAGGACTTGGAGTGAAGACCCGAGACTTGGAGTGAAGACCCGAGACGTGGAGTGAAGACCCGAGACTTGGAGTGAAGACCCGAGACTTGGAGTGAAGACCCGAGACTTGGAATTAAGACCCGAGACTTGGAATTAAGACCTGAGACTTGGATTGAAGACCTAAGACTTGGAGTGAAGACCCAAGACTTGGAAGGAAGACCCAAGACTTGGAAGGAAGACCCAAGACTTGGAGTGAATACCCGAGACTTGGAGTGAAGACCTGAGACTTGGAGTGAAGACCCCGAGACTTGGAATGAAGCCCTGAGACTTGGAATGAAGACCTGAGACTTGGAGTGAATACCCGAGACTTGGAGTGAATACCCGAGACTTGGAGTGAAGACCTGAGACTTGGAGTGAATACCAGAGACTTGGAATGAAGACCTGAGACTTGGAATGAAGTCCTGAGACTTGGAATGAAGACCTGAGACTTGGAATGAAGACCTGAGACTTGGAATGAAGTCCTGAGACTTGGAATGAAGACCTACAGCCACACAGACGCTGTGAGACCAGACCGGGGATCTGATCCCTTTGCAGAGATTGTAGCCGTTCATAAGGAGCACAGGTACAGAAGGGGGCGGAGCTTACCGAGCTTGCAGCCGACATTCCAGAAGGGCTGGGGGTTCATAAGGAGCACAGGTACAGAAGGGGGCGGAGCTTACCGAGCTGGCAGCCGGCGTTCCAGAAGGGCTGGGGGTTCATAAGGAGCACAGGTACAGAAGGGGGCGGAGCTTACCAAGCTGGCAGCCGGCGTTCCAGAAGGGCTGGGGGTTCATAAGGAGCACAGGTACAGAAGGGGGCGGAGCTTACCGAGCTGGCAGCCGGCGTTCCAGAAGGGCTGGGGGTTCATAAGGAGCACAGGTACAGAAGGGGGCGGAGCTTACCGAGTTGGCAGCCGGCGTTCCAGAAGGGCTGGGGGTTCATAAGGAGCACAGGTACAGAAGGGGGCGGAGCTTACCGAGCTGGCAGCCGGCGTTCCAGAAGGGCTGGGGGTTCATAAGGAGCACAGGTACAGAAGGGGGCGGAGCTTACCGAGCTTGCAGCCGGCGTTCCAGAAGGGCTGGGGGTTCATAAGGAGCACAGGTACAGAAGGGGGCGGAGCTTACCGAGCTGGCAGCCGGCGTTCCAGAAGGGCTGGGGGTTCATAAGGAGCACAGGTACAGAAGGGGGCGGAGCTTACCGAGCTGGCAGCCGGCGTTCCAGAAGGGCTGGGGGTTCATAAGGAGCACAGGTACAGAAGGGGGCGGAGCTTACCGAGTTGGCAGCCGGCGTTCCAGAAGGGCTGGGGGTTCATAAGGAGCACAGGTACAGAAGGGGGCGGAGCTTACCGAGCTGGCAGCCGGCGTTCCAGAAGGGCTGGGGGTTCATAAGGAGCACAGGTACAGAAGGGGGCGGAGCTTACCGAGCTGGCAGCCGGCGTTCCAGAAGGGCTGGGGGTTCATAAGGAGCACAGGTACAGAAGGGGGCGGAGCTTACCGAGCTGGCAGCCGGCGTTCCAGAAGGGCTGGGGGTTCATAAGGAGCACAGGTACAGAAGGGGGCGGAGCTTACCGAGCTGGCAGCCGGCGTTCCAGAAGGGCTGGGGGTTCATAAGGAGCACAGGTACAGAAGGGGGCGGAGCTTACCGAGCTGGCAGCCGGCGTTCCAGAAGGGTGGGGGTTCATAAGGAGCACAGGTACAGAAGGGGGCGGAGCTTACCGAGCTGGCAGCCGGCGTTCCAGAAGGGCTGGGGGTTCATAAGGAGCACAGGTACAGAAGGGGGCGGAGCTTACCGAGCTGGCAGCCGGCGTTCCAGAAGGGCTGGGGGTTCATAAGGAGCACAGGTACAGAAGGGGGCGGAGCTTACCGAGCTGGCAGCCGGCGTTCCAGAAGGGCTGGGGGTTGAAGTTGGAGGAGTCGATCCTGTAGGAGGAGGGGTAGATCCTGGAGAGCTGCCTCTGGTTAAAGAGCAGGAAGTCCATGGGCTTCTGCTGCAGCACCTGATGGGCTTTAGTCTCACTCAGAGACGACACCTGCCAGCTGCAATTCACTGAGCACAGGTACACACAGGTGTTAGCTGCAATTCACTGAGCACAGGTACACGCAGGCGTTAGCTGCAATTCACTGAGCACAGGTACACGCAGGCGTTAGATGTAGTTCACTGAACACAGTTACTAGCTGCAGTTTACTGAGCACAGGTACACGCAGGCGTTAGCTGCAATTCACTGAGCACAGGTACACGCAGGCGTTAGCTGCAATTCACTGAGCACAGGTACACGCAGGCGTTAGCTGCAGTTCACTGAGCACAGGTACACGCAGGCGTTAGCTGCAGTTCACTGAGCACAGGTACACGCAGGCGTTAGCTGCAGTTCACTGAGCACAGGGACACACAGGCGTTAGATGTAGTTCACTGAGCACAGGTACACACAGGCGTTAGCTGCAGTTCACTGAGCACAGGTACACACAGGCGTTAGCTGCAGTTCACTGAGCACAGGTACACACAGACGTTTGCTGCAGTTCACTGAGCACAGGTACACACAGGTGTTAGCTGCAGTTCACTGAGCACAGGGACACACAGGCGTTAGCTGGTGTTCACTGAGCACAGGTACACACAGGCGTTAGCTGCAGTTCACTGAGCACAGGTACACACAGGCGTTAGCTGCAGTTCACTGAGCACAGGGACACACAGGTGTTAGCTGCAAATCACTGAGCACAGGTACACACAGGCGTTAGCTGGTGTTCACTGAGCACAGGGACACACAGGTGTTAGCTGCAAATCACTGAGCACAGGGACACACAGGCGTTAGCTGGTGTTCACTGAGCACAGGTACACACAGGCGTTAGCTGCAGTTCACTGAGCACAGGGACACACAGGCGTTAGCTGGTGTTCACTGAGCACAGGTACACACAGGCGTTTGCTGCAGTTCACTGAGCACAGGGACACACAGGTGTTAGCTGCAAATCACTGAGCACAGGGACACACAGGTGTTAGCTGCAGTTCACTGAGCACAGGGACACACAGGCGTTAGCTGCAGTTCACTGAGCACAGGGACACACAGGTGTTAGCTGCAGTTCACTGAGCACAGGGACACACAGGCGTTAGCTGGTGTTCACTGAGCACAGGTACACACAGGCGTTAGCTGCAGTTCACTGAGCACAGGGACACACAGGCGTTAGCTGGTGTTCACTGAGCACAGGTACACACAGGCGTTTGCTGCAGTTCACTGAGCACAGGGACACACAGGTGTTAGCTGCAAATCACTGAGCACAGGGACACACAGGTGTTAGCTGCAGTTCACTGAGCACAGGGACACACAGGCGTTAGCTGCAGTTCACTGAGCACAGGTACACACAGGCGTTAGCTGCAGTTCACTGAGCACAGGTACACACAGGCGTTAGATGTAGTTCACTGAACACAGTTACTAGCTGCAGTTTACTGAGCACAGGGACACACAGGTGTTAGCTGCAGTTCACTGAGCACAGGGACACACAGGCGTTAGCTGGTGTTCACTGAGCACAGGGACACACAGGCGTTAGCTGCAGTTCACTGAGCACAGGGACACACAGGTGTTAGCTGCAGTTCACTGAGCACAGGGACACACAGGTGTTAGCTGCAGTTCACTGAGCACAGGGACACACAGGTGTTAGCTGCAGTTCACTGAGCACAGGGACACACAGGTGTTAGCTGCAGTTCACTGAGCACAGGGACACACAGGTGTTAGCTGCAGTTCACTGAGCACAGGGACACACAGGCGTTAGCTGCAGTTCACTGAGCACAGGTACACACAGGTGTTAGCTGCAGTTCACTGAGCACAGGGACAGGTACACAGAGGCGTTAGACTGAAGTCCTTGTGTGTGTGTGTCTCATGTCTGACCTTGTGCGTCGATGTCGCACAGTCCGACAGAACGTGTGTACTTCACCAGGTCAGACAGGGCTCTGGACAGCTTCATGGTCTTCTTCCTGAACACACACACACACACACACACACACACACACACACACACACACACACACACACACACACACACACACACACACACACACACACACACACACACACACACACACACACACACACACACACACACACACACACACACACACACACACACACACACACACACACACACAGATGAATCTGTACATGATATAAAAGGCTTTTTTAATGGAATCAAATCCTTCCATCAATTTTCTTCCCTTGTATGGGGGGGCGGGGCGGAGAGGGAGGGGGGGGATGGGGCGGAGAGGGAGGGGGGGGCGGGGGGGAGGGAGGGGCGGGGGGGAGGGAGGGAGGGGGGGGCGGGGGTCAATCAGAGCTGGATCCAGTTCTATTGTGTAGCAATGTATTGTATCGCATCAAAAATGTTGTGCCGTGTCTCGAGATGTGACTATCCAGATGTGTGTATCCAGATGTGTGTGTGCAGATGTGTGTGTGCAGATGTGTGTGTGCAGATGTGTGTATCCAGATGTGTGTGTGTGTGTGCAGATGTGTGTATCCAGATGTGTGTGTGCCGATGTGTGTATTCAAATGTGTGTGTGTGTGTGCAGATGTGTGTATCCAGATGTGTGTGTGCCGATGTGTGTATTCAAATGTGTGTGTGTGTGTGCAGATGTGTGTATCGCAGGATCCAAGAGATACTCAGCTGTAAGTATAACCTGAATCATAACGTCAGACATACACACACCTCCGCAGACAACGCGCACACAGACACACACACACACACACACACAGACACACACAGACACACACACACAGACACACACCTGTTGTGTGGAGCAGCTCTGGATGTGCTGCTGCTGCTGCTCTCTTGGTCTGTGTCGGTGTCGTCCAAACTCGTCACCTTCAGTTTCCGAGTCTTTTTCTGAACAACAACAAAATGTTTTAGAGTTTTAGAGTTTTAGAGTTTTAGAGTTTTAGAGTTTTAGAGTTTTAGAGTTTTAGAGTTTTAGAGTTTTAGAGTTATAGAGTTATAGAGTTTTAGAGTTTTAGAGTTATAGAGAAGCGCTCTGCTCTCGGCCTCAGTCCAATCCCACACACACAGAGTTCATGATTAAGACTTAGAAGCATCTTTGAATAAGACCTATAAGTGTAGTAAGTGTAGGAGGCTGGTGCTGCTCTTTAGACTCTGATTAAGGTATTTTTACTCCATTTGTATTTGTCTGTGGTGGGTGTTAACAGAACCTGCTAAGCCTTAAATTCCTGGGCTGCAGCGTGATGTCCTGACCTTGCGTTTGGAGAAGCTGCCCATGAAGGAGCGGGGTCTGTTGCTGCTGGTGTCGTCTGTGTCTGTGCCGTCTTCAGCTTTGCTCTGGAGAGGAACAAAACACTGTTAGAATATTCCACACGACTGCTGCTGTGGGAGCGGCAGATGCTACTGATGCAACACTGACATTTCCCTCTGTCGTCCATGCAGCTTCAGGAGACACCACCGGCCCCCTGTCCCCGACCCTTCTGTCTGTACCGGGGGAATCTAAACATCGTCAACTTTAAAAACATGAAAGTGAACATCTGCTGCTGCTACCACCAAATGCAGACTTTTCCGTTCCACAGTCGGATCCACCCCCCCCCCAGACGTCAGCAGAGTTTATACCGAACAGAACCACAGTCGGATCCACCCCCCCCTTACGTCAGCAGAGTTTATACCAAACAGAACAACCACAGTCGGATCCACCCCCCCCCAGACGTAAGCAGAGTTTATACCAAACAGAACCACAGTCGGATCCACCCCCCCCCAGACGTAAGCAGAGTTTATACCAAACAGAACCACAGTCGGATCCACCCCCCCCATACGTCAGCAGAGTTTATACCAAACAGAACCACAGTCGGATCCACCCCCCCCCAGACGCAAACAGAACAACCACAGAGGCCTTGGAGCCCTCTCAGATGGTTTCCACTTATAATCATAGTCCATGAGTCATCAGAGGCCAAAACTACAGGCCCTCAGCGTCACAAAGAGTGCAGCCTTGTGTTTGGACTCCAAAGTGTTGATAAGTGTGCACGTGAGTACATGAGTGTGCATGTGAGTACATGAGTGTGCATGTGAGTACATGAGTGTGCATGTGAGTACATGAGTGTGCATGTGAGTAGATGAGTGTGCATGTGAGTAGATGAGTGTGCACGTGAGTAGATGAGTGTGCACGTGAGTAGATGAGTGTGCACGTGAGTAGATGAGTGTGCACGTGAGTAGATGAGTGTGCATGTGAGTAGATGAGTGTGCATGTGAGTAGATGAGTGTGCATGTGAGTAGATGAGTGTGCATGTGAGTAGATGAGTGTGCATGTGAGTAGATGAGTGTGCATGTGAGTAGATGAGTGTGCATGTGAGTAGATGAGTGTGCACGTGAGTGTGCATGTGAGTAGATGAGTGTGCACGTGAGTAGATGAGTGTGCACGTGAGTAGATGAGTGTGCACGTGAGTAGATGAGTGTGCATGTGAGTAGATGAGTGTGCATGTGAGTAGATGAGTGTGCACGTGAGTAGATGAGTGTGCATGTGAGTAGATGAGTGTGCATGTGAGTAGATGAGTGTGCATGTGAGTAGATGAGTGTGCACGTGAGTAGATGAGTGTGCATGTGAGTAGATGAGTGTGCATGTGAGTAGATGAGTGTGCACGTGAGTATATGAGTGTGCATGTGAGTAGATGAGTGTGCACGTGAGTATATGAGTGTGCACGTGAGTATATGAGTGTGCACGTGGAATTAACGTGAACCTGGCCCTCCATCATACTCAAAATGTTATAAAAAATATGTCAATCGTTTGTGCTGTAAACATTTTTGTTTGTGTTGTTATCGTTTTTGAGATATTGAGGATTCTTTTATAGGTCAATCTGAGGTCACCCAGCCCCTCATTTTGCTAAAAAAAATGCTCCAAAATGGACGAAAATAGTGTCATTTGTTTGTGCTGGTTTGTGCTGTAAACATTTACGTTTGTGCTGTTATCGTTTTTAAGATATTAATAATTGCATTTTTAGACGATGACGTCATCATACTCTTTCGAAACTGACTGAGAATGGTGTCTATCCTTTTGGCTTCGTTTATGTTGGCTTGTGCTGTCATCTGCAGGCGCGGCCCAGCCTATATTGTAATGCAATGTGTTTACGTTGTTAATAAAGAACTGATATAGTCAAAGCATTTGTCATTATTTAATTAACACTACAACACTTGCTTTATTTTTTCTATACCACTGGGAGGCGCTAACCATTTACCCGCTAAAATTGAACATTTTCCCTCAAAGAACTAATTAAGCAGCTGCATTTTAACTTCAAATACTTATTTAGGTAGTTTTCTCTTTTAATTGTACCCTTACAGTATGGACCTTTGCATATTCTGAAGATCATCAACGTAAGTAATTACATTTTATCTTTAAACAATTTTGCTAGTTTTTTTTTTGCTACTGTAGGCATTCTATGTGAAATACTGTACAGAATTCATTAAAACATTTTAAAGTCCAAAAATAAAATGAATGCATTTCATATAACTGTATACATTGCTTCAATTATAGTAATGACAAAATCCACAGAAATAAACTGAAAAAGTAAACCCTTTATACATAAGACAATTCATAAGAGAATATTTAAAGTTTTAGAGCAGGTCAGATGCACACAGAGCAATATTACAATTATTTTGAAACAGGTTTTGGAAGAGTTCAGCTGTATAACATATTAAGATGAACCTTTCAATAAAATGGCATAAAAAACAACATTACTCCAGTTTACATAAGGTGATTTAATTATTATTTTTTTACTAGATGCCAAAAAATCCAGGAGTGGCCACACATGCTGTTATTGCCATCCTCTCAACAGCAAAAGAGGCTATATTAATAAATGGGGAAATTGCTAAACCTGCTGAACAAATCTGGACAGAACTCAGCCATCAACTTGATGAGAGAATGTTTGCCAAGGCACTGTATACCTTTGTAAAACAAAACAGGCACAACATCTGGATAAGACCTTCACACTAAGGGCAGTCGTAGCATTCAGAGGTGGAGAGTCAACGAATGCCATGGGTCACTACGTCTGCTACTGCAGAAGGCCCCCAAGAGTCTGGGAGATGTTTGATGACCTGAGGAGTCTGGGAGATGTTTGATGACCTGAGGAGCGACGTGAAAACTGTGGCAGAAATAGACCTGTGTGTCCACATGCAGTGCTTTACACACATGATCAGGAACCTTGTTTTTATGCTTTTGTGAGAGTTGTCCTTTGGCACTTTCAGTTTGTTTGCAATTAGGTTGGCATATGTTTCAATTCTATGTCCATGTTTCTATTCTTTTGTATGTGAAGATATACCACAATATTGTTCTTTGACAGTGACTGCTTTTAGTTCATTCTTACTTTAAAAACATTGCCATTAAATTAAGTTAATTTAAGAAAACAAAATGTGTATGCTTATAAGCTTCACTACTGCAACACTACCATGCTAATCAAGCAGTAAAGAAGGCCTCATACATGTACTTAAATTAAAGCTACATAAAATGGACTTTCAGAGGTATTAGTACTACTGTACACTCTACAAAAAAACAGTGACTCTTCACTCCACACTGGCTGCTCCAAGCTGCCATCCTGCACAAACAAATAAATAATAATAATCATGTAGTAAAATGATTTAACCAAATGACAAAACACTAAGTATACAGTATGTGCAAACCGAAACCTGCAAGTCTACTCATATGCAAGAATTTAGCGTGTGTTAATTGGCTTAGCTAATTAAGCTCCTTAACACACATTCAGCACGTGAAACATGTGTGAATCGCAATACAAGTGACTTTTAAACAGGCATATGCTGTGAATATATTGAACAAAGCCGTGCCAGTAATGTTAAGGATAATTGTACAGCCTATGGCCGATTAAATGTCAACTTGTGCCATTTAAAGGCACACCGTGTAACTCTTGGCCACTAGGGGCGCTAGACCTGCAACTTTCACGTTTAGCGCCCCTAGTGGCCACAAGCAACTCAGCACTGTCGCAAAAGTCAACAAACAGTCAGCCGGTGTCTTTTGAGTGTGTATTCAGACAGTAGTGGACCTGTTGGTTGAAGAGGGCTCATTGACTCACGATTGAAGAAAAGAAGACATCCGCTGAATAAAGAAATTGCACAAAAGTGAACAGAAAACCATGTCTGATCAGGTAAGTCGTAGAGCTGTTTTATACCTAAAACCAAGTTCTTTGGTTTGTAGCCTGTTAGCTTCGTCTGCCCGTATTTTGCTTCTACTAAACAGCGAAAATAATGACAAAGACATTTTACTGTATACTAGGAGCAAAGACTTCACTTACCAGTCTAATAACGAAGTTGAAAAAACAGAATCAGATTTACATCCAGCTTCTTCTTTCAACCTGCGCCAACGAGCAAATTCCTTTCCCAGATCGACCCTTGTTTTTCCTCGAGCACGATCCCTTTCGCGTTTCCTCTTTTTAGCCTCCTCCGAAGGTTTAAACTTTTTCCTTGCCTCAGCCATGACCAGGAGTCGAGCAGGTGAAAAATGAGTAGCAAAAGCCTTAGCTCCATGAGTATATCAGCGCCTGTAGCCGTAAAGCAAATCTTTCTTCCAAGTCACGTGACCTGGTAAACGACGGTGCGTCTGCTCGAAACTTACATGGGCGGTATTTCAAGAGGGCAGCCCCGCTCGGAGCATTGCAAGTGTCAAGCGCTGTATATTGGCCCAAGTATTCATATAAAATAACTCATATGTGTCAACTCTTTAGGTCACAAAGTCCGCGGTGTGCCTTTAAATCTATGAAATTAACAATTGGTTAATAATGATATTCACATAAATACTACATTCAACGTTATCATCCTCATTTACATGTCAAACACTACACCAATAAGGGGATTAAAAGAAGATTTACTTGCCAAAAGTTCGAGGAGCGTCGAGAGCATAGACTGTGGTCGAGAGGTTCTATCCATGATTAATCACGCAGCAATAAAGTGTCCGGATATGACGTCACTGTCAATATAACAGGTGTGTGCGATACCCAAATAAAAACAATAAAAAAGAGATACCCAAATTCTTAAAATGTTTAACATAACTGTATAAACCAAATATATGCACAGCATAAACGAAGCCAAAAGGATAGACACCATTCTCAGTCAGTTTCGAAAGAGTATGATGACGTCATCGTCTAAAAATGCAATTATTAATATCTCAAAAACAATAACAGCACAAACGTAAATGTTTACAGCACAAACCAGCACAAACAATTGACATATTTTTTATAACATTTTGAGTATGATGGAGGGCCAGGTTCACGTTAATTCCACGTGAGTAGATGAGTGTGCACGTGAGTAGATGAGTGTGCACGTGAGTAGATGAGTGTGCACGTGAGTAGATGAGTGTGCACGTGAGTAGATGAGTGTGCACGTGAGTAGATGAGTGTGCACGTGAGTAGATGAGTGTGCATGTGAGTAGATGAGTGTGCACGTGAGTAGATGAGTGTGCATGTGAGTAGATGAGTGTGCACGTGAGTAGATGAGTGTGCATGTGAGTATATGAGTGTGCACGTGAGTAGATGAGTGTGCACGTGAGTAGATGAGTGTGCACGTGAGTAGATGAGTGTGCACGTGAGTAGATGAGTGTGCACGTGAGTAGATGAGTGTGCACGTGAGTAGATGAGTGTGCACGTGAGTAGATGAGTGTGCACGTGAGTACAGTTGTTAACAGTTGTTGTTTTGTGCTTTACCATTTTTATTTGTATTGCTTTTTTCTGCCTGAGATGTTGCTTCAGTACAATGTGCAAAGTTTTGCACTGGTCCAGACCAGAGCAGAGAGGATTCATGGTCCAAACCATGTGGATCAGGTGAAAGTCCACTGAAGGAATGCTGACTTTTAGAAAAATGCTAATGAAGCATTTAGCATTTTACTTTAACCAAGCAACTCCACCTTTTGACCTGTCCTGCTCCACCCAGAGGCTACTCCACCTCTGCTGCTGTGACCTGTCCTGCTCCACCCAGAGGCTACTCCACCTCTGCTGCTGTGACCCGTCCTGCTCCACCCAGAGGCTACTCCACCTCTGCTGTTGTGACCCGTCCTGCTCCACCCAGAGGCTACTCCACCTCTGCTGCTGTGACCCGTCCTGCTCCACCCAGAGGCTACTCCACCTCTGCTGCTGTGACCCGTCCTGCTCCACCCAGAGGCTACTCCACCTCTGCTGCTGTGACCCGTCCTGCTCCACCCAGAGGCTACTCCACCTCTGCTGCTGTGACCCGTCCTGCTCCACCCAGAGGCTACTCCACCTCTGCTGCTGTGACCCATCCTGCTCCACCCAGAGGCTACTCCACCTCTGCTGCTGTGACCCGTCCTGCTCCACCCAGAGGCTACTCCACCTCTGCTGCTGTGACCTGTCCTGCTCCACCCAGAGGCTACTCCACCTCTGCTGCTGTGACCCATCCTGCTCCACCCAGAGGCTACTCCACCTCTGCTGCTGTGACCCGTCCTGCTCCACCCAGAGGCTACTCCACCTCTGCTGCTGTGACCCGTCCTGCTCCACCCAGAGACTACTCCACCTCTGCTGCTGTGACCCGTCCTGCTCCACCCAGAGGCTACTCCACCTCTGCTGCTGTGACCCATCCTGCTCCACCCAGAGGCTACTCCACCTCTGCTGCTGTGACCTGTCCTGCTCCACCCGGAGGCTGCTCCACCTCTGCTGCTGTGACCCGTCCTGCTCCACCCAGAGGCTACTCCACCTCTGCTGCTGTGACCCGTCCTGCTCCACCCAGAGGCTACTCCACCTCTGCTGCTGTGACCTGTCCTGCTCCACCCAGAGGCTACTCCACCTCTGCTGCTGTGACCTGTCCTGCTCCACCCAGAGGCTACTCCACCTCTGCTGCTGTGACCCGTCCTGCTCCACCCAGAGGCTACTCCACCTCTGCTGCTGTGACCCGTCCTGCTCCACCCAGAGGCTACTCCACCTCTGCTGCTGTGACCTGTCCTGCTCCACCCAGAGGCTACTCCACCTCTGCTGCTGTGACCCGTCCTGCTCCACCCAGAGGCTACTCCACCTCTGCTGCTGTGACCCGTCCTGCTCCACCCAGAGGCTACTCCATCTGTGATGCTGCGACCCGTCCTGCTCCACCCAGAGGCTACTCCACCTCTGCTGCTGTGACCCGTCCTGCTCCACCCAGAGGCTACTCCACCTCTGCTGCTGTGACCCGTCCTGCTCCACCCAGAGGCTACTCCACCACTGCTGCTGTGACCTGTCCTGCTCCACCCAGAGGCTACACCACCTCTGCTGCTGTGACCCGTCCTGCTCCACCCAGAGGCTACTCCACCTCTGCTGCTGTGACCCGTCCTGCTCCACCCAGAGGCTACTCCACCTCTGCTGCTGTGACCTGTCCTGCTCCACCCAGAGGCTACTCCACCTCTGCTGCTGTGACCCGTCCTGCTCCACCCAGAGGCTACTCCACCTCTGCTGCTGTGACCCGTCCTGCTCCACCCAGAGGCTACTCCATCTGTGATGCTGCGACCCGTCCTGCTCCACCCAGAGGCTACTCCACCTCTGCTGCTGTGACCCGTCCTGCTCCACCCAGAGGCTACTCCACCTCTGCTGCTGTGACCCGTCCTGCTCCACCCAGAGGCTACTCCACCTCTGCTGCTGTGACCCGTCCTGCTCCACCTCTGCTGCTGTGACCTGTCCTGCTCCACCCAGAGGCTACGCCACCTCTGCTGCTGTGACCTGTCCTGCTCCACCCAGAGGCTACTCCACCTCTGCTGCTGTGACCCGTCCTGCTCCACCCAGAGGCTACTCCACCACTGCTGCTGTGACCTGTCCTGCTCCACCCAGAGGCTACACCACCTCTGCTGCTGTGACCCGTCCTGCTCCACCCAGAGGCTACTCCACCTCTGCTGCTGTGACCCGTCCTGCTCCACCCAGAGGCTACACCACCTCTGCTGCTGTGACCCGTCCTGCTCCACCCAGAGGCTACTCCACCTCTGCTGCTGTGACCCGTCCTGCTCCACCCAGAGACTACTCCACCTCTGCTGCTGTGACCCGTCCTGCTCCACCCAGAGGCTACACCATCTGTGATGCTGCGACCCGTCCTGCTCCACCCAGAGGCTGCTCCACCTCTGCTGCTGTGTTCTGAAGGGCTGTGGCTGATTATTACTAATGTTATCTTTTTTTAGAATGATCAATTTTCTTTTTTCTTTTTGCTACTACTGGACACCTGCATTTCTCCTTCGGGGGATCAATAAAGTATCTATCTATCTATCTATGTGAGTAAATAAGTGCATGTGAGCAGATGAGTGTGCAAATATGTGTGCACGTGTGTGTGCACGTGTGACCCACCCTGCTGTGGTCGGTCAGAGAGGTGATGGTGAAGCTGTCTGGATCTTCTCGGTCCCGGATCTTGGACTCCTTCATCAGGTGTTCCAGCTTCTTCTTTGCCAAGTTCTCCACCTGCTTCCTGTTCGCTGAAGTCTGGAAGCAGCAAAACAAATGTTCATTCGACTGTCACAAAAACATGAAGACTTTGTTTAAATAGCGACGGAAAACAAGAGAAAGAAGGACATGCTCCGAGCCCAGGCACATGCTCCGAGCCCAGGCACATGCTCCGAGCCCAGACACATGCTCCGAGCCCAGGCACATGAGCCCAGACACATGAGCCCAGGCACATGAGCCCAGGCACATGCTCCGAGCCCAGACACATGCTCCGAGCCCAGACACATGCTCCGAGCCCAGGCACATGCTCCGAAGCCCAGACACATGCTCCGAGCCCAGGCACATGAGCCCAGACACATGAGCCCAGGCACATGAGCCCAGGCACATGCTCCGAGCCCAGACACATGCTCCGAGCCCAGACACATGCTCCGAGCCCAGGCACATGCTCCGAGCCAGCACATGCTCCGAGCCCAGGCACATGCTCCGAGCCCAGGCACATGCTCCGAGCCCAGACACATGCTCCGAGCCCAGGCACATGCTCCGAGCCCAGGCACATGAGCCCAGGCACATGAGCCCAGGCACATGCTCCGAGCCCAGGCACATGCTCCGAGCCCAGGCACATGCTCCGAGCCCAGGCACATGCTCCGAGCCCAGGCACATGCTCCGAGCCCAGACACATGCTCCGAGCCCAGGCACATGAGCCCAGACACATGCTCCGAGCCCAGGCACATGAGCCCAGACACATGCTCCGAGCCCAGGCACATGAGCCCAGACACATGCTCCGAGCCCAGACACATGCTCCGAGCCCAGGCACATGAGCCCAGGCACATGCTCCGAGCCCAGGCACATGCTCCGAGCCCAGGCACATGCTCCGAGCCCAGGCACATGAGCCCAGACACATGCTCCGAGCCCAGGCACATGAGCCCAGACACATGAGCCCAGGCAGATGAGAAAGTATTCGGCCCCCTTGAACCTTTCGCCACATTTCAGGCTTCAAACATAAAGATATAAAAAAATAATTTTTTTTCAAGAATCAACAACAAGTGGGACACAATCGTGAAGTGGAACAACATTTTTTGGATAATTTAAACTTTTTTTAACAAATAAAAAACTGAAAAGTGGGGCGTGCAATATTATTCGGCCCCCTTGCGCTAATACTTTGTAGCGCCACCTTTTGCTGCAATTACAGCTGCAAGTGGCTTGGGGTATGTCTCTATCAGTTTTGCACATCGAGAGACTGGAATTCTTGCCCATTCTTCCTTGCAAAACAGCTGGAGCTCAGTGAGGTTGGATGGAGAGCGTTTGTGAACAGCAGTCTTCAGCTCTTTCCACAGATTCTGGATTGGATTCAGGTCTGGACTTTGACTTGGCCATTCTAACACCTGGATACGTCTATTTGTGAACCATTCCATTGTAGATTTGGCTTTATGTTTTGGATCATTGTCCTGTTGGAAGATAAATCTCCGTCCCAGTCTCAGGTCTTTTGCAGACTCCAACAGGTTTTCTTCCAGAATGGTCCTGTATTTGGCTCCATCCATCTTCCCATCAATTTTAGCCATCTTCCCTGTCCCTGCTGAAGAAAAGCAGGCCCAAAGCATGATGCTGCCACCACCATGTTTGACAGTGGGGATGGTGTGTTCAGGGTGATGAGCTGTGTTGCTTTTACGCCAAACATTTCGCCACACTTCAGGCTTCAAACATAAAGATATAAAATTTTAATTTTTCGTCATGAATCAACAACAAGTGGGACACAATCGTGAAGTGGAACAAAATTTATTGGATAATTTAAACTTTTTTAACAAATAAAAAACTGAAAAGTGGGGCGTGCAATATTATTGGGCCCCTTTACTTTCAGTGCAGCAAACTCAGTCCAGAAGTTCAGTGAGGATCTTTGAATGATCCAATGTTGTCCTAAATGACTGATGATGATAAATAGAATGCACCTGTGTGTAATCAAGTCTCCGTATAAATGCACCTGCTCTTTGATAGTCTCAGGGTTCTGTTTAAAGCGCAGAGAGAACCATGAAGACAAAGGAACACACCAGGCAGGTCCCAGATACTGTTGTGGAGAAGTTTAAAGCCGGATTTGGATACAAAAAGATTTCCCAAGCTTTAAACATCTCAAGGAGCACTGTGCAAGCAATTATATTGAAATGGAAGGAGTATCAGACCACTGCAGATCTACCAAGACCCGGCCGTCCCTCCAAACTTTCATCTCAAACAAGGAGAAGACTGATCAGAGATGCAGCCAAGAGGCCCATGATCACTCTGGATGAACTGCAGATAACTACAGCTGAGGTGGGAGAGTCTGTCCATAGGACAACAATCAGTCGTGCACTGCACAAATCTGGCCTTTATGGAAGAGTGGCAAGAAGAAAGCCATTTCTCAAAGATATCCATAAAAAGTCTTGTTTAAAGTTTGCCACAAGCCACCTGGGAGACACACCAAACATGTGGAAGAAGGTGCTCTGGTCAGATGAAACCAAAATCAAACTTTTTGGCCACAATGCAAAACGATATGTTTGGCGTAAAAGCAACACAGCTCATCACCCTGAACACACCATCCCCACTGTCAAACATGGTGGTGGCAGCATCATGCTTTGGGCCTGCTTTTCTTCAGCAGGGACAGGGAAGATGGCTAAAATTGATGGGAAGATGGATGGAGCCAAATACAGGACCATTCTGGAAGAAAACCTGTTGGAGTCTGCAAAAGACCTGAGACTGGGACGGAGATTTAACTTCCAACAGGACAATGATCCAAAACATAAAGCCAAATCTACAATGGAATGGTTCACAAATAGACGTATCCAGGTGTTAGAATGGCCAAGTCAAAGTCCAGACCTGAATCCAATCCAGAATCTGTGGAAAGAGCTGAAGACTGCTGTTCACAAACGCTCTCCATCCAACCTCACTGAGCTCCAGCTGTTTTGCAAGGAAGAATGGGCAAGAATTCCAGTCTCTTGATGTGCAAAACTGATAGAGACATACCCCAAGCGACTTGCAGCTGTAATTGCAGCAAAAGGTGGCGCTACAAAGTATTAGCGCAAGGGGGCCGAAAGGTTCAAGGGGGGTGAATACCTTCGCAAGGCACTGTATAAATATGTATATATACAGAGCAGAAGTGTGGACTTCACTGAGTTCTTTTCATGACTATTGCTGTAGACCCGCACCAGGCTGTGTAAGGGCTGTTTGACCAATAAGGAGAGAGACCGGACCTGAACCCAGTCCAGATGGTTTTGGACCTGAACCCAGTCCAGATGGTTTTGGACCTGAACCCAGTCCAGATGGTTTTGGGGCTGGACCACAGAGTGAAGGGGCCAACAAGTGCTAAGCATCATGGGAACTCCTTCCAGACTGTTGGAGACCATTTCAGGTCCTGTTGAAGCTCATCCAGAGAATGCCAAGAGTGAAGCAGTATCAGAGCAAAAGGAGCTACTTTGAAGAACCAGAATAACCAGAGAGTCAGTACTGACGACCTCATGTGTCAGACTGGTCTGAGAGTCTGGAGCTGCTCTAACAAACACTGGCTCTCTCTCTCTGCCTCTGTCTCTCACTCTCTCTCGTCCCTTTCTCTCCTCCCCCTCTCTCTCTCTGTCTCTCTCTCTCTCTCTGCCTCTGTATCTGCCTCTCTCTCTCTCTGCCTCTCTCTCTCCTCTCTCTCTTTCCTCCCGAGAAAGTTATTCCCTTATCTCATGTCATAAGTACATACCATTACGTTGCCATATCATGGAGCTCATCTTACAGACAGTGTTCTTTTCAATGTTTAAGGAGTGGCTCTTGTGGACCCTGGACTAGAACATCCCTGTGCCCCTCAGAGGCCCCTCAGAGGCCCCTCAGAGGCCCCTGGGAACCTTTGTACCACACGTCTCATGTAAACAACAGTGATGGAGGTTTCAATAGTCGGATAAACTCCCATGATCCTTTGGGTTGTGTGACATCACAGGTGCACTGACACAGACTGGAGAAAGGCACACAAATGGCACGATGCACATGGACACACGGTCTGTCCAGGACTCAGACATGTGGGTCTGTGGGAGGAGGGGAGGGTGTGGGGGGGTGAGGGTGTGTGGGGGGGGTGGGGGGGGCGTGCATGGAGACACAAGCATAAAATACAGTACCTTCCACTGAGAGAGAAGCCACAGACAGAGACACAGACACGCACAGAGAGAGAGAGTATAGGTCAGACCAGAGACTAGAACCCAGAGACCACAGACCAGAGACCAGGACTCAGGACCCAGGACCCAGGACCCAGGACCCAGAGACCAGGACCCACACGGACTCACATCTCCGTTCAGCAGTTTGCAGTCGTCCTCCATCTCGTCTGCACTGTCCTCGTCGGACACGTCGCCTTCGTCTGCGTCGTCATCGATGTTTGGAGGAAGCTTCTTTCCCTGAGGACGCACAAACACACACACACAGACACGCACAAACACACACACACACATACACAAGCACAGACACACATTTCTATCATAATCTGAGTGTTTCCGAATCAGCCTGAGTCAGTCCGAGTCCGTCCGAGTCAGCCCCAGTCAGCCCGAGTCTGTCCAAGTCTATCCAAGTCCTCCCGGGTCAGTCCGGGTCAGTCTGGGTCAGTCCGAGTCAGCCGGAGTCAGTCCGAGTCAGCCGGAGTCAGCCGGAGTCAGCCGGAGTCAGTCCGGGTCAGTCCGGGTCAGTACAGGTCAGTGCAGGTCAGTCCAGGTCAGTCCAGGTCAGTCCGGGTCAGTCCGGGTCAGTACAGGTCAGTCCAGGTCAGTCCAGGTCAGTCCAGGTCAGTCAGGGTTAGTCCAGGTGCACATAGTGATACCTTGACCAGGATCTTCCCGCGCAGTGACTCTGGAGAGGGCAGGAGTCCGAGCTGGTCCACTCTGACCCCGGACAGGTCCAGTTTATGGCCCAGAACCTCCACCAGGTACTGGGCCATCTTCTTCTGCTGCGGCACCGAGCAGTGGTTCTCTATGGACAGGATCACCGGGAAACTGCAGCACACACACTGTCAGAGCAACACACACACTGCAACACACACACTGTCAGAGCAACACACACACTGCAACACACACACTGTCAGAGCAACACACACACTGTCAGAGCAACACACACACTGCAACACACACACTGTCAGAGCAACACACACACTGTCAGAGCAACACACACACTGTCAGAGCAACACACACACTGCAACACACACACTGTCAGAGCAACACACACACTGCAACACACACACTGTCAGAGCAACACACACACTGCAACACACACACTGTCAGAGCAACACACACACTGCAACACACACACTGTCAGAGCAACACACAAACTGCAACACACACACTCTCAGAGCAACACACACACTGCAACACACACACTGTCAGAGCAACACACACACACACTGCAACACACACACTGCAACACACACACTGTCAGAGCAACACACACACTGCAACACACACACTGTCAGAGCAACACACACACTGCAACACACACACTGTCAGAGCAACACACACACTGCAACACACACACTGTCAGAGCAACACACACACTGTCAGAGCAACACACACACTGCAGCACACACACTGTCAGAGCAACACACACACTGCAACACACAGAAGCAGACCCTGTATAGAGGCAGACCCTGTATAGAGGCAGACCCTGTATAGAGGCAGACCCTGTATAGAAGCAGACCCTGTATAGAGGCAGACCCTGTATAGAAGCAGACCCTGTATAGAGGCAGACCCTGTATAGAGGCAGACCCTGTATAGAAGCAGACCCTGTATAGAGGCAGACCCTGTATAGAAGCAGACCCTGTATAGAAGCAGACCCTGTATAGAGGCAGACCCTGTATAGAAGCAGACCCTGTATAGAGGCAGACCCTGTATAGAAGCAGACCCTGTATAGAAGCAGACCCTGTATAGAGGCAGACCCTGTATAGAAGCAGACCCTGTATAGAAGCAGACCCTGTATAGAGGCAGACCCTGTATAGAGGCAGACCCTGTATAGAGGCAGACCCTGTATAGAAGCAGACCCTGTATAGAAGCAGACCCTGTATAGAAGCAGACCCTGTATAGAAGCAGACCCTGTATAGAGGCAGACCCTGTATAGAGCAGACCCTGTATAGAGCAGACCCTGTATAGAGGCAGACCCTGTATAGAGGCAGACCCTGTATAGAGGCAGACCCTGTATAGAAGCAGACCCTGTATAGAGGCAGACCCTGTATAGAGGCAGACCCTGTATAGAAGCAGACCCTGTATAGAGCAGACCCTGTATAGAAGCAGACCCTGTATAGAAGCAGACCCTGTATAGAAGCAGACCCTGTATAGAAGCAGACCCTGTATAGAAGCAGACCCTGTATAGAAGCAGACCCTGTATAGAGGCAGACCCTGTATAGAGGCAGACCCTGTATAGCAGACCCTGTATAGAGCAGACCCTGTATAGAAGCAGACCCTGTATAGAAGCAGACCCTGTATAGAAGCAGACCCTGTATAGAAGCAGACCCTGTATAGAAGCAGACCCTGTATAGAAGCAGACCCTGTATAGAAGCAGACCCTGTATAGAAGCAGACCCTGTATAGAAGCAGACCCTGTATAGAGCAGCAGACCCTGTATAGAAGCAGACCCTGTATAGAAGCAGACCCTGTATAGAGGCAGACCCTGTATAGAGGCAGACCCTGTATAGAGCAGACCCTGTATAGAGGCAGACCCTGTATAGAAGCAGACCCTGTATAGAGGCAGACCCTGTATAGAAGCAGACCCTGTATAGAAGCAGACCCTGTATAGAGGCAGACCCTGTATAGAAGCAGACCCTGTATAGAGCAGACCCTGTATAGAGCAGACCCTGTATAGAAGCAGACCCTGTATAGAGGCAGACCCTGTATAGAAGCAGACCCTGTATAGAAGCAGACCCTGTATAGAAGCAGACCCTGTATAGAAGCAGACCCTGTATAGAGGCAGACCCTGTATAGAAGCAGACCCTGTATAGAAGCAGACCCTGTATAGAAGCAGACCCTGTATAGAAGCAGACCCTGTATAGAAGCAGACCCTGTATAGAAGCAGACCCCCGTATAGAAGCAGACCCTGTATAGAAGCAGACCCTGTATAGAAGCAGACCCTGTATAGAAGCAGACCCTGTATAGAAGCAGACCCTGTATAGAAGCAGACCCTGTATAGAGCAGACCCTGTATAGAAGCAGACCCTGTATAGAGCAGACCCTGTATAGAGCAGACCCTGTATAGAGGCAGACCCTGTATAGAAGCAGACCCTGTATAGAGGCAGACCCTGTATAGAGGCAGACCCTGTATAGAGGCAGACCCTGTATAGAGGCAGACCCTGTATAGAGGCAGACCCTGTATAGAGGCAGACCCTGTATAGAGCAGACCCTGTATAGAAGCAGACCCTGTATAGAGGCAGACCCTGTATAGAGGCAGACCCTGTATAGAGGCAGACCCTGTATAGAGAGCAGACCCTGTATAGAAGCAGACCCTGTATAGAAGCAGACCCTGTATAGAAGCAGACCCTGTATAGAAGCAGACCCTGTATAGAAGCAGACCCTGTATAGAGCAGACCCTGTATAGAGGCAGACCCTGTATAGAGGCAGACCCTGTATAGAAGCAGACCCTGTATAGAAGCAGACCCTGTATAGAGGCAGACCCTGTATAGAAGCAGACCCTGTATAGAGGCAGACCCTGTATAGAGGCAGACCCTGTATAGAAGCAGACCCTGTATAGAAGCAGACCCTGTATAGAAGCAGACCCTGTATAGAAGCAGACCCTGTATAGAAGCAGACCCTGTATAGAGGCAGACCCTGTATAGAAGCAGACCCTGTATAGAAGCAGACCCTGTATAGAAGCAGACCCTGTATAGAGCAGACCCTGTATAGAAGCAGACCCTGTATAGAAGCAGACCCTGTATAGAGGCAGACCCTGTATAGAGGCAGACCCTGTATAGAGCAGACCCTGTATAGAAGCAGACCCTGTATGCAACCGTATAGAGCAGACCCTGTATAGAAGCAGACCCTGTATAGAAGCAGACCCTGTATAGAAGCAGACCCTGTATAGAAGCAGACCCTGTATAGAAGCAGACCCTGTATAGAGGCAGACCCTGTATAGAAGCAGACCCTGTATAGAGCAGACCCTGTATAGAGGCAGACCCTGTATAGAAGCAGACCCTGTATAGAAGCAGACCCTGTATAGAAGCAGACCCTGTATAGAAGCAGACCCTGTATAGAAGCAGACCCTGTATAGAAGCAGACCCTGTATAGAAGCAGACCCTGTATAGAAGCAGACCCTGTATAGAAGCAGACCCTGTATAGAAGCAGAGCCCTGTATAGAGGCAGACCCTGTATAGAGGCAGACCCTGTATAGAGGCAGACCCTGTATAGAGCAGACCCTGTATAGAAGCAGACCCTGTATAGAAGCAGACCCTGTATAGAGGCAGACCCTGTATAGAGGCAGACCCTGTATAGAGGCAGACCCTGTATAGAGGCAGACCCTGTATAGAGGCAGACCCTGTATAGAGGCAGACCCTGTATAGAGGCAGACCCTGTATAGAAGCAGACCCTGTATAGAGGCAGACCCTGTATAGAGGCAGACCCTGTATAGAGGCAGACCCTGTATAGAAGCAGACCCTGTATAGAGGCAGACCCTGTATAGAGGCAGACCCTGTATAGAGAGACCAGAGCCCTGTATAGAAGCAGACCCTGTATAGAGGCAGACCCTGTATAGAAGCAGACCCTGTATAGAAGCAGACCCTGTATAGAAGCAGACCCTGTATAGAAGCAGACCCTGTATAGAGGCAGACCCGTATAGACAGACCTGTATAGGCAGACCCTGTATAGAGGCAGACCCTGTATAGAGGCAGACCCTGTATAGAAGCAGACCCTGTATAGAGGCAGACCCTGTTAGAGCAGACCCTGTATAGAAGCAGACCCTGTATAGAAGCAGACCCTGTATAGAAGCAGACCCTGTATAGAAGCAGACCCTGTATAGAAGCAGACCCTGTATAGAAGCAGACCCTGTATAGAAGCAGACCCTGTATAGAGGCAGACCCTGTATAGAAGCAGACCCTGTATAGAGGCAGACCCTGTATAGAGGCAGACCCTGTATAGAGGTAGACCCTGTAATGAGGCAGACCCTGTATAGAAGCAGACCCTGTATAGAAGCAGACCCTGTATAGAAGCAGACCCTGTATAGAGGCAGACCCTGTATAGAAGCAGACCCTGTATAGAAGCAGACCCTGTATAGAGGCAGACCCTGTATAGAAGCAGACCCTGTATAGAGGCAGACCCTGTATAGAGGTAGACCCTGAAATGAGGCAGACCCTGTATAGAGGCAGACCTGTATAGAGGCAGACCCTGTATAGAGGCAGACCCTGTATAGAGGCAGACCCTGTATAGAAGCAGACCCTGTATAGAGGCAGACCCCTGTATAGAGGCAGACCCTGTATAGAAGCAGACCCTGTATAGAGGCAGACCCTGTATAGAGGCAGACCCTGTATAGAGGTAGACCCTGAAATGAGGCAGACCCTGTATAGAAGCAGACCCTGTATAGAAGCAGACCCTGTATAGAAGCAGACCCTGTATAGAAGCAGACCCTGTATAGAAGCAGACCCTGTATAGAAGCAGACCCTGTATAGAAGCAGACCCTGTATAGAGGCAGACCCTGTATAGAAGCAGACCCTGTATAGAGGCAGACCCTGTATAGAGGTAGACCCTGAAATGAGGCAGACCCTGTATAGAAGCAGACCCTGTATAGAAGCAGACCCTGTATAGAAGCAGACCCTGTATAGAGGCAGACCCTGTATAGAAAGTGCCCTTCAGTTGCTGGTGTGGGGACTCACTGGTTCTTGACGAAGGCGTACTTGTTGATGGTCTCGATGACGTCTTTGAAGAGGATCTTGGAGGTCAGAGTGTATCCGTGATGGACGATGGGCTCGCCGTCCTGACCGTCCCAGCAGTCCACTGCCCACGCAACACGTTAGCATTAGCAACACAACGTTAGCATTAGCAACACAACGTTAGCATTAGCAACACAGCGTTAGCATTAGCAACACAACGTTAGCATTAGCAACACAACGTTAGCATTAGCAACACAGCGTTAGCATTAGCAACACAACGTTAGCATTAGCAACACAGCGTTAGAATTAGCAACACAGCGTTAGCATTAGCAACACAGCGTTAGCATTAGCAACACAACGTTAGCATTAGCAACACAACGTTAGCATTCACAAGTTAATATTTTTATTCAAACAGAGACAGAGGACGATAAACATGATCCAACAGGAGTTCAGTTTAGTTCTATGATTTTAATGCATATTTGGCACTGTTCAGACCAGTTTGGATCAGTTCTGTATAGTCAACGACAGAAGGCCTCACAGTGGTCTGTGTGAGTGTTTATAATATCCTGCTTTGATAACATGTGTCTAACTTCTCATGGTGTTTACTAATGTACTGCACGTATGTGTGTATTATTTTTATTTAGTTTAAGTCTTTTGATCGGAGAAGAATACTCAGGCAGGCAGTGTCTGTGCCTCACCACTAGGGGCGATAGTGAGCATAAGGTTCATATCTGAGTTGATAACAAACAATCTGCCCAATATGCAGTTTCTTTTGCTGGAAAATGGATGATTTGATTGAAGAGGTTTTTCTCAAATGGACTTTCAATCAAAGCAAGAAATAATATAAACAGAGACCACCGCTGGACGTACAAGGACTTTAGAAGTCTCTCGTTTAAATGAATGGAGCTCTCGCAGCTGACGCATGCACAGATGCGTTCTCTCTCTCTCTCTCACACAAGGCAGTGTCATCGCCCAACCCAGAAATGGACTAATTAAGGTTTGAAAATGAATGAGTGGATGAGTGGGTGGTGCGGACCTTCCACGCAGCGGCAGCCCGCCTGCAGCACCCATGCGTACATGTCCACCTACCTTCCACGCAGCGGCAGCCCGCCTGCAGCACCCATGCGTACATGTCCACCTACCTTCCACGCAGCGGCAGCCCGCCTGCAGCACCCATGCGTACATGTCCACCTACCTTCCACGCAGCGGCAGCCCGCCTGCAGCACCCATGCGTACATGTCCACCCGGGACTGGGACATGAGCTGGTCTCCCATCAGGTACGTGTTGTGGGACGAGGCGATGAAGTAGTTACAGAGCGGCTGCGACATGTCCTGGGTCACACTGTAGTGCTCTGCGTTAAAGATGTCTCCTGCTGGACTCCGCATGTAGTTAGTGAAGCCTGCGGACCAGATGGGACCGTTACAGCACCTCACATGGTCTGAGAGAAGCCTGAGGACTATATGGGACCGTTACAGCACCTCACATGGTCTGAGAGAAGCCTGAGGACTATATGGGACCGTTACAGCACCTCACATGGTCTGAGAGAAGCCTGAGGACTATATGGGACCGTTACAGCACCTCACATGGTCTGAGAGAAGCCTGAGGACTATATGAGACCGTTACAGCACCTCACATGGTCTGAGAGAAGCCTGAGGACTATATGGGACCGTTTCTATCAGATCTCTCTCTGGTGTCTCTCTCGCTGGTCTCTCTCTCTGATGTCTCTCTCGCTGGTCTCTCTCTCTGATGTCTCTCTCGCTGGTGTCTCTCTGGTGTCTCTCTCGCTGGTCTCTCTCTCTGATGTCTCTCTCGCTGGTGTCTCTCTGGTGTCTCTCTCTCTCTCACATGGTCTGAGTGAAGCCTGAGGACTATATGGGACCGTGTCTCTCTCTCTGGTCTCTCTCTGGTGTCTCTCTCGCTGGTCTCTCTTGCATCACTAATCAGGGGACTTGAGTGGTTCTCAGAGGGTCCATAACGAGGGGTCTCCGCGTCTCAGGGTCTTGGGGCCTCGGGGTTGGTCTCAGTCTTGGGGTCTCAGGGTCGGTCTCGGGTCTCAGCGTCTCGGGGTCTCAGGGTAGGTCTCGGGGTCTCAGGGTCGGTCTCGGGGTCGGTCTCGGGGTCTCGGGGTCTCAGGGTCTCTGGGTCGGTCTCGGGGTCGGTCTCGGGGTCTCGAGGTCTCGGGGTCTCTGTGGGTCTCAGGGTCTCGGGATCTCAGGGTGGGTCTCGGGGTAGGTCTCAGGGTGGGTTTCGGGGTAGGTCTCAGGGTGGGTCTCAGGGTGGGTTTCGGGGTAGGTCTCAGGGTGGGTCTCAGGGTGGGTCTCAGGGTAGGTCTCAGGGTGGGTCTCAGGGTAGGTCTCAGGGTGGGTCTCGGGGTAGGTCTCGGGGTAGGTCTCAGGGGGGGTCTCGGGGTGGGTTTCGGGGTAGGTCTCAGGGTGGGTCTCAGGGTGGGTCTCAGGGTAGGTCTCAGGGTGGGTCTCAGGGGGGGTCTCGGGGTGGGTCTCGGGGTCTTGGACAGTAGAGTGTTGTGGCTGTATTTACCGTCGATGCCCAGGACTTCCTGCTCCTGGTTCTGGGAACACGGCTCAAACTTGTGGATGATTTCCAAACAGTGGTCCCTGGTCACTCTGGTCATCTGCAAACGGCACACATGGTTCAGTCTCTGCAAACGGCACACATGGTTCAGTCTCTGTAAACGGCACACATGGTTCAGTCTCTGTAAACGGCACACATGGTTCAGTCTCTGCAAACGGCACACATGGTTCAGTCTCTGTAAACGGCACACATGGTTCAGTCTCTGCAAACGGCACACATGGTTCAGTCTCTGTAAACGGCACACATGGTTCAGTCTCTGCAAACGGCACACATGGTTCAGTCTCTGTAAACGGCACACATGGTTCAGTCTCTGCAAACGACACACATGGTTCAGTCTCTGCAAACGACACACATGGTTCAGTCTCTGCAAACGGCACACATGGTTCAGTCTCTGCAAACGACACACATGGTTCAGTCTCTGCAAACGACACACATGGTTCAGTCTCTGCAAACGGCACACATGGTTCAGTCTCTGTAAACGACACACATGGTTCAGTCTCTGCAAACGGCACACATGGTTCAGTCTCTGTAAACGACACACATGGTTCAGTCTCTGCAAACGGCACACATGGTTCAGTCTCTGCAAACGACACACATGGTTCAGTCTCTGCAAACGGCACACATGGTTCAGTCTCTGCAAACGGCACACATGGTTCAGTCTCTGCAAACGGCACACATGGTTCAGTCTCTGCAAACGGCACACATGGTTCAGTCTCTGCAAACGGCACACATGGTTCAGTCTCTGCAAACGGCACACATGGTTCAGTCTCTGTAAACGACACACATGGTTCAGTCTCTGTAAACGACACACATGGTTCAGTCTCTGCAAACGGCACACATGGTTCAGTCTCTGCAAACGGCACACATGGTTCAGTCTCTGCAAACGGCACACATGGTTCAGTCTCTGCAAACGGCACACATGGTTCAGTCTCTGCAAACGGCACACATGGTTCAGTCTCTGCAAACGGCACACATGGTTCAGTCTCTGTAAACGACACACATGGTTCAGTCTCTGTAAACGACACACATGGTTCAGTCTCTGCAAACGGCACACATGGTTCAGTCTCTGTAAACGACACACATGGTTCAGTCTCTGCTTGGCCTCCGGACCATGGTTGTCACACATGGTTCAGTTGATGATGGCAGAGGCGGTGGGCTGTGTTTCTACGTCAATACAAACTGGTGTAACCATGTGACAGTGATCTCCAAGCACTGCTCTCCTGCTCTGGAATATCTTTTCATTCATTGCGCAAAGCTCCTGGCCCGGACCACGTGTCTCCGGCCACTCTGAGACACTGCCCCAGTGAGCTTACTCCTGTGTTCACGGACATTTTCAACACCTCTCTGCAGTCCTGCCATGTCCCGGCTTCAAATCCTCCATCATTGTCCCCGTCCCGAAGAAGCCCAGGATCACAGGACTCAATGACTACAGACCTGTAGCACTTACGTCTGTCGTCATGAAGTCATTTGAACGCCTGGTTCTCTCCCATCTCAAGTCCTTCACCTCCCCCCTCCTGGACCCCCTGCAGTTCGCCTACAGAGCCAACAGATCTGTAGACGACGCCATTAACCTCACTGGCCCACACTGGCCCTCACTGACCCTCACTGACCCTCACTGACCCTCACTGACCCTCACTTACCTTCACTGGCCCACACTGGCCCACACTGGCACAGTTCTCTTCCATTGAATAGAACAATCAGAACATGTGAAACAGACTGAACTGAAGCTACTTCTGATCTGTTCTTGGAGGATCCACAGCTCTGTCCTCAGACACTGTGATATATAAATAAATACCTTCTTCTGCCGTTATATATATATATATATATATATATATGGTGTACCTTCTGCTGCGCCCCCAGGAAGCGGGCCAGGTCCCCCGTGTCCAGGTGGTCCTTGTGGCTGCTGTAGGAGAGGAGCAACAGGTACAGGTCCCTGCGAGTCGACATTCTCTTATAGAAGGAGCAGAACTCTTCAAAGTCCAGAGTGCCCTGGTTCTCGTCTGTGTCGGCCTCCTGGGATCACAGGGACAGCAGGGTTATGTAGCACAGGTACACACGGCCACTCACAGGGACCAGCAGGGTTATGTAGCACAGGTACACAAGGCCACTCACAGGGGCCAGCAGGTTTATGTAGCACAGGTACACACGGCCACTCACAGGGAACAGCAGGGTTATGTAGCACAGGTACACAAGGCCACTCACAGGGACCAGCAGGGTTATGTAGCACAGGTACACAGGCCACTCACAGGGAACAGCAGGGTTATGTAGCACAGGTACACAAGGCCACTCACAGGGGCCAGCAGGTTTATGTAGCACAGGTACACACGGCCACTCACAGGGAACAGCAGGGTTATGTAGCACAGGTACACAAGGCCACTCACAGGGGCCAGCAGGTTTATGTAGCACAGGTACACAGGCCACTCACAGGGAACAGCAGGGTTATGTAGCACAGGTACACAAGGCCACTCACAGGGACAGCAGGGTTATGTAGCACAGGTACACACGGCCACTCACAGGGAACATCAAGGCTACTCACAGGGACAGCAGGGTTATGTAGCACAGGTACACAGCGCCACTCACAGGGAACAGCAGGGTTATGTAGCACAGGTACACAAGGCCACTCACAGGGAACAGCAGGGTTATGTAGCACAGGTACACAAGGCCACTCACAGGGACAGCAGGGTTATGTAGCACAGGTACACAGCGCCACTCACAGGGAACAGCAGGGTTATGTAGCACAGGTACACAAGGCCACTCACAGGGACAGCAGGGTTATGTAGCACAGGTACACAGCGCCACTCACAGGGAACAGCAGGGTTATGTAGCACAGGTACACAAGGCCACTCACAGGGACAGCAGGGTTATGTAGCACTTTGGCCCTTTAGAGGAAGACACTGTGGCACACTTTGGTCTGTCAGAGGAGGACACTGTGGCACACTTTAGTCTGTTAGAGATTGTGGCGTCTCCTCAGATTAAGGCAGCGCTGGTTAAAGTGAAGTGACGGCGTAATCTCCTTAATCCAAAACAACCTACTGGAGGTCTCTCTCAGTGAGGGCCGTGTCACAGATTAGCCTGCTCTGCTCCTGATGCCCTGCCCTGAGCTCTGTGGCTGCTCCTGATGCCCTGCCCTGAGCTCTGTGGCTGCTCCTGATGCCCTGCCCTGAGCTCTGTGGCTGCTCCTGATGCCCTGCCCTGAGCTCTGTGGCTGCTCCTGATGCCCTCCCCTGAGCTCTGTGGCTGCTCCTGATGCCCTGCCCTGAGCCCTGTGGCTGCTCCTGATGCCCTGCCCTGAGCTCTGTGGCTGCTCCTGATGCCCTGCCCTGAGCTCTGTGGCTGCTCCTGATGCCCTGCCCTGAGCCCTGTGGCTGCTCCTGATGCCCTCCCCTGAGCCCTGGGCAGAGGACCAGATGGAGGAGGTGGGACCATGTGGGCGGACACCAGCATTTAGAGCAAACACACAGATTAGCCTACTTTCACCAGACGCTCTGATGGCACACGCCCAGGTCAGAACTCAGGACTCAACACAACACAGAAGCTCCTGTGAGCTTATCAGGGAGCTACCTGTAGCTCGCCAGCGCCTTTCAGGTAGCTCCCCAAAGGATTTATAATCTAACACATGATCCAGAATGAATTCATTTTGAGTAATTACCTAAAGTACAGAGCAAAAGTGTGGACACCCTCTCTCCTTCACTGAGTTCTGTTCATGACTTTGCTGTAGACCCGCACCAGGCTGTGTAAGGGCTGTTTGACCAATAAGGAGAGAGACCGGACCTGAACCCAGTCCAGATGGTTTTGGACCTGAACCCAGTCCAGATGGTTTTGGACCTGAACCCAGTCCAGATGGTTTTGGACCTGAACCCAGTCCAGATGGTTTTGGGGCTGGACCACAGAGTGAAGGGGCCAACAAGTGCTAAGCATCATGGGAACTCCTTCCAGACTGTTGAAGACCATTTCAGGTCCTGTTGAAGCTCATCCAGAGAATGCCAAGAGTGAAGCAGGATCAGAGCAAAAGGTTCTACTTTGAAGAACCAGAATAAAACACATATTTACACTTGGTTCATACTTTTTTATTACGAACATCATTCACATGAGTTCATCATAGGTTTGATGCCCTCAGTGTCAATCTACAGTTTTATAATCACGGACAGAGAACGATTCACAAAAATCCAAATCAGATTCTTTATAAATGTCAAGTAAGCAAAACTAAAATACAGTAAAGCAGTCGTTGAAATGCCACAGAGAACGGACCGAGTTAGGATGAAAGGGTGAGTGTTAGTATGTTAGGATGAAAGGGTGAGTGTTAGTATGTTAGGGTGAAAGGGTGAGTGTTAGTATGTTTGGGTGAAAGGGTGAGTGTTAGTATGTTAGGATGAAAGGGTGAGTGTTAGTATGTTAGGGTGAAAGGGTGAGTGTTAGTATGTTAGGATGAAAGGGTGAGTGTTAGTATGTTAGGGTGAAAGGGTGAGTGTTAGTATGTTAGGGTGAAAGGGTGAGTGTTAGTATGTTAGGATGAAAGGGTGAGTGTTAGTATGTTAGGGTGAAAGGGTGAGTGTTAGTATGTTTGGGTGAAAGGGTGAGTGTTAGTATGTTAGGGTGAATGGGTGAGTGTTAGTATGTTAGGATGAAAGGGTGAATGTTAGTATGTTAGGGTGAATGGGTGAGTGTTAGTATGTTAGGATGAAAGGGTGAGTGTTAGTATGTTAGGATGAATGGGTGAGTGTTAGTATGTTAAGATGAATGGGTGAGTGTTAGTATGTTAGGATGAATGGGTGAGTGTTAGTATGTTAGGATGAAAGGGTAAGTGTTAGTATGTTAGGATGAATGGGTGAGTGTAAGTCTGTTAGGATGAATGGGTGAGTGTTAGTATGTTAGGATGAATGGGTGAGTGTTAGTATTTTTGGAGGAACGGGTGAGTGTTAGTATGTTAGGGTGAATGGGTGAGTGTTGGTATGTTAGGATGAATGGGTGAGTGTTAGTATTTTTGGATGAACGGGTGAGTGTTAGTATGTCAGGGTGAATGGGTGAGTGTTAGTATGTTAGGGTGAATGGGTGAGTGTTGGTATGTTAGAGTGAATGGGTGAGTGTTAGTATGTTAGGGTGAATGGGCGAGTGTTAGTATGTTAGGGTGAGTGTTAGTATGTTAGGGTGAAAGGGTGAGTGTTAGTATGTTAGGGTGAAAGGGTGAGTGTTAGTATGTTAGGATGAATGGGTGAGTGTTAGTATGTTAGGGTGAAAGGGTGAGTGTTAGTATGTTAGGGTGAACGGGTGAGTGTTAGTATGTTAGGATGAAAGGGTGAGTGTTAGTATGTTAGGGTGAAAGGGTGAGTGTTAGTATGTTAGGATGAAAGGGTGAGTGTTAGTATGTTAGGGTGAATGGGTGAGTGCTAGTATGTTAGGGTGAATGGGTGAGTGTTAGTATGTATGGGTGAACGGGTGAGTGTTAGTATGTTTGGATGAACGGGTGAGTGTTAGTATGTTAGGGTGAAAGGGTGAGTGTTAGTATGTTAGGGTGAATGGGTGAGTGTTAGTATGTTAGGGTGAATGGGTGAGTGTTAGTATGTTAGGGTGAATGGGTGAGTGTTAGTATGTATGGGTGAACGGGTGAGTGTTAGTATGTTAGGGTGAATGGGTGAGTGTTAGTATGTTAGGGTGAATGGGTGAGTGTTAGTATGTATGGGTGAACGGGTGAGTGTTAGTATGTTAAGGTGAATGGGTGAGTGTTAGTATGTTAGGGTGAATGGGTGAGTGTTAGTATGTATGGGTGAACGGGTGAGTGTTAGTATGTTAGGGTGAATGGGTGAGTGCTAGTATGTTAGGGTGTATGGGTGAGTGTTAGTATGTATGGGTGAACGGGTGAGTGTTAGTATGTTAGGGTGAATAGGTGAGTGCTAGTATGTTAGGGTGAATGGGTGAGTGTTAGTATGTTAGGGTGAAAGGGTGAGTGTTAGTATGTTAGGGTGAATGGGGGAGTGTTAGTATGTTAGGGTGAATGGGTGAGTGTTAGTATGTTAGGGTGAGTGTTAGTATGTTAGGGTGAAAGGGTGAGTGTTAGTATGTTAGGGTGAAAGGGTGAGTGTTAGTATGTTAGGATGAATGGGTGAGTGTTAGTATGTTAGGGTGAAAGGGTGAGTGTTAGTATGTTAGGGTGAACGGGTGAGTGTTAGTATGTTAGGATGAAAGGGTGAGTGTTAGTATGTTAGGGTGAAAGGGTGAGTGTTAGTATGTTAGGATGAAAGGGTGAGTGTTAGTATGTTAGGGTGAATGGGTGAGTGTTAGTATGTTAGGGTGAATGGGTGAGTGTTAGTATGTATGGGTGAACGGGTGAGTGTTAGTATGTTAAGGTGAATGGGTGAGTGTTAGTATGTTAGGGTGAATGGGTGAGTGTTAGTATGTATGGGTGAACGGGTGAGTGTTAGTATGTTAGGGTGTGAATGGGTGAGTGCTAGTATGTTAGGGTGAATGGGTGAGTGTTAGTATGTATGGGTGAACGGGTGAGTGTTAGTATGTTAGGGTGAATAGGTGAGTGCTAGTATGTTAGGGTGAATGGGTGAGTGTTAGTATGTTAGGGTGAAAGGGTGAGTGTTAGTATGTTAGGGTGAATGGGGGAGTGTTAGTATGTTAGGGTGAATGGGTGAGTGTTAGTATGTTAGGGTGAATGGGTGAGTGTTAGTATGTTAGGATGAAAGGGTGAGTGTTAGTATGTTAGGGTGAATGGGGGAGTGTTAGTATGTTAGGGTGAGTGTTAGTATGTATGGGTGAACGGGTGAGTGTTAGTATGTTTGGATGAACGGGTGAGTGTTAGTATGTTAGGGTGAATGGGTGAGTGTTAGTATGTATGGATGAACGGGAGAGTGTTAGTATGTATGGATGAACGGGTGAGTGTTAGTATCTATTGATGAATGGGTGAGTGTTAGTATGTTTGGATGAACGGGTGAGTGTTAGTATCTATTGATGAATGGGTGAGTGTTAGTATGTATGGATGAACGGGTGAGTGTTAGTATCTATTGATGAATGGGTGAGTGTTAGTATGTTTGGATGAACGGGTGAGTGTTAGTATGTTAGGGTGACCGGGTGAGTGTCACTGACCTTGAACATCTGCTTGACCCTCTGCCGTGGGAGGTTGACGTTGAGTTTGTGAAGCAGCGTCAGGACTTCACTGATGCTGAGGCTCCCGTCTCCGTTTTTATCTGCCTCAGAGAAGGTCTGCTTCAGCCACAGACACTGGGGTCAAGGAACTGACCGTTAACAGACACAGAGACACACAGTCCACAGACACAGTCCACAGACACAGTCTGCAGACACACAGTCTACAGACACAAAGTCTACAGACACAGTCCACAGACACACAGTCCACAGACACACAGTCCACAGACACAGTCCACAGACAGAGACCACAGACACAGTCCACAGACACAGTCCACAGACAGAGACCACAGACAGATACCACAGACACAGCCCACAGACAGAGACCACAGACGCAGTCCACAGACACAATCCACAGACACAGTCCACAGACAGAGACCACAGACACAGTCCACAGACACAGTCCACAGACAGAGACCACAGACAGAGATCACAGACACAGTCCACAGACAGAGACCACAGACACAGTCCACAGACAGAGACCACAGACAGTCCACAGACACAGCCCACAGACAGAGACCACAGACGCAGTCCACAGACAGAGACCACAGACAGAGACCACAGACACAGTCCACAGACAGAGACCACAGACACAGTCCACAGACAGAGATCACAGACACAGTCCACAGACAGAGACCACAGACACAGTCCACAGACAGAGACCACAGACACAGTCCACAGACAGAGATCACAGACACAGTCCACAGACAGAGATCACAGACACAGTCCACAGACAGAGATCACAGACACAGTCCACAGACAGAGATCACAGACACAGTCCACAGACAGAGATCACAGACACAGTCCACAGACAGAGATCACAGACACAGACCACAGACACAATCCACAGACACAGTCCACAGACACAGTCCACAGACACAGTCCACAGACAGAGATCACAGACACAGACCACAGACACAATCCACAGACACAATCCACAGACACAGTCCACAGACACAGTCCACAGACACAGAGGATATTGGTCGCGTGTGCGCTGCCTCTTGGCCAGGCTGTCCTCGTCGCTGATGCCCGCCATGAGGTACTTGAGGCCCGTGATCCAGGTGCGAGCGTCCTCGGCGCAGCTACAGACCAGGTCCAGACTCTCCACACGCTCCCCATGGTACAGGCTGAAGCAGCAGTTGGGGTCGAAGCTCCCCAGAGAGTAGCGCTGGAAGATCTCGGACTGGCGGCCCTCGCACACCTCCCGCAGAGAGTCGATGGAGACTGGAAGACACGGACCACCACAAATAAATACAACTTAAACGGGCTGAAGACGTGGGTTCTCTGTGGATCCGACACCAACACAGAAGGTCAATGTACGGCTTTAAATGTCTCTTCTTCTTACAGAGACACAGCAGATGTTTCAGGCTCTGACAGAGTTAGGACAGCTCTTTTAGCTCTTTTAGCTCAGCACTCTGAAGACACAGGAGGTCCCAGGTGCACGCGTCAGTGTTAGCTGTATCTAGGTCATGTGTAGAAGAATAATTCTGTCATAGTTGAGGTTTATTTCCTGTTTTATTTTGTAGTTTGTTACTCCCTGTGGGTTCACTTCCTGTTGTCACCTGTGTCTTGTTAGTCTTATGTGTATTTAAACCCTTTGTGTTCTTTCACTTCCTGTTCACGTTCGTTTCAGTTCTGTCTTTCTCTGGACTATGATGCATTTTATTTTTTTATTAAATCCATTAATTTGCAGTTCTACGTTTTTAATTTAATTTTACCCTCGTGACAAATTCATACATTTACACTAAAGGTTATGAGACGTATTGAGTGCCATATGTGAACGCAGCCTGTGATTGGAGGACGCTGCAGGATGCTGAGTGCTGATTGGCTGACTCACTCTTGGCCTTCTCGCTCTTGCGTGACGGTCTCCAGCGGATGCACGATTTGTGTTCATCCAGGAAGTAGAAACGCACCAGGCCCTTGGAGCCTCCACGCAGCTTCACCATCTGTGTGCCCATCTGCATGGAGCTCATGCACTTCTCCACTGTGGATACACACACAGAGAACACACACACACACACACACATACACACACACACATATGCATTAGAAATGCACACATAAACTAAACAAAGCAGGTCACTTTACTGTCCATGTAATCAGAATCAGAATCCTTTTTATTGCCACATGAGTAACAAAGGTTTCCACTTGGAAATTGTTTTGGCAGAGAGCAACAGCCAACAGAAACTGCAGAGAGCAATAACACACAGTTTCACAGACAGTTTGACAGACACAGTGTGCTTTGTGTAAAACACGGATTTTTTTCTTGGGATGAGCACCTCCGACTGCCGGCCCAATGTGGCTGTCAGAGGGGGGGGCAGGGTGAGGGAGGGGGTAAGCCGGAAGGACAATAAGGAGTGAGAGGGAGGGAGGGAGAGAAGATGGAGAGGTAGAGGGAGGCGGGGGGAGGGGATCCGGGCTGGAGTCACTAAACTCGGACTAAAAACCTGCTGCTATTCAATACAATACCATTTATTTTTGTATTTCCCTAAATCACATCAGCATCATCTCAGAGACTTCACAAAACCACTGAAATCACCACAGATCAGAGAATCAACAATTAACACACAGAAAGAATATAGAACACATGTTGATAAATGTCATACATGTTGATAAATGTCATACATGTTGATAAATGTCACACATGTGATGAATGTCACACATGTGATAAATGTCACACATGTGATAAATGTCACACATGTGATAAATGTCATACATGTGATAAATGTCATACATGTGATAAATGTCATACATGTGATACATGTCATACATGTGATAAATGTCATACATGTGATAAATGTCATACATGTGATAAATGTCATACATGTGATAAATGTCACACATGTGATAAATGTTACACATGTGATAAATGTCATACATGTGATAAATGTCATACATGTGATACATGTCATACATGTGATAAATGTCATACATGTGATAAATGTCATACATGTGATAAATGTCATACATGTGAAATGTCACACATGTGATAAATGTACACATGTGATAAATGTCATACATGTGATAAATGTCATACATGTGTATGTCATACTTGATAAATGTCATACATGTGATAAATGTACATGTGATAAATGTCATACATGTGATAAATGTCACACATGTGATAAATGTCATACATGTGATAAATGTCATACATGTGATACATGTCATACATGTGATAAATGTCACATGTGATAAATGTCACACATGTGATAAATGTCATACATGTGATAAATGTCACACATGTTGATAACTGTCATACATGTGATAAATGTCATACATGTGATAAATGTCATACATGTGATAAATGTCACATGTGATACATGTCATACATGTGATAAATGTCATACATGTGATAAATGTCATACATGTGATAAATGTCACACATGTTGATAAATGTCATACATGTGATAAATGTCATACATGTGATAAATGTCATACATGTGATAAATGTCACACATGTGATAAATGTCACACATGTGATAAATGTCACACATGTGATAAATGTCACACATGTGATAAATGTCACACATGTGATAAATGTCACACATGTGATAAATGTCACACATGTGATAAATGTCACACATGTGATAAATGTCACACATGTGATAAATGTCATACATGTGATAAATGTCATACATGTGATAAATGTCATACATGTGATAAATGTCATACATGTGATAAATGTCACACATGTGATAAATGTCACACATGTGATAAATGTCATACATGTGATAAATGTCATACATGTGATACATGTCATACATGTGATAAATGTCATACATGTGATAAATGTCATACATGTGATAAATGTCATACATGTGATAAATGTCATACATGTGATAAATGTCACACATGTGATAAATGTCATACATGTGATAAATGTCATACATGTGATAAATGTCATACATGTGATACATGTCATACATGTGATAAATGTCACATGTGATAAATGTCACACATGTGATAAATGTCATACATGTGATAAATGTCACACATGTTGATAACTGTCATACATGTGATAAATGTCATACATGTGATAAATGTCATACATGTGATAAATGTCATACATGTGATACATGTCATACATGTGATAAATGTCACACATTTCACACAGTCGGAGGTGCTCATCCCAAGAAAAAAATCCGTGTTTTACACAAAGCACACTGTGTCTGTGTGTGTGTGGACTGTGTGTGTGGACTGTGTGTGTGGTGTGTGTGTGGACTGTGTGTGGACTGTGTGTGGACTGTGTGTGTGGTGTGTGTGTGGACTGTGTGTGGACTGTGTGTGGACTGTGTGTGTGGACTGTGTGTGTGTGGACTGTGTGTGTGTGGACTGTGTGTGGACTGTATGTGGACTGTGTGTGTCTGGACTGTGTGTGTGGTGTGTGTGTGGACTGTGTGTGGACTGTGTGTGGACTGTGTGTGGTGTGTGTGTGGTGTGTGTGTGGACTGTGTGTGGACTGTGTGTGGACTGTGTGTGGTGTGTGTGTGGACTGTGTGTGGACTGTGTGTGGACTGTGTGTGGACTGTGTGTGTGGACTGTGTGTGGACTGTGTGTGGACTGTGTGTGGACTGTGTGTGGTGTGTGTGTGGACTGTGTGTGTGGACTGTGTGTGTGGTGTGTGTGTGGACTGTGTGTGGACTGTGTGTGTGGTGTGTGTGTGGACTGTGTGTGTGGTGTGTGTGTGGACTGTGTGTGTGGTGTGTGTGTGGACTGTGTGTATGGTGTGTGTGTGGACTGTGTGTGTGGTGTGTGTGTGGACTGTGTGTGTGTGGACTGTGTGTGTGGTGTGTGTGTGGACTGTGTGTGTGGACTGTGTGTGTGGTGTGTGTGGACTGTGTGTGTGGTGTGTGTGTGGTGTGTGTGTGGACTGTGTGTGTGGACTGTGTGTGTGTGGACTGTGTGTGTGTGGACTGTGTGTGTGTGGACTGTGTGTGTGGACTGTGTGTGTGTGGACTGTGTGTGTGGACTGTGTGTGAGACTGTGTGTGTGGGACTGTGTGTGTGGTGTGTGTGTGGACTGTGTGTGTGTGTGTGTGTGGTGTGTGTGTGGACTGTGTGTGTGGACTGTGTGTGTGGACTGTGTGTGTGGACTGTGTGTGTGGACTGTGTGTGTGGTGTGTGTGTGGACTGTGTGTGTGGACTGTGTGTGTGGTGTGTGTGGTGTGTGTGTGGACTGTGTGTGTGGTGTGTGTGGTGTGTGTGTGGACTGTGTGTGTGGACTGTGTGTGTGGTGTGTGTGGTGTGTGTGTGGACTGTGTGTGTGGTGTGTGTGGTGTGTGTGTGGACTGTGTGTGTGTGTGGACTGTGTGTGTGCTCAGTAGTTTTCTCAGAGGACTTTACAAAACTGTCGATTCTCCATCACAGATCAAAGACAGACCATGAAATAAATCACAGAAGAGAGAGCTACAGTCCAGATGCTGCAGAGAGAAGAGGGAGCTACAGTCCAGATGCTGCAGAGAGAAGAGGGAGCTACAGTCCAGATGCTGCAGAGAGAAGAGGGAGCTACTGTCCAGATGCTGCAGAGAGAAGAGGGAGCTACAGTCCAGATGCTGCAGAGAGAAGAGGGAGCTACAGTCCAGATGCTGCAGAGAGAAGAGGGAGCTACAGTCCAGATGCTGCAGAGAGAAGAGGGAGCTACAGTCCTGAGGCTGCAGAGAGAAGAGAGCTACAGTCCTGAGGCTGCAGAGAGAAGAGGGAGCTACAGTCCAGATGCTGCAGAGAGAAGAGGGAGCTACTGTCCAGATGCTGCAGAGAGAAGAGGGAGCTACTGTCCAGATGCTGCAGAGAGAAGAGGGAGCTACTGTCCAGATGCTGCAGAGAGAAGAGGGAGCTACTGTCCAGATGCTGCAGAGAGAAGAGGGAGCTACTGTCCAGATGCTGCAGAGAGAAGAGGGAGCTACAGTCCTGAGGCTGCAGAGAGAAGAGAGCTACAGTCCTGAGGCTGCAGAGAGAAGAGAGCTACAGTCCTGAGGCTGCAGAGAGAAGAGAGCTACAGTCCTGAGGCTGCAGAGAGAAGAGAGCTACAGTCCTGAGGCTGCAGAGAGAAGAGGGAGCTACAGTCCAGATGCTGCAGAGAGAAGAGGGAGCTACAGTCCTGAGGCTGCAGAGAGAAGAGGGAGCTACAGTCCTGAGGCTGCAGAGAGAAGAGGGAGCTACAGTCCAGATGCTGCAGAGAGAGAGAGAGCTACAGTCCAGATGCTGCAGAGAGAAGAGGGAGCTACAGTCCAGATGCTGCAGAGAGAAGAGGGAGCTACAGTCCAGATGCTGCAGAGAGAAGAGGGAGCTACAGTCCTGATGCTGCAGAGAGAAGAGGGAGCTACAGTCCTGATGCTGCAGAGAGAAGAGGGAGCTACAGTCCAGATGCTGCAGAGAGAAGAGGGAGCTACAGTCCTGAGGCTGCAGAGAGAAGAGGGAGCTACAGTCCTGAGGCTGCAGAGAGAAGAGGGAGCTACAGTCCAGATGCTGCAGAGAGAAGAGGGAGCTACAGTCCTGATGCTGCAGAGAGAAGAGGGAGCTACAGTCCAGATGCTGCAGAGAGAAGAGGGAGCTACAGTCCAGATGCTGCAGAGAGAAGAGGGAGCTACAGTCCTGATGCTGCAGAGAGAAGAGGGAGCTACAGTCCTGATGCTGCAGAGAGAAGAGGGAGCTACAGTCCTGATGCTGCAGAGAGAAGAGGGAGCTACTGTCCTGAGGCTGCAGAGAGAAGAGGGGCTACAGTCCTGATGCTGCAGAGAGAAGAGGGAGCTACAGTCCTGATGCTGCAGAGAGAAGAGGGAGCTACAGTCCTGATGCTGCAGAGAGAAGAGGGAGCTACAGTCCTGATGCTGCAGAGAGAAGAGGGAGCTACTGTCCTGAGGCTGCAGAGAGAAGAGGGAGCTACAGTCCTGATGCTGCAGAGAGAAGAGGGAGCTACAGTCCAGATGCTGCAGAGAGAAGAGGGAGCTACAGTCCTGATGCTGCAGAGAGAAGAGGGAGCTACAGTCCAGATGCTGCAGAGAGAAGAGGGAGCTACAGTCCAGATGCTGCAGAGAGAAGAGGGAGCTACAGTCCTGATGCTGCAGAGAGAAGAGGGAGCTACAGTCCTGATGCTGCAGAGAGAAGAGGGAGCTACAGTCCTGATGCTGCAGAGAGAAGAGGGAGCTACTGTCCTGAGGCTGCAGAGAGAAGAGGGAGCTACAGTCCTGATGCTGCAGAGAGAAGAGGGAGCTACTGTCCTGAGGCTGCAGAGAGAAGAGGGAGCTACAGTCCAGATGCTGCAGAGAGAAGAGGGAGCTACAGTCCAGATGCTGCAGAGAGAAGAGGGAGCTACAGTCCAGATGCTGCAGAGAGAAGAGGGAGCTACAGTCCTGAGGCTGCAGAGAGAAGAGGGAGCTACAGTCCTGAGGCTGCAGAGAGAAGAGGGAGCTACAGTCCAGATGCTGCAGAGAGAAGAGGGAGCTACAGTCCAGATGCTGCAGAGAGAGCACTCTCTCAAATAATGAGGCCAGTGTTTCTGACATGGACACAGGACTGACCCATCCCAGCACGCACGCACACACGCACACGCACACACGCACGCACGCACACACGCACACGCACACACGCAAACGCACACACGCGCACGCACACGCACACACGCACACACGCGCACGCACACGCACACGAAATGTTGTTTATCTGTAAATTCTATTCTCTGTTTTCTTGTATCGCCCTAAATCACAGCAGTAGTATCTCAGAGGACTTTACACAGATCAGAGAATCACACATTCACATGAAGCATCAGAGAATCACACATTCACATGAAGCATCAGAGAATCACACATTCACATGAAGCTTCAGAGAATCACACATTCACATGAAGCATCAGAGAATCACACATTCACATGAAGCTTCAGAGAATCACACATTCACATGAAGCATCAGAGAATCACACATTCACATGAAGCTTCAGAGAATCACACATTCACATGAAGCATCAGAGAATCACACATTCACATGAAGCTTCAGAGAATCACACATTCACATGAAGCTTCAGAGAATCACACATTCACATGAAGCTTCAGAGAATCACACATTCACATGAAGCTTCAGAGAATCACACATTCACATGAAGCATCAGAGAATCACACATTCACATGAAGCATCAGAGAATCACACATTCACATGAACCATCAGAGAATCACACATTCACATGAAGCTTCAGAGAATCACACATTCACATGAAGCTTCAGAGAATCACACATTCACATGAAGCATCAGAGAATCACACATTCACATGAACCATCAGAGAATCACACATTCACATGAAGCTTCAGAGAATCACACATTCACATGAAGCATCAGAGAATCACACATTCACATGAAGCTTCAGAGAATCACACATTCACATGAAGCTTCAGAGAATCACACATTCACATGAAGCTTCAGAGAATCACACATTCACATGAAGCTTCAGAGAATCACACATTCACATGAACCATCAGAGAATCACACATTCACATGAAGCTTCAGAGAATCAGACATTCACATGAAGCATCAGAGAATCAGACATTCACATGAAGCATCAGAGAATCACACATTCACATGAAGCTTCAGAGAATCACACATTCACATGAAGCTTCAGAGAATCACACATTCACATGAAGCATCAGAGAATCACACATTCACATGAACCATCAGAGAATCACACATTCACATGAAGCATCAGAGAATCACACATTCACATGAAGCTTCAGAGAATCAGACATTCACATGAAGCTTCAGAGAATCACACATTCACATGAAGCTTCAGAGCATATTCAGAGAGGAAGACCTGAGAACCAGCTCAGAGCGGTTCTTCTGCTGTTGCCCACAGCAACAGCAATCTGTCAATCACACTCAGCTGCAGCATCAGCTTCATATCACGCTGAAGCTCCATCCAAGCAGCAGCTTCATTCATGCCGCAACCCTCCTCCTCCCCATCTCCGCCTTGTTCCAGCTCCTTCATCCTTCTCCTAGCTCCCACCACCAGGGTCTAGGCCCCTCCTGCAGTCATGCAGTGCTCTGTCGGGGTCTCAGGCCAAATCCAACCACATTCTGTTCATCACAATAAATGTGATTGTATTCTCCTCAGTGTCACATGTCAGTGTCACATGTCAGTGTCACATGTCAGTGTCACATGTCAGTGTCACATGTCAGTGTCACAAGTCAGTGTCACACGTCAGTGTCACAAGTCAGTGTCGCACGTCAGTGTCACACGTCAGTGTCGCACGTCAGTGTCGCACGTCAGTGTCGCACGTCAGTGTCACATGTCAGTGTCGCACGTCAGTGTCGCACGTCAGTGTCGCACGTCAGTGTCGCACGTCAGTGTCGCACGTCAGTGTCACACGTCAGTGGCGCACGTCAGTGGCGCACGTCAGTGTCGCACGTCAGTGTCGCACGTCAGTGTCGCACGTCAGTGTCGCACGTCAGTGTCGCACGTCAGTGTCGCACGTCAGTGTCGCACGTCAGTGTCGCACGTCAGTGTCGCACGTCAGTGTCGCACGTCAGTGTCGCACGTCAGTGTCACAAGTCAGTGTCACATGTCAGTGTCACATGTCAGTGTCACATGTCAGTGTCACAAGTCAGTGTCACATGTCAGTGTCACAAGTCAGTGTCACATGTCAGTGTCACATGTCAGTGTCACATGTCAGTGTCACACGTCAGTGGCGCACGTCAGTGGCGCACGTCAGTGTCGCACGTCAGTGTCACACGTCAGTGGCACACGTCAGTGGCGCACGTCAGTGGCGCACGTCAGTGTCGCACGTCAGTGTCGCACGTCAGTGTCGCACGTCAGTGTCGCACGTCAGTGTCGCACGTCAGTGTCGCACGTCAGTGTCGCACGTCAGTGTCGCACGTCAGTGTCGCACGTCAGTGTCGCACGTCAGTGTCGCACGTCAGTGTCGCACGTCAGTGTCGCACGTCAGTGTCGCACGTCAGTGTCGCACGTCAGTGTCGCACGTCAGTGTCGCACGTCAGTGTCGCACGTCAGTGTCACAAGTCAGTGTCACATGTCAGTGTCACATGTCAGTGTCACATGTCAGTGTCACATGTCAGTGTCACAAGTCAGTGTCACATGTCAGTGTCACAAGTCAGTGTCACATGTCAGTGTCACATGTCAGTGTCACATGTCAGTGTCACATGTCAGTGTCACAAGTCAGTGTCACATGTCAGTGTCACAAGTCAGTGTCACATGTCAGTGTCACAAGTCAGTGTCACATGTCAGTGTCACATGTCAGTGTCACATGTCAGTGTCGCACGTCAGTGTCACATGTCAGTGTCGCACGTCAGTGTCACACGTCAGTGTCACACGTCAGTGTCACACGTCAGTGTCACACGTCAGTGTCACACGTCAGTGTCACACGTCAGTGTCACACGTCAGTGTCACACGTCAGTGTCACACGTCAGTGTCACATGTCAGTGTCACAAGTCAGTGTCACATGTCAGTGTCACAAGTCAGTGTCACATGTCAGTGTCACAAGTCAGTGTCACATGTCAGTGTCACATGTCAGTGTCACATGTCAGTGTCGCACGTCAGTGTCACATGTCAGTGTCGCACGTCAGTGTCACACGTCAGTGTCACACGTCAGTGTCACATGTGTAATACTATGTTTGCCTGTTCGAGTCTCTCCAGAAAAGGCTTGTGAAAAGGCAAAGATAGCATCAAGACATTTCAGTGTTGCATCAGCGGTTACACAACAGCAGAATGAGCAGCACACAGCATAACATAAGCTATTGCTCTATACTACAATACAATACAATCTAACTTTAGCATAACAAAGCATTAGCCTCAGCATTAGCTTCAGCATTAGCCTCAGCATTAGCTTCAGCATTAGCCTCAGCATTAGCTTCAGCATTAGCCTCAGCATTAGCCTCAGCATTAGCTTCAGCATTAGCCTCAGCATTAGCTTCAGCATTAGCCTCAGCAATAGCTTCAGCATTAGCTTCAGCATTAGCCTCAGCATTAGCTTCAGCATTAGCCTCAGCATTAGCTTCAGCATTAGCCTCAGCAATAGCTTCAGCATTAGCCTCAGCATTAGCTTCAGCATTAGCCTCAGCATTAGCTTCAGCATTAGCCTCAGCAATAGCTTCAGCATTAGCCTCAGCCTTAGCTTCAGCATTAGCCTCAGCCTTAGCTTCAGCATTAGCTTCAGCATTAGCTTCAGCATTAGCTTCAGCATTAGCCTCAGCCTAAGCTTCAGCATTAGCTTCAGCATTAGCCTTAGCATTAGCTTCAGCATTAGCTTCAGCCTTAGCTTCAGCATTAGCCTCAGCCTTAGCTTCAGCATTAGCTTCAGCATTAGCCTCAGCCTTAGCTTCAGCATTAGCCTCAGCCTTAGCTTCAGCATTAGCTTCAGCATTAGCCTCAGCATTAGCTTCAGCATTAGCCTCAGCATTAGCTTCAGCATTAGCCTCAGCATTAGCCTCAGCATTAGCCTCAGCATTAGCACCCACTCATGTATATAAGAGTCACGACACATCATAGAGACACCACAGACAGACTCGGTGGGACTCGGTGGGACTCGGTGGGACTCGGTGGGACTCGGTGGGACTCGGTGGGACTCGGTGGGACTCGGTGGGACTCGGTGGGACTCGGTGGGACTCGGTTGGACTCGGTTGGACTCGGTGGGACTCGGTTGGACTCGTGGGACTCGGTGGGACTCGGTGGGACTCGGTGGGACTCGGTGGGACTCGGTGGGTCGGTGGACTCGGTAGGACTCGGTGGGACTCGGTGGGACTCGGTGGGACTCGGTAGGACTCGGTGGGACTCGGTGGGACTCGGTAGGACTCGGTAGGACTCGTGGGACTCGGTAGGACTCGGTAGGACTCGGTAGGATTCGGTAGGACTCGGTAGGACTCTGACTCGGTGGGACTCGGTAGGACTCGGTAGGACTCGGTGGGACTCGGTGGGACTCGGTGGGACTCGGTGGGACTCGGTAGGACTCGGTAGGACTCGGTGGGACTCGGTAGGACTCGGTGGGACTCGGTGGGACTCGGTGGGACTCGGTAGGACTCGGTGGGACTCGGTGGGACTCGGTAGGACTCGGTAGGACTCGTGGGACTCGGTAGGACTCGGTAGGACTCGGTAGGATTCGGTAGGACTCGGTAGGACTCTGACTCGGTGGGACTCGGTAGGACTCGGTAGGACTCGGTGGGACTCGGTGGGACTCGGTGGGACTCGGTGGGACTCGGTGGGACTCGGTGGGACTCGGTAGGACTCGGTGGGACTCGGTAGGACTCGGTAGGACTCTGACTCGGTCCACGCAGGTCTTTTGGAGACATGTGGGTCAAGAGGCAATCAGCAGCAGACCGGGATAATCCCAGGACCATATGGGTCCACGGGGCCAAGGGACCAGCAACAGATGGCTCCACACTCAGAGGACCAACACACAACACAACCATGAACACACAACACTAGGATCATAGACACACAACATCAACATCACAGACACACAACCCCAGGATTACAGACACACAACACCAGCATCAGACACACAACCCCAGGATCACAGACACACAACACCAGCATCACAGACACACAACACCAGCATCACAGACACACAACATCACAGACACACAACCCCAGGATCACAGACACACAACACCAGCATCACAGACACACAACATCAACATCACAGACACACAACACCAGCATCACAGACACACAACATCAACATCACAGACACACAACCCCAGGATTACAGACACACAACACCAGCATCAGACACACAACCCCAGGATCACAGACACACAACCCCCAGGATTACAGACACACAACACTAGGATTACAGACACATAACACCAGCATCAGACACACAACCCCAGGATCACAGACACACAACACCAGCATCACAGACACACAACATCACAGACACACAACCCCAGGATCACAGACACACAACACCAGCATCACAGACACACAACATAGCAGTCCTACACACACAGACTCAGTGGATCAGATAAATTAAATGTGTTTGTGTATCGTCCTAAATCACAGTAGTTTCTCTGAGGACTTTACAAACTGTCGATTCTCCAACCATGGACCTGCAACCATGGACCTGCAACCATGGACCTGCAACCATGGACCTGCAACCATGGATCTGCAACCATGGACCTGCAACCATGGACCTCCAACCATGGACCTGCAACCATGGACCTCCAACCATGGACCTGCAACCATGGACCTGCAACCATGGACCTGCAACCATGGACCTGCAACCATGGACCTGCAACCATGGACCTGCAACCATGGACCTGCAACCATGGACCTGCAACCATGGACCTGCAACCATGGACCTCCAACCATGGACCTGCAACCATGGACCTGCAACCATGGACCTGCAACCATGGACCTCCAACCATGGACCTCCAACCATGGACCTCCAACCATGGACCTGCAACCATGGATCTGCAACCATGGACCTCCAACCATGGACCTGCAACCATGGACCTGCAATCATGGACCTGCAACCATGGACCTCCAACCATGGACCGCCAACCATGGACCTGCAACCATGGATCTGCAACCATGGACCTGCAACCATGGACCTGCAACCATGGAGCTGCAACCATGGACCTGCAACCATGGACCTCCAACCATGAACCTGCAACCATGGATCTGCAACCATGGACCTGCAACCATGGACCTGCAATCATGGACCTGCAACCATGGACCTGCAATCATGGACCTGCAACCATGGACCTGCAACCATAGACCTGCAACCATGGACCTGCAACCATGGATCTGCAACCATGGACCTGCAACCATGGACCTGCAACCATGGAGCTGCAACCATGGACCTGCAACCATGGACCTCCAACCATGAACCTGCAACCATGGATCTGCAACCATGGACCTGCAACCATGGACCTGCAACCATGGACCTCCAACCATGGACCTGCAACCATGGACCTGCAATCATGGACCTGCAACCATGGACCTCCAACCATGGACCTCCAACCATGGACCTGCAATCATGGACCTGCAACCATGGACCTGCAACCATAGACCTGCAACCATGGACCTGCAACCATAGACCTGCAACCATGGTGCTGCAACCATGGACCTGCAACCATAGACCTGCAACCATGGACCTGCAACCATGGATCTGCAACCATGGACCTCCAACCATGGACCTGCAACCATAGACCTGCAACCATGGTGCTGCAACCATGGACCTGCAACCATAGACCTGCAACCATGGACCTGCAACCATGGATCTGCAACCATGGACCTCCAACCATGGACCTGCAACCATGGACCTGCAACCATGGACCTGCTGTGGTCCATGGACCTGCAACCATAGACCTGCAACCATGGACCTGCAACCATGGATCTGCAACCATGGACCTGCTGTGGTCCATGGACCTGCAACCATAGACCTGCAACCATGGACCTGCAACCATGGATCTGCAACCATGGACCTGCTGTGGTCCATGGACCTGCAACCATAGACCTGCAACCATGGACCTGCAACCATGGATCTGCAACCATGGACCTCCAACCATGGACCTGCAACCATGGACCTGCAACCATGGACCTGCAACCATGGATCTGCAACCATGGACCTCCAACCATGGACCTCCAACCATGGACCTCCAACCATGGACCTGCAACCATGGACCTCCAACCATGGACCTGCAACCATGGACCTGCAACCATGGACCTGCAATCATGGACCTGCAACCATGGACCTGCAACCATAGACCTGCAACCATGGACCTGCAACCATGGACCTGCTGTGGTCCATGGACCTGCAACCATAGACCTGCAACCATGGACCAGCTGTGGTCCATGGACCTGCAACCATGGACCAGCTGTGGTCCATGGACCTGCAACCATGGACCTCCAACCATGGTGCTGCAACCATGGACCTGCAACCATGGACCTGCAACCATGGACCTGCAACCATGGACCAGCTGTGGTCCATGGACCTGCAACCATGGACCTGCAACCATGGACCTGCAACCATGGACCAGCTGTGGTCCATGTACCTGCAACCATGGACCTCCAACCATGGACCTGCAACCATGGACCTGCAACCATGGACCTCCAACCATGGACCAGCTGTGGTCCATGGACCTGCAACCATGGACCTGCAACCATGGACCAGCTGTGGTCCATGTACCTGCAACCATGGACCTCCAACCATGGTGCTGCAACCATGGACCTGCAACCATGGACCAGCTGTGGTCCATGGACCTGCAACCATGGACCTGCAACCATGGACCTGCAACCATGGACCAGCTGTGGTCCATGTACCTGCAACCATGGACCTCCAACCATGGACCTGCAAGCATGGACCTGCAACCATGGACCTCCAACCATGGACCTGCAACCATGGACCTGCAACCATGGACCTCCAACCATGGACCTGCAACCATGGACCTCCAACCATGGACCTGCAACCATGGACCTGCAACCATGGACCAGCTGTGGTCCATGGACCTGCAACCATGGACCTGCAACCATGGACCAGCTGTGGTCCATGGACCTGCAACCATGGACCAGCTGTGGTCCATGGACCTCCAGCTGTGGTCCATGGACCGTGGACACCAAAAACTCAAAGATCATGTTTTACTTTCAGTACGATAGATTTTGTATTTCCTCAAAGTCTCACCAGCATCAAGGACCATAAAATGATTTTTGTTTTTTCATCAAACTATAGTTTGAGTAAAACTATTCTCTACGATCCAAACGACTCTTGGTTCTTACCCTCGAGGCCCATCCTCCATCTTAAAGCTGCGGCGCTGGACAGGAACTTTGGCTGCGCACAACTGGGCTTCTTAAAAAAGTCTGCGATCAATTCTTTAACCTGGTCTGCCTTGGCCTGGTCCGCCTTGGCCTGGTCCGCCTTGACCTGGTCCGCCTTGGCCTGGTCCGCCTTGGCCTGGTCCCCCTTGGCCTGGTCCGCCTTGGCCTGGTCCGCCTTGGCCTGGTCCGCCTTGGCCTGGTCCGCCTTGACCTGGTCCGCCTTGGCCTGGTCCACCTTGGCCTGGTCCGCCTTGGCCTGGTCTGCCTTGGATTGGTCCGCCTTGGCCTTGTCCACTCTGGCCTGCTCCGTCTCGGCCTGCTCTGCCTTGGCCTGGTCCGCCTTGGCCTGGTCCGCCTTGGCCTGGTCCACCCTGGCCTGGTTCACCCTGGCCTGGTCCATCCTGGCCTGGTCCACCCTGGCCTGGTTCACCCTGGCCTGCTCCACCCTGGCCTGGTCCATCTTGGCCTGGTCCAGGCTGAAGGCCCCCTTGGTGGGGGGGCTGGGTTTGTCGGCAGTAGCCGTGGAGAACATGAGGTTCTTCCAGGACGACATCTTTTTCTTCTTCCACTCGTTCAACAAAGTTCTGATGGTTCAGTGATGGTCACAGCCGACCTGGGGCAGACTCCATGGCTCTGAGCTGCTGCTGGAGCTCTGACTGGGGAGAGGGAGAGGGAGAGGAGGAGGGAGAGGGAGAGGAGGAGCCAAGTCCTAATCCAGTTTCTAATCCAGTAATTCCAGTGTAAACCATCACCTGCTGTACCAGGTGGACATTCCCTGAACCTTGAGTGAATAAAACTGGTGCTGAACCCAAGCTGTGTGTGAACCATCAACACCATCAACACCATCACCACAATAAACACAATCAACAACATCAACATAATGAACACCATCAACACAATGAACACCATCAACACCATCGACACAATGAACACCATCAACACCATCAACACGATCAACCCATCAGTGACTTCTGGTTTGAGACCAGTTCAGATGTGGATTCACCTGGTTTTAATAATATGAAAAAGTCCAGGGCTTTCTCAGCAATACCTGGACATAATCCCCGTAGCACACGGAGGATTTCCTTCCCAGACTCTCACATGTGTGAAGCCTGTGAGCTCAGAGCCGTAACACTGACCTCTAGTGGACAAATAAAAGCACTGCTGCTTCTGAACAGCACAGACTCCTTCACCTCACCATGACAAAGTCATGTTTATTTACAGTGTATGGCACCTTCCACTGAGAGCCTCCGCAGAACATTACTCATACTAATAAGAATAATAATAATAATCATATTATTATCATCATTATTATCATCATTATCATTATCATTAAAGGAATCCTTAAACTGAAAACTAGTTTGTTTACACTTTGACACAGTTCATACAAAATGAAGCAGCGTCTGAGACACTGACACGTGTGTCACATGACTCTGAGAACTGCTACTGCTGCTACTGCTACTGCTGCTACTGCTGCTACTACTGCTGCTACTGCTGCTACTACTGCTACTGCTGCTACTGCTACTGCTACTACTGCTACTGCTACTGCTGCTACTGCTGCTACTACTGCTGCTACTGCTACTGCTACAACTGCTACTACTGCTACTGCTCCTACTGCTACTGCTACTGCTGCTACTACTGCTACTGCTGCTACTGCTACTACTACTACTGCTACTGCTACTGCTGCTACTGCTACTGCTACTGCTGCTACTGCTGCTACTACTGCTGCTACTGCTACTGCTACAACTGCTACTGCTCCTACTGCTACTGCTACTGCTGCTACTACTGCTGCTACTGCTACTGCTACTACTGCTACTACTGCTACTGTTACTGCTGCTACTACTGCTGCTACTGCTACTGCTACTACTGCTACTGCTACTGCTCCTACTGCTACTGCTACTGCTGCTACTACTGCTGCTACTGCTACTGCTACTACTGCTACTGCTACTGCTGCTACTACTACTGCTACTGCTACTACTGCTACTACTACTGCTACTACTGCTACTGCTACTGCTACTACTGCTACTGCTACTACTGCTACTGCTACTGCTCCTACTGCTGCTACTACTACTGCTACTGCTACTACTGCTACTACTACTGCTACTGCTACTGCTGCTACTACTACTGCTACTGCTACTACTGCTACTGCTACTGCTCCTACTGCTACTGCTACTGCTGCTACTACTACTGCTACTGCTACTGCTCCTACTGCTACTGCTACTGCTGCTACTACTGCTGCTCCTACTGCTACTGCTGCTACTGCTGCTACTGCTACTACTGCTACTGCTGCTACTGCTACTACTGCTGCTACTGCTACTACTGCTGCTACTGCTACTACTGCTATTGCTACTGCTGCTACTGCTGCTACTGCTACTACTACTACTGCTGCTACTGCTACTACTGCTACTGCTACTACTGCTACTGCTACTGCTCCTACTGCTACTGCTACTGCTGCTACTACTACTGCTACTGCTACTGCTGCTACTACTGCTGCTCCTACTGCTACTGCTGCTACTACTGCTGCTCCTACTGCTACTGCTACTACTGCTGCTCCTACTGCTACTACTGCTACTGCTGCTACTACTGCTACTGCTGCTACTGCTACTACTGCTGCTACTGCTACTGCTGCTCCTACTGCTACTGCTGCTACTACTGCTGCTCCTACTGCTACTGCTACTACTGCTGCTCCTACTGCTACTACTGCTACTGCTGCTACTGCTGCTACTGCTGCTACTGCTGCTACTGCTACTGCTGCTACTGCTACTGCTACTACTGCTGCTACTGGTACTACTGCTGCTGCTACTGCTACTACTGCTGCTACTGCTGCTACTGCTACTGCTACTGCTGCTACTGCTACTACTGCTGCTACTGCTACTACTGCTACTGCTGCTGCTACTGCTACTACTGCTACTGCTACTACTGCTGCTACTGGTACTACTGCTGCTGCTACTGCTACTGCTACTGCTGCTGCTCCTACTGCTACTGCTACTGCTGCTACTGCTACTGCTAAAGAGAAACCACATGATGGACTGAGACAAAGCAAAGATGTAAGAACAGAAGAACAAATACTAAAGATGGAGATGAGAAGCAAGAGCACGGACCATCAACAGGGACCAGGGGGCCTTCACCTTGGCTCACACAGTCCCGGAGTGGGAGAAGGCGTGGTCAGTTGGAGGGGGCGTGGTCAGTCTGACAAATCTCTGTCAGACTGACCACATCCACTCACTGTTTGTCTGTTTATGGTCCGTTTATGGTCCGTTGACGGTCTGTTTATGGTCCGCTGACGGTCCATTTATGCTCCGTTTATGGACCGTTTATAGTCCGTTTATGGTCTGTTTATGGTCCGCTGACGGTCCGTTTATGGTCCGTTTATGGACCGTTTATAGTCCGTTTATGGTCTGTTTATGGTCCGCTGACGGTCCGTTTATGGTCCGTTTATGGTCTGTTTATGGTCCGTTTATGGTCCGTTTATAGTCCGTTTATGGTGTTCTAATTGATATTGAAAGTCCACATCAGAGCAGGGACCAGACAGATTATTCTGAACATTAACGTATGAGAAGTGAAGGGGTTAAATCTGCACGTTTCATTTCACTGCAGAGATTTAAAACACACTGAAGGAAAAACTAGGATCAAACAGAAGACTACTGTAGCCACAGCTGCCCTGGGGCACACTGACAGAAGGGAGGCAACCAGTCTGTCCCATTCACACACACACCAGACTCATTCTAATGTGGGGGAAGTGTCTTGCCTAAGGACACAACCACACACACTGAGGCACAAACACACTTTCATTTTACAACATTCTGCCATTTGTACATCTCTCTGTAAATCAGGGCCGTTACCGTGGTTACCGAGGCCGTCACATCTCACACACAGACAGACAGTCACACACACACACAGACAGACAGACAGTCACACACACACACACAGACAGACAGTCACACACACACACACACAGACAGACAGTCACACACACACACAGACAGACAGTCACACACACACAGACAGACAGACAGACACACACACACACACACACAGACAGACAGTCACACACAGACAGACAGACACACACAGACAGACAGACAGACACACACAGACAGACAGACAGACAGACAGACAGTCACACACACACAGACAGGCAGACAGTCACACACACACAGACAGACAGACAGACAGTCACAGACACACACAGACAGACAGACAGACAGTCACACACACACAGACAGACAGACAGTCACACACACACACACACAGACAGACACACACACAGACAGTCACACAGACAGACACACACACAGACAGTCACACACAGACAGTCACACAGACAGACAGTCACACACACACAGACAGTCACAGACACACACACAGACAGTCACACAGACAGACACACACACACAGACAGACACACACACACAGTCACACACACACAGACAGTCACACAGACAGACAGACAGACAGACAGTCACACACACATACACACACACAGACAGACACACACACAGACAGTCACACAGACAGACACATACACAGACAGACACACACACACAGTCACACACACAGACAGACAGACAGTCACACACACACAGACAGTCACAGACACACACACTGAGCTCAGTATGTTCCTCTGCAGTTACAGACCACATCTGTGCAGAGGCGAGCACTGTTCTGTGTCTGATTTGAGCCTGGAGCAGTTTTTAAAGTGACAAAAGTATTTGAACAATAACAATGTTATGTTCTTTCTGCTATAGTTCTACTGTGTTAAAGGGACAGTTTATGTTTCTGAAAGTACACGTGATCCACATGTTTACAGTCTACACATCAGCCTCCTCCTCTTCCTCTCCTCATCACTCCTCATCATCTTCTTCTTCCTCTCTCTCTCTCCCTCCTCTTGCTCCTCCTCCTCTTGCTCCTCCTCCTCCTCCCTCCTCCTCCTCCTCCTCCCTCCTCCTCCTCCTCCTCCAACAGCAGCGGTGTGCACTCACCGTGCCCGCGGGCCCTCCTCCTCCTCCTGCGGGGCCCCGGGCCGCTCACACTGGCCTGGTAGCGGTTGGGTCGTGTGGCTCTGGGGCCTCTCCCTTCGCTCCATGTCCCGTAGAGCAGCGCTTCGTGCACGCTCTCCCGGAAGAACCAGAGGAACACGGCACGGGACGGCATCTCACATGGTCCCGCGGACTGCACGGGGCAAGGGTCGAGGGGCCCGGGAGAAGACAGGCTGTGACGGTGCTTCCAGTCTCCAACACCCCCTCACGCACGCACGCACGCAGGCGGCAGGTCATTACGCACAGCTGCTGGGACACCTCCACGTGCGCGTGCACTGAGCTGTCCGCGCGCACGCCCCAGGACACGGGGATCTTGGTGCTCGTTTGAGACCGAGGTGGATAGTAACGCGTTACTTCTGCTTCGCTCTAGAATGTTCGATTCTGACATAGTTTAATGTACAGGTTCAAGGTCGTTAGCTTTGCTTCTAAGTACAGTACAGTTCAGTACAGTTTAGAACAGTACAGTTCACTACAGTTTAGAACAGTACGGTTCAGTACAGTTCAGTACGGTTCAGTACAGTTTAGAACAGTACAGTTCAGTACAGTTCAGTACAGTTCAGTACAGTTCAGTACAGTTCAGTACAGTTTAGTACAGTTTAGAACAGTACAGTTCAGTACAGTTCAGTACAGTTCAGTACAGTTTAGTACAGTTTAGTACAGTTTAGTACAGTTCAGTACAGTTTAGTACAGTTTAGAACAGTTTAGTACAGTTTAGAACAGTACAGTTCAGTACAGTTCAGTACAGTTTAGTACAGTTTAGTACAGTTCAGTACAGTTCAGTACAGTTTAGTACAGTTTAGTACAGTTCAGTACAGTTTAGAACAGTACAGTTTAGTACAGTTTAGAACAGTGCAGTTCAGTACAGTTTAGTACAGTTCAGTACAGATCAGTACAGTTCAGTACAGCACCATGGACAGCTCACACAGAAACACACTGAGACTTCATCGGTATTTGGTCCAGTTTAGTTCCAGTCCCAGCACCTGGACCCAGTTTGTTCATAGAAATATATGGCATTAAATTATATGTAAATTTCTCCAATGTGACATAAATAAAGTACATCTTATCTTATTATATATTATAAATATAACATTATATTATATATTATAAATATGACATATTATTATATATTATAAATATGACATATTATTATATATTATAAATATGACATTATATTATATATTATAAATATGACATATTATTATATATTATAAATATGACATTATATTATATATTATAAATATGAAATTATATTATATATTATAAATATGACATTAAATTATATATTATAAATATGACATTAAATTATATATTATAAATATGACATATTATATATTATGAATATGACATTAATTCAAACTCATGTCTAAAACGATAATACTTTGGTCCAAACTCCTTCATGATAAAAGTCACAGAAACAAACTGTGAAACTTTCCACAAACTTTTGATTCTTGGTTTTTCTGTTTGTCTCTGTTTCAAAACAACCTTTACTTTCTCTGACACACACACACACACACACACACGCACGCACGCACGCACGCACACACACACGCACACTCACAGAGAGACACACACACTCACACACACACACACGCACACTCACAGAGAGACACACACACACACACACACACACACACACGCACGCACACTCACAGAGAGACACACAAACGCACATACACACACACACACAGACACACACACACGCACACTCACAGAGAGAGACACACACACTCACAGAGAGACACACACACACACGCACACTCACAGAGAGACACACGCACACACACACACACACACATTCACAGAGAGAGACACACACACACACACACACAGACACACACACACACACACTCACAGAGAGACACACACACACACACACTCACAGAGAGACACACACACACACACACACAGACACACACACACTCACAGAGAGACACACACACACACACACTCACAGAGAGACACACACACACACACACACAGACACACACACACACACATGCACGCTCACAGAGAGACACACACACACACTCACAGAGAAACACACGCACACTCACAGAGACACACACACACACACACACACACTCAGAGACACACACACACACACACTCACAGAGAGACACACACACACACACACACTCACAGAGAGACACACACACACACACACACACAGACACACACACACACACATGCACGCTCACAGAGAGACACACACACACACACACTCACAGAGAGACACACACACACACACACACAGACACACACACACACACATGCACGCTCACAGAGAGACACACACACACACTCACAGAGAAACACACGCACACTCACAGAGACACACACACACACACACACACTCACAGAGAGACACACACACACACTCACAGAGAAACACACGCACACTCACAGAGACACACACACACACACTCACAGAGAGACACACACACGCACACACACACACACAAACACACGCACGCACACACACACACACACACACACACACACACACACACACACACTGATATTCTGCATGTTGTGTCTCCCAGTCTCAGGACAATGACACAAACTGCCGTTGTGTCCTTAGGCAAGACACTTCCCCCACATTAGAATGAGTCTGGTGTGTGTGTGAGTGGTTGGTGGTGGTCAGAGGGGCCGATGGCGCATACTGGTTGCCTCGCTTCTGTCAGTGTGCCCCAGGGCAGCTGTGGCTACAGTAGTAGTTCATCACCACCGTGTATGGAGTGAATGAATAATGACACATGTGACACTCTTTGGACTGAGTCTCACTGATGAAATAACTGACTGTCAGTGAACAGCCGTCGCCACAGACCTGTCAATCACAGACATCACAGACACGCTGAGGCTCCTCCAGACTCCGGGACGGTGCTGCTGTTTCCATGGTAACGCAGAGCAAGGCGTGTGGAGACGCAGCACACGTATGTAGTACGGCCGTGATCCTCCCCCAACCTGAGCCTGACCTGGTTATAGGAACACGCCAAGGTTCTTTGTGTAGCGCAATCCAAGCTCACGGAAACTCACTTTAACTCACGTTAACTTTACACATCAAAGAGAAAGTGTCAGAACGATGTCTTTAAAACACGGTACAGGACAATGTAGCACAGGGACTGCTGCTGTGCCCTCGGGCAACACACTTCACCCTCACACACTGCAACACATCATCCAGTGTGAGGTCAGACAAGCTGCGGTCTGTCCCAGTCTGTCTCAGTCTGTCCCAGTCTGTCCCAGTCTGTCTCAGTCTGTCTCAGTCTGTCCCAGTCTGTCCCAGTCTGTCTCAGTCTGTCTCAGTCTGTCCCAGTCTGTCCCAGTCTGTCCCAGTCTGTCTCAGTCTGTCTCAGTCTGTCCCAGTCTGTCCCAGTCTGTCTCGGTCTGTCCTGGTCTGTCTCGGTCTGTATCGGTCTGTATCGGTCTGTCCCAGTCTGTCTCGGTCTGTATCGGTCTGTCTCGGTCTGTCCCGGTCTGTATCGGTCTGTCCCAGTCTGTCCCAATCTGTCTCGGTCTGTATCGGTCTGTCCTGGTCTGTCTCGGTCTGTCCCGGTCTGTCTCGGTCTGTCCCCATCTGTCCCGGTCTGTCCCGGTCTGTCCCAGTCTGTCCCCATCTGTCCCAGTCTGTCCCGGTCTGTCCCCATCTGTCCCGGTCTGTCCCGGTCTGTCCCAGTCTGTCCCCATCTGTCCCAGTCTGTCCCGGTCTGTCCCAGTCTGTCCCCGTCTGTCCCCATCTGTCTCGGTCTGTCTCGGTCTGTCCCGGTCCTGGACCCTCAGACCGTTGTGAGTCTGTTCCAGTGTCTTCTCTTTGGGACTGATGTGAGAACATAGATCTCAGAGTCAGAGTCAGATTCATGTTATTTACGTCTGCAGTAAAACCCCGTTGGACTCATGTCCCGAGCGAGCCTCAGGGACAGGACTCAGATGAAAGAACCAGAATCAGTCTGACGGAGCTCAGTGGTTTTTACACAGCATATAATAAACAGCACGAGTTCAAGTCACCGTTTCACACAACACAGGATTGGCCCAGGGATTACAGAGGCTGTTACCATAGTTACCAGACCAGGACCAGTCCAGGACCAGATTTTACTGCCATAGTCTGTTGGTTGCCGAGCAACAGAACTTGCCTTTTTGTAGAACTCGTCATATTTCAACAATTATCAAGATCCAGATTAAATAATCAAGATTATTTCATGATAAAAAAGTATCTTGTAGAAACATCAGTCCCATAGACACAAGGACCAACAAAGTGCATGGTCCTAAACAGCAGTCAAAATGACACAAGGACCAACAAAGTGCATGGTCCTAAACAGCAGTCAAAATGACACAAGCACCAACAAAGTGCATGGTCCTAAACAACAGTCAAAATGACACAAGGACCAACAAAGTGCATGGTCCTAAACAGCAGTCAAAATGACACAAGGACCAACAAAGTGCATGGTCCTAAACAACAGTCAAAATGACACAAGGACCAACAAAGTGCATGGTCCTAAACAGCAGTCAAAATGACACAAGGACCAACAAAGTGCATGGTCCTAAACAGCAGTCAAAATGACACAAGGACCAACAAAGTGCATGGTCCTAAACAGCAGTCAAAATGACACAAGGACCAACAAAGTGCATGGTCCTAAACAGCAGTCAAAATGACACATGGACCAACAAAGTGCATGGTCCTAAACAGCAGTCATGACACAAGGACCAACAAAGTGCATGGTCCTAAACAGCAGTCAAAATGACACAAGGACCAACAAAGTGCATGGTCCTAAACAGCAGTCAAAATGACACAAGGACCAACAAAGTGCATGGTCCTAAACAGCAGTCAAAATGACACAAGGACCAACAAAGTGCATGGTCCTAAACAGCAGTCAAAATGACACATGGACCAACAAAGTGCATGGTCCTAAACAGCAGTCAAAATGACACAAGGACCAACAAAGTGCATGGTCCTAAACAGCAGTCAAAATGACACAAGGACCAACAAAGTGCATGGTCCTAAACAGCAGTCAAAATGACACAAGGACCAACAAAGTGCATGGTCCTAAACAACAGTCAAAATGACACATGGACCAACAAAGTGCATGGTCCTAAACAACAGTCAAAATGACACAAGGACCAACAAAGTGCATGGTCCTAAACAACAGTCAAAATGACACAAGGACCAACAAAGTGCATGGTCCTAAACAACAGTCAAAATGACACAAGGACCAACAAAGTGTATAGTCCTAAACAACAGTCAAAATGACACAAGGACCAACAAAGTGCATGGTCCTAAACAGCAGTCAAAATGACACATGGACCAACAAAGTGCATGGTCCTAAACAACAGTCAAAATGACACAAGGACCAACAAAGTGCATGGTCCTAAACAACAGTCAAAATGACACAAGGACCAACAAAGTGCATGGTCCTAAAACAGCAGTCAAAATGACACAAGGACCAACAAAGTGCATGGTCCTAAACAACAGTCAAAATGACACATGGGCCAACAAAGTGCATGGTCCTAAACAACAGTCAAAATGACACATGGACCAACAAAGTGCATGGTCCTAAACAACAGTCAAAATGACACAAGGACCAACAAAGTGCATGGTCCTAAACAGCAGTCAAAATGACACAAGGACCAACAAAGTGCATGGTCCTAAACAACAGTCAAAATGACACAAGGACCAACAAAGTGCATGGTCCTAAACAACAGTCAAAATGACACATGGACCAACAAAGTGCATGGTCCTAAACAACAGTCAAAATGACACAAGGACCAACAAAGTGCATGGTCCTAAACAACAGTCAAAATGACACAAGGACCAACAAAGTGTATAGTCCTAAACAACAGTCAAAATGACACAAGGACCAACAAAGTGCATGGTCCTAAACAGCAGTCAAAATGACACATGGACCAACAAAGTGCATGGTCCTAAACAACAGTCAAAATGACACAAGGACCAACAAAGTGCATGGTCCTAAACAACAGTCAAAATGACACAAGGACCAACAAAGTGCATGGTCCTAAACAACAGTCAAAATGACACAAGGACCAACAAAGTGCATGGTCCTAAACAGCAGTCAAAATGACACAAGGACCAACAAAGTGCATGGTCCTAAACAACAGTCAAAATGACACAAGGACCAACAAAGTGCATGGTCCTAAACAACAGTCAAAATGACACAAGGACCAACAAAGTGCATGGTCCTAAACAACAGTCAAAATGACACAAGGACCAACAAAGTGTATAGTCCTAAACAACAGTCAAAATGACACAAGGACCAACAAAGTGCATGGTCCTAAACAACAGTCAAAATGACACAAGGACCAACAAAGTGCATGGTCCTAAACAGCAGTCAAAATGACACAAGGACCAACAAAGTGCATGGTCCTAAACAACAGTCAAAATGACACAAGGACCAACAAAGTGCATGGTCCTAAACAGCAGTCAAAATGACACATGGACCAACAAAGTGCATGGTCCTAAACAACAGTCAAAATGACACATGGACCAACAAAGTGCATGGTCCTAAACAGCAGTCATGACACAAGGACCAACAAAGTGCATGGTCCTAAACAGCAGTCATGACACAAGGACCAACAAAGTGCATGGTCCTAAACAGCAGTCAAAATGACACAAGGACCAACAAAGTGCATGGTCCTAAACAACAGTCAAAATGACACAAGGACCAACAAAGTGCATGGTCCTAAACAGCAGTCAAAATGACACAAGGACCAACAAAGTGCATGGTCCTAAACAGCAGTCAAAATGACACAAGGACCAACAAAGTGCATGGTCCTAAACAGCAGTCAAAATGACACAAGGACCAACAAAGTGCATGGTCCTAAACAGCAGTCAAAATGACACATGGACCAACAAAGTGCATGGTCCTAAACAGCAGTCAAAATGACACATGGACCAACAAAGTGCATGGTCCTAAACAGCAGTCAAAATGACTGCTCTGGGAGTTCTGCTCAAACTACATCGTCTGAAGGTTTTCAAGGTTTTCATTTTTCTGGAACCTCCACATTTTTATCTTTTTTACTGTTGAACATTTCAAGACTTTTTAAACTGAGAATCAGATAAACTGAAGGTGTTACTACAGAATCACTTCAACTGTTATTACTGCTTTATTACTGCTTTATTACTGCTTTATTACTGCTCTCACAGGCGCTTGAAGATCAGTTTCATTGTTAAAGTCAGAGCAGAGGTGGTATGTTGTAATCCCACTCCCAACCTCATGATGGCGATCTCACAGGAGTTTAGAAACCAAAGCAGCCCCATTTACGCTGCTACTTTCTCCTCTTCAGAACAAAAACAAGAGAGAAGCTGTTTGAGATCATTACATGTGTTTCTACTGTAGGTTTATGTGACCGTTCTAAACTCATCGTTTCAACTCATGTAACTGTGATGAATCTGTTGGAATCATAGTTATTATTATTATTATTTATCACAGCTCCTCACAGCAGCAGGAGAACCATTGATCTGAATGTCATTTCAAAACCTTCTACCGGTCATTATTTTCTATAACGGACGTCTCAAAACAATAATGACCACTGCCCTTTGGCAACGCACTCTCTGCTTGTCTTTCAAATGCGTGGATAACTCCGACAGTAGTTCCGGCCACTCCGGAGCTAGCCACGCTCAATCAACACACTTAAA